AAAACAAAATGTATATTATAAGAAAAATGTATCTTTACCGATTAATGTAACTGAATTACAAATGTTAGATAAAAAATTATCATTTATACAAGAGTTATTGACTCACGATAAAATTAAAGAATATAGAATAACTTTAGATAACATAGAATTCTCTATTCAAAATATTAAAAATAATAGAAGAAAACATTCTTGGATGAAGACCGGTAATGATGTGTTACGATATATAGGATACAGTCCTATAGGCATCATATTGTTGTATACTAGCTATAAGATAGGGCTTTTTAAATGTTTATCTTCGCTAATTCCTAAAAACCTATGTATTAATTTGTTATGTGTAAAAACAAATGTAAATGCGACACCACAGACCTATGTAACACCAACTGCACCAAACAGAATATATACCTATTACGGAGACAAGTATAGTGAAACCAAGAAACCTTAGGCTTAAAATTAGCGACCAATTTTATTCTAACAAAGGGGGTGTAACGCTATGCTACATTTCCTATTTTTAGTGAACTAGAATTAACCGGTTTTCCTAGCCTCATGTGAGATAAGACCCTTAAGGGTCTCGACATATGTAGAGATGAGGGAAGTCTTTAGTATTTAAATGTGTCTAAGCTGCGGCAGACCTTTTATTTTACTATTTAAATTGTAAATTTTGCTGAATAATAAAAACTATAATTGTTTAAACAAATTAATATTGTAAATTAATTTGTGTAGTGTTTTATTTATTATTTGACCTGTAACATGTTACAGGAAGAAAAATAATTTTTTCCGATCCGTGTTTATATGAAAAGCTTCATCTAAACAAACTAAATCAGTAAAATAATTCACGAGGCGATATATATTTATACGAAAATAGAACTTTCATGCTCATATTGTACAAATTTATACAGATACAGTACAAATTCTACGCATATGGCGTATGTAAATTCTTTTGCTAAATAAGGATGACTGTTCATACTTCAAACGCTTGATTTTTCTCTCCGTGTGTCATTATTATTAGTTTCCTATTTCCAATTTTGCGATCGCGTTTTTGCATGGATTCCAAAAATCTTTCGGATTTAGAAAATTTATAAGATAAGAAATCTTGGTAAATTGGCCGATTTTATAAAAAGTGTCCATAATTCGAGAAAAAAGTGTTTTAAAATCAATGTTTATCATTTTTACCTTCAGTGCCGTATTTATAGGGCGATAATTAAATACCAAAGAATTTCAGAGACCTTCCAACACTCTTAAGAAAAATTCTACTTAGTTCTTTTTTTGTCAACTTTTATAGACATAAATTTCATAAAATTAGAATTATATTAATTAAAAATTTTTTTAAAGTTTTAGAAAAAATGCTTTATAAGAGATTTGCTAAATAGAAATTCTTTTAAGGGGACTTTCTGGTTTAGAATTCCAAAAAAATAAAAATTTTTTTGCTTGAAAATGTTCCTTAGTATCACAAAATGACTGTCCCAAAACGTTTTTTTTTTAAATATATAAAAAAAACAAAAGTTGTAATCAAAAATTGTTTGATAGTCCTAGCTCAATCTACCGTGTTATGACAGAACACAGTAACTGCAATTTGAAAGAACTCGAGAAAAACGCGAAAAACTGTTTAAATCTTTATTGTCTCTTTTCGCAAAGCCTAATTAAAATTTTAAAAAGCCACTTGTCACTTTTGATTCGGATAAAGATAATCTTTCTGTTGATGTAAAAATAAATGTTATATTTGTTTAAACAATTAATAAATTAATAAAATTGTAGTTACTATCAAGCGAAATCGAGGGTCGTCGCACGAAACACACAGTAACTGCCAGGTACTGTGTCTCTCGTGCGACGACCGCTTGTATGAGACCCTTCGTCACACGGGACAACCTAGTAACTGCAAGGAAACATAAGAATTTTAATCTTTCTTAACAGTTTTAACATTGTAAAAATGCATTAAATTATATGCATTTATTAAACAAACAAAAAGACTTTAATGCATCTCTTTGTCATAATTATCATAATTTGTATTTTACAGATTAAGAAATGCTTTATTAAATACTCATACTGCAATTTTATAGTTATATTAATAAATTTTAGAAAGAAATCTATTTTTCATGAGTCATATTTTTCTTAAAAGTTTTGTATTTCAATTAAGTCTGATATTATTTATCAATAAAAAAATAATAATAATTATTATTATTATTATCTTTATTCTGAATAAAATAAAAAATAACTACATATTAATTATAATGTATTATATTATATATTACAAACTATACACTCAGAAAAAAGTTATGTTTGAACCAAATTTACCCTTTTTTTGTATTAACCCATATTTTTGGTTATTTCAAACAAAATTTGTTTAATACAAATAAATATTTATTTAATCGAAATAAACATTTGGTTCATTTTAATAAATTTTTAGACCAAAGAAAAAAATTTGGTTGAGCTAAATAAACATTTGGTTTATACAACCAAATGTTTAATTAACTGTATATCAATGCACTTATTTTGTTGATTCAACTAAACTATGGTTGTTTCAAACAAATTTTTTTCTGAGTGTATTGCAAATTGTACAAAATTTATAAAATTCTGCAGTTACTAGGTCCTCCAAATCACGACCCTCATTTTTTGAGCCCTCATCGCACGGACCAACCTAGTAACTACACTGTCTCAATAGCGCTCTGCAGTTACTGTGTGCTTCGTGCGACGAGAGCTCGAAAAATGAGGTTCGTGTTATCGGAAATGTAGTTACTGTGCAGTTCCTAGGTCCTTCGTATCACGAGCATCAAAATACGTCACAACCCCCTCAAACGTCACACAGTAACTGCCAGTTACCGAATTTCGATCTAATAATCTTTGTAGTTAATGTGAAAATGACGTAATTATGCAAAAATTATTATTAATTACGTTAATAATTTTTAAAGATGCATTGCATTAACAGATGCAGCTTTTTTCAACGATTACAACGATATAAAAAACTCATTTTTCGATTTTCCTGCAGTTACTGTGTTTTTCCATAACACGGCAGCAATGTATTATGTTATGAAAAGTTTAAACGCGTTTTTCTCGAAATCATATTTTTCAAACTGGTTCACGGCCTTTCTCGAAATCTACTGAACCGATTTTAAAAAACTAAAAACCATTCGATTCCTTAGTTAAAAAACTAGAGAATAAACCTTTGAAACATCATTTTTCTACCGCCTGTTTTTTTATAAGGGGGTAAATTGACCCAAAAACACGGTGTTTTTTCGAATTTTTAAGAAAAATGTTCATAAAAAATAAAAAAAAACCTTCTAAAAAATCGTTTTTTAGATTTATTCTCTAGAATAAAACCTTATAAAGAGAATCGCATTTAAAATTATTTATTACAGGTTGTCCGCAATCACCTGTACCAAAAAACGGCACCTTTTAGAAGACGCCACCTGCAGCTAAGAAATTGAACTAAATACAGTCAAAAATATTTTTTTCAATTTTCTCTATGTAATGTGCAAAAAGAATTTTTGCAATTTATTTAATACTTTTCTTACAACAAAAGTTTTAAAACGTGTACTTTTTTTGTCAATTCTAAACCAGAAAGTCCCCTTCAATCGAATGTTAGTTAAATGTAAATTCTATGATATGAAAATTTTGCATAATATAAAATCCACTTTATACAATTTTGCTAAGAAGAAATTCGATAATTTAATATTTGACGCCTTAAAAAAATTTTATAAGTTAAATGTGGATATTAGCATTAAATAATAAATTATTCGTATTAATGAATAATTAACTTCATTTGAAGTTGAACTGATAAAATAAAATTCTATCAAATAATTTTTATTTATATTAAAAAACCAAATATTTCACTGGAAAAAATTAATTAATTATTATCCAAGTTTAAGAAATTATTTATTAGATTCAATAAATAGTAGTAAATAATTATTTACTTAATGAATATAAGATATATCGCATGCTTAATAATTGAGTATGATGGACAACTTTTTAATTTGCATTTGCTTTTTGGGAAAAAATAAAAAAAAAATTTAAACTAATAGTTGAGGCGTTTCATATAAAAACGACATATGATGTCTCAGATTTTCCTTAACTTTTGGGTTTTAAGAGAGATTTTGGTGTTAAATAAGTATATGTAAATTTTGAATTAAATTTTTAAAAATATTTTTAGAGATATTTGCATTAAAAAATTGTTGTAACATTTTTTTCTTTTTCTTATAACTTTTGTTCACTTGATCCTACAAAAAAAAGTTCTAAATGTTTTTTATTCTAAAAATGTTAAAATTTATGAAAAAAATTATTAAACCCAAATGTTATGGAAAATCTGAGACATCATATGTCGTTCTCATATGAAACGCCTCAGGTACTTTTAATTTATTTATAAAAAAAATTCCGGAAAAATTAAAGAAATTCCCTGACTTTTCCCTGACTGTTAGTCAGGGACCTGTTATTTTGAAATTTTTTTGTAAATTTTATATTTGTTACTTTTTGAACTATACTAAACTCGTACAATTCTCAGAATAAAATTTATTTTTGTAAAATAATAATTTTTAAATATTCGTGAAGTAAAAAATATTTTTTGGTATTTAAATATTAATTAATTTGAATAATTTATCATTAAAGACTTTAAAAATTGCTATAAGAATTGATTATTTTGATTTTGCTTAATTGTTTGTTTTAAACCATTTGAGCTTTATGTCGTCAAATTGGACGCTATGACGCTCAAGAGGTTAATTACATACAAATGGCTTTTTTGAGGTTAATTTCTTTTTTTGAAATTCGAGTCATAATTATTATAGTTTTTAAAAGAAATTTTGCAGCGCAAATATAAAAATTATTTTTTTTTTTTTGAAAAAACAAAATAGCATAGCTAATTTCTTGCACATGTCAATCGTGTTATAATCGCCACGTGTATGATTCTTACACGTGTTTCAATATTTTATAGGCAAAATTTAAAAATTTCACAACCACTACTTCAAGAAGCAATCGATTAGTTTAATTTCTAAATTAATTAATTTACTCATACTTACTACGTGGGTATCAGCAATAATTTAATACACGATATTAAACAAAATATCCTTATTAAAATTCCATTCATTGTTATTTTACTGACATCACACTTTTTATGAGAGATAATTCTTTGCCTATCTTCAACATTAGAATTAATAAAATCCATTTTGTTAAATTACTTTAGAATAACACATTAAAAACAAATGATAAACTTGCAATTTTTTTAAACACAATAACTACGTGGAATAAACGTGCTTGCCGGTTACACGACCATCTCGTGCAGTAGCCAAGCAACCATTAAGGCCTTTCTCCAATAGGATCCTAAACTCTTGCGTTGCGTATGCATTGCGTCGGTTGCTATTGGCAACCAATGCTAAAATCAACGCGTCAGTCAAGGCCTAAGCAGAATAGATTCTTGAACGGGAACGCAATCGTAAACGGAAACGTAAGAATGTGTAAGAGAAGGATAGCAAATATCTTTATTCTTCTCTCACCCATTCTTACGTTTCCGTTCACGATTGCGTTCCCGTTCAAGAATCTATTCTGCTTAGGCCTTCACGCAACGCAAAAGTTTAGGTTCCTATTGGAGAAAGGCCTTTACGGCCTGATTAAGGCTTTTCTTCAATATGTTCCTAAATGTTTGCGTTGCGTGACTAAGGCTGCAGTCCCATGGCAGCGTTTTGCGTTGCGTTTTGTCACTAGACCCTGAGTGTAAACATAGCAAACATATATCTGCATCTCTTTTACACTCATGGTCTAGTAACAAAACGCAACGCAAAACGCTGCCATGGGATTGCAGCCTAAGCAGAATAGATTCTTGAACGGGAACGCAATCGTGAACGGAAACGTAAGAATGAGTGAGAGAAGAATAAAGATATTTGCTATCCTTCTCTTACACATTCTTACGTTTCCGTTTACCTTCCCGTTCAAGAATTTATTCTGCTTAGGCCTTAAGGCTGCAGTCCCATGGCAGCGTTTTGCGTTGCGTTTTGTCACTAGACCATGAGTGTAAAAGAGATGCAGATATATGTTTGCTATGTTTACACTCAGGGTCTAGTGACAAAACGCATCGCAAAACGCTGCCATGGGACTGCAGCCTAACGCGTTGGTTGGCAAGCGCAGTGACGTCATCAAAACATTTGGTAGTTCAAATTTAATTTTTTAATTATCTAACTCAAATGAAATTTTCAAAACTAAAGGTGCTTTAATGGAGCATTTACACCTTCGTCAAAAAATTTTCTTCACTTTGCATTTTCCGAAATCTGATTGGTTGTTTACAATGAATCAGATTCTGGACAACCAATCAGGTAAGTGTATTTAGAAAAATGCAAAGTGAAGAAAATTTTTTGCAGAAGGTGTAAGGGTACGGTCACACTATCTCATGTATACACTGTGCATGCATGCAGAAACATTTGGCCGGTCACACTTCAACGAAATCTAATGAATGTTTAGTAACTTTCTAGTTATACAACCGAAATTTTTTAAAAAATTACTAAACATTCACTAGATTTCGTTGAAGTGTGACCGGCCAAATGTTTCTGCATTCATGCACAGTGCATGAATGAGATAGTGTGACCGTACCCTAAATGTTCCATTATACCTCCAGTATTTTGGTCAAGCAATCGACTGGATTTAATTTTCACGAGGAATCACTGAATTTTATTGGCTCTAAAAATATTCCATTTCCACCGTGAAAATTGAATATTTTTAGAACCAATAAAATTCTGTGATTCCTCGTGAAAATTAAATTCAGCTGATTGCTTGACCAAAATACCGGAGGTATAAAAGCACCTTTAGTATATTAAGATTTTATTTTTTATATTCAAAAAACTATTTTCATGCATTAATAAAAAACGATTATATTTCTTAAATTAATTTTTTTATTGTATTAAATATTTCTTCAAAAATAAAATCTTACTATACTTAGTTTAAAAAATTTTATTTGAGCAAGATATTTAAAAAATTAAATTTTATCCCATATGCTTCCAATGTAAACTTGGGCACTACATAATGGCCATTTTACATTTTCCCCCACCCAACTTGAACTACATAATTAATTAATATATTAATGACGTCACTGCGCTTGCGAACCAACGCGTCAGTAACGCAACGCAAACATTCAGGAACCTATTGGAGAAGGCCTTTTCCAAATTCTCATGGAGTATTTACACCTTTGGTAAAAATATGTTTATTTTGCATTTTCGAAAATACACAAACCTAATTGGTTGTTCACAATCTGACCACCTTATGGTTGGTAACCTTTATCTTTTTCATTCCTATGCTTTACGCTTTTAAGGCCTTTCTCCAATAGGAACCTAAACTTTTGCGTTGCGTAACTGACGCGTTGATTTTAGCATTGGTTGCCAATAGCAACCGACGCAATGCATACGCAACGCAAGAGTTTAGGATCCTATTGGAGAAAGGCCTTTATGCCGGCGTTTCAAGCTGTCATGTAATGGCGGCCATAAGTTGGTTTCACAATGAGCTCGACTCAAGACAAACGCAGCATTGACGCGACGCATCCCAATGCTAATCAAATGAGGATGCGTCGCGTCAACGCTGCGATTACCTTGCGTCTAGCCCATTGTGGAACCAGCCTAGAGTCAGTATCAAATGGAGATGCGTCGCGTCAACGCTGCGTTTGCCTTGCGTCGACCTCATTGTGGAACCAACTTTAGCCTAGTTCCAAAATGGAAACGCAAACGTGACGCATTCCAGAATGGGGCTCAACGTAGTGCAGACGCATTCTCATTCGATTAGGGTACGGTCACACCTCGATAGATAGCGAGGCTACCTATCTATAATATAATAGAACATATAAGAGTGAGAGAAATAAAAAATGTTCTTATTCCTCTCACTCTTATACGTTATATTATATTATATGTATGTAGCCTTGCTATCTATCGAGGTGTGACCGTACCCTTAGCATTGAAACGTGCGTGCGTTTGCCTTGTGTCGAACCCATTGTAGAACGGACCCTAAAGATAATTGGTTGGTTTCCATTATCCTCAAAATCTCCACTGGACATTTTTCATTATTATTATCAACTACCGCACCCTGCTCTAGTAAAAATTTAGTGACTTTATTGTTAAAATTAAAAGTTACTAAATTTTCACTAGAGCAAGGTGCAGTAGTTGAATGGGAAATTTGGGTGAGTGGGGATTTTTCATGCTGATCGTTCTGTCCTTATCTAGCGCATACATTGACGCATGAGTTTAAAAAGAACAGAATGATCAGCATGACGGATGGAGACTAATCAAATACGTCAGGGTATGGTCACAACTCAGCTATCTATAAGTAGGGTCGTCATGATAATGTATAAGAGTGAGAGAAATGAAAGAATTTTTTATTTCACTCACTCTTATACGTTTCCATGACGACCCTACTTAGATAGCTGATCTGTGACCGTACCCTTAATGGAGCGGTCACACGTCACACCTCGCCTGCAGGAGCAGTTGCCAATGGCAACCGTGTAAGAGTAAGAGAGATGGAAAATCTTCTATCTCTCTTACTCTTACACGGTTGCCATGGGCAACTGCTCCTGCAGCCGAGGTGTGACCGCACCATAAGGCATAAGCAGAATAGAAACGTAACCGGAATCGTAATCACAACTGGAAGAATGAGTTAGAATAGTTAGAGAAGAATATACATATTGTTTGTCCTTCTCTAACTCATTATTGCGGTTGAAGTTACAGTTACGTTTCTATACTGCGTTGGCCTTTAGGGTGTGTTCACATAAAAGTGATATGTTCCCATTCCTGAAAAAGAAGGTTGCAGAATTTAATAAATACAATGTAAAAAGTTAAATATTTAATATCTTTTGATATATAAAAAAAATAAATATTTATTATTATTAAATTTTCTATTCATTTCATTTTCGAAATTTAAAAATACGCGGTATCCAATATGGCTGTCACAGGTGCAATTTCCGTTACATGCGCATAGCGAGTTAAGTTTTGTATCGACATTGACGAGACCTGAAACTTATTTGGATTATGGTTGTGTGGTGCATCATAGTATTCGCGCGCGTCTGTCTATTTAATTAAGTGTTGTACTTGGCGTCTATGTGTATTTTCCGTATATAATTAGTTTCTACATTGCTATGATTTAAATTTTTTTTCAATTCTATAATAATAAATTAACCATCAGTTTTTTTTCTATATTATAGTCATTGTTTTTCATTATAAAAAAGAAAAGTGAGCATTATATTGGAATATATTAGACAAAGGTAAGTGCAACTTTTTTTTTTCTCAATAGAATATAGGTATCAACCCCTAATTAAATTAAACTGAAGCTTTTAAAGATTAGTATTGAATTTCTTTTTTTTATATTTATTCTCTAGAGCTGTTTAATAAAAGACTAAAAATAGTTAATTGTATATAGTTTGAAATATTTTACCGTTTAAATATTTAATAGTTTATTATAAGCTTTGCCGATTGTTTATTTTGTGGTAAACTTTTTTTTTTTATTTTTGAGTTAAAAAAATAATTTTTACAGAAAAAGAAATATTAAAAGTAATTGATAAGAATAAAGTAAATGAAAATTTATTGAATTTCTATTACACGCAACCATTCGAATTTTTAATTAAATTGAAAAAAAGATAATTTCTTTTAGGCTTCGTTTTTCTTTTATTGTAATTGTTTAATATTTGATAGTGCTCGAAAATCGATTTTACTTAGAAAGAACATTTTTTTCATGTGGATTTCTAATAAAATTTGTTAAAAAGAAATATTTTCTTTCGAAATTTTTAAATTAGTATTTTAGTTACATTATTATAATAAATTTGAAACTATACAATATTATTGTTTATATAAAAAATTATTTTTATACTATAATTGTTTATTATTTCTTTAAAATAATAACATATAATTCTTTGTGAAAAAAAAAGTATTGGGAGGCTCAGGCATTCACGTTGCATTCATCCAATGCGTAAAGGTGCATAGTACGGATTGGATTGTATGGTGAATGTGTTAACCCTTCAGACTTAATGCGTCGTCCATTTTGACCGGTATTTTTTTTATAGGATGTTAGATGAGTGCAAAATTTATATTTATATTTAAACATTTTAAATATATAATACAATTTTATTTGTCATGTGAAATACTTATTCATAAATAATTTTTCGTGTAAATATAAATTAAAAAAAAAATTTTCAATCTAAAGAAAATTGATTTTAATTATTTGTCAATAGAGAGAGAGAGATAGAAACTTTCTGTTAGAGCATAAAAGCATAATTTTACTTAAAATTTTTTTAAATCCTATTTTATAAAAAGATCTAAAAGAACAGTATAAAGAATACCTACTTTTTAATAGAAATTTCGTTAAAATAAATTAGCAGAAAAAAGCATAATTCTGTTTTTTTTAACTCTTTAACGCTCAGCCATTTCATATTGAAATAATTTTTAATTTCAAAAATTTATCAAAATTTAAAATTTTGTTTCGAAATAATTTATAAATTTGTCAAAATTTAAAATATTTTTGATTTCTAAACGCTAAAAGACCCACAAATTTATTTGAATTTATGAAAAAAAAAAAAAAAAATTATATTGCAATAAATAATTAAAAATTTTGTAATTACAATGATAATTAAAAAAATTATGTTTGTGGGGCAATATTTACAATAAAATTACAAATTGGAAAATTAAACGACGCTAAGCTATTGAAGTTTTCGGAGTCGCTTTTTACGAATTTGATGTCAGTTTTTTAAAATTCAATATGGCTGACAACTTTTTCAAAAAATGTTACAAACTGCCTAAAAATTGTTATTTGGGGGTTTTCGGGATCGCTCGTTACAAATCTGATGTCAGTTTTTCAAAATTCAAAATGGCGGACGAATTTTTAAAAAATTGTTAAAATTTAAAAATTTGGTAAAGTAAACGCTCCGATTATGGAACACATCAAAAACATGACCCTATTATGGAACAATGAAAAATATTTGAAAATTATAATAGAAAATATGTTTTTCGATATTAAAAAAATTATTGAGTAAAAAGGTTGATATTTATTTGCACTATTTACGCAGTTATACGACAAGTCATGTTAAAATATTGTTTTATTCACTGGGTAACAAAAAAATTGTCATGTTGTGTTTATTTCAAAATTCCTGTGTTTATTCAATATTTGGGTGTCAATGAACAAGAAACTACGAAAAAAATTTTTTTTTAATTTGTTCTGTTCCCTAAAAATGGGGATTAAAGACTCAAAAAATGGCTTTTTTGGCATTTTTTGAAGTAATATAAAAGGAAAACGTGAGGACATAGACAGCTTTAATAGGTCTCAAAAGAAACCTTAAACCTTCAACTTTAAAACCCAAAACTGAAATATCATGCAATAATTGCGGGAAACCTGTATTTAACGCATAATCCCTAACGTATCATTGAATTTAAAGTTCAAATATTTGGGAATGTATGCTTAGTATAAAGCGATTCTCCATAATCATATTTGCTTGAAACTAGTCACTTAGAAGTTTTTTGGGTTGTTGATTGCAAATTTGAGAATAGGTTTTAAAAATTCAAAATGGTGGATCCAATATGGCTGACGAAGTTTTTGAAAACTGTTTAAATTCTCTTGAGTCTTATTACTCGGGGATTTTTGGGGTCACTGATTACGAATTTAAGGGGGTAGTCTGGTGTTTTGATGCCTTTTTGGGAGCTTATTTCAGGATTTTTTTTTATTATAAAATAAAATATAATCACACCAAATCTTTTTACTTCGTTTTATTCTTATCATGAAGTGTTGAAAAAAATTATAATCGATTATTTTTTACTAGATTTTGTTATTTATATTTAATATTAATGTTTATAACAAAAAAATGCTGGCGTAGATGATTTACAAAAATCTATCCGACCGATTGCTCCAATTTTTTTACAGCTTATTCTACACAAGCATGGCTCTGGCCCGTACTAGAATAAAACATTTTTGTTAATAAATAACAAAATAGCGGACTATATAAGCAAAAAGATTCAAAAATTGTCTCTTTTTTATTGACAAAAAGTTAAAAATAAAAAAAAGTTATCATTAAAATTGCGTAATTCTAGTACGGGCCACAGCCATACTTGTGTAAAATAAGCTAAAAAAAATTGGAGCAATCGATCGAACAGATTTTTGTAAATCACCTGCGCCAGCATTTTTTTGATATAAACATTAATATTAAATATAAATAACAATGTCTAGTAAAAAATAATCGATTATAATTTTTTTCAACACTTCAAAAGGAGAATAAAACGATGTAAAAAGATTTGGTGTGATTATATTTTATTTTATAATAAAAATAAATTCTGAAATAAGCTCCTAAAAAAAGGCCTAAACACCAGACTACCCCCCTAAAGTCAGATTTCCGAAATTCAAAATGGCGGATCCATTATGGTGTAATTTTATCATCTTCGCATATTATATTGCTAGAATTAAAATAGCTCTCGAAAGTCTTTCGACAAATTCATCGAAATTTTTTTGAAAATTTTGTAATGTAGCAAGTAACCCGTGTCATTTTGAATTTCGGAAATCTGACTTTAAATTCGTAATCAGTGACCCCAAAAACCCCCGAGTAACAAGACTCAAGAGAATTTAAACAGTTTTTATAAACTTCGTCAGCCATATTGGATCCACCATTTTGAATTTTTAAAACCTATTCTCAAATTTGCAATCAACAACCCAAAAAACTTCTAAGTGACTAGTTTCAAGCAAATATGATTATGGAGAATCGCTTTATACTAAGCATACATTCCCAAAGATTTGAACTATATAAATTCAATGATACGTTAGGGATTATGCGTTAAATACAGGTTTCCCGCAATTATTGCATGACATTTCAGTTTTGGGTCTTAAAGTTGAAGGTTTAAGCTTTTTTTTGAGACCTATTAAAGCTTTCTATGTCCTCACATTTTCCTTTTATATTACTTCAAAAAATGCCAAAAAAACCATTTTTTGACACTTTAACCCCCATTTTCAGGGAACAGAACAAATTAAAAAAAAATTTTTCGTAGTTTCTTGTTCATTGACACCCAAATATTCAATAAACACAGGAATTTTGAAATAAACACAACATGACCATTTTTTTGTTACCCAGTGAATAAAACAATATTTTAACATGACTTGTCGTATAACTGCGTAAATAGTGCAAATAAATATCAACCTTTTTACTCATAATTTTTTTAATATCGAAAAACATATTTTCTATTATAATTTCAAATATTTTTCATTGTTCCATAATAGGTACATGTTTTCGATGTGTTCCTATAATAGGAGCGTTTACCTTACAAAAAATTTTTTTACTTTCATATATTTTTTTTTTAAATTGATTTGAAACTTCTGCAAGATATTTTCAACATGATGTATGCTTTGAGAAAATGTAAAAAAATAAAAAAAAAAACAAACGATTTTTTCAAAATTATGACTAGATAATAAATGCATACATGATAAAGCTAATAAAAATTTGTAAACTACAAAATGAAGTTATAGAATGTTAAACTTTTTTTTTCACCAGTTATAACAATGAGTCAAACAGTTGAGGAGCAGGAGCAAGAAAAGAATATGGATAAAAAGGAGACAGCTGAAGAAGAACGTGAAAAAATGTTAAATGCAGAAAATACTAAACATGCGAGCAAACCAGTAGCAGATTTGGAGATTGAAGAGAATCACCAGAAACGTAAGATTCCTATTGGTGGTATTAAAATGCCAGGATTTTGTCGAAGCAAGAGCAAGGAAACTAATAAGGTTAGTGAATATAAAAATATTTTTCAAATTTTAAAACGAGATTTCATGTTTCTGTAACTAGGATTTTAAAGAAGAAATTATAAAAATAATAAAATAAAAAAATATTTAATTTTTTTCTATTTAAACTCTGTGTCGGATTTTATTTAAATTTTCAGCGAAATAAATTATTTTTAATAACATTATTAAAAAATATTTAATTTAAAATAATATTTTAAATTTAAATATTTTAAATACATATACTATATTTAAATATCTAATTTTATTTTAGTTAATTTTTAAAATGCTAAATTTCTTCATTTACAAAATTTAAAAAACTATAGTTGCAAATTTCTTATTTAATCCTTTTTTTTTAAATTTCTTAGGATGACAATGTAAAATCTACTGATAAAGTAAATGCTGAACCTGGATTGGCAATTTCAAAAGACAAAGAACAAAATCCTCCTTCTAATGAAGTTTCAATAAATGTTGAAAAAGAATCCAAAGAAAAGGAATCGAGTAGAGGAATTTTTCGCGCCATGAAATTACCACTTGCCTCAGTTTTTCCTCGTAAAAAGAAGGTATTGTATTTGTTTTTTTATTCATCAAATTACTGTCTATAAAATAAAATTTTTATTCGCTGATTACGAATTTGGCATTAGATTTTTAAAATTAAAAATTTCGGATTCAATATGGCAAATCTAGTGAATAAGATCAATTTAAAAAAAAATCATTCGCCATAATGGATCCAACATTTTAAATGTTTTCTATAATTTGTAAAAGAAAAAATCCTTTAGCAATTCAATTTTACAAAAATTTCAATTTCAAAAATCTCTTGAAATTCAATTGTTTCTAAAAATTTTAAATACATATGTAACTTATTCAAAACTCAATTATATTTTTAAAATTATCTAAAATTTTTAGCTAAATTAATAAATTTTAATAATATTAATCATTTGTTTCAATTTAAAATATTTCTATCAAGTTTTTCAGAAATTCAATTATTATTATAAAACATTTTTAAATAAAAATTGTCCCATTTTCCGTAAAGTTGCTTATTGTTAAAAAGTGACTGAAAAATTTTTTAACCGTTTGAACTGCAAACTTTCAAAAAATTGTGAATTCATCATTTTCAAATAACATTTTTGCCTAAAATAATTCAATGATTGGATGATATAATCCAAAGACATGAATATTACCTTTATTTTTGAAGAATCGCTCTTCTATATTATTTAAAATCGGTTTGTCACATACAGAAACAGAAACTTTTTGTTCGAACATAGAAGCATAAATTTAAAAAATGTTCTGTAATTTTAAGATTTGTATTAAAAAATATTTTAATTAAGGCTTTGGATCTTAAAAGGATCTACACTCAAATTTACATCACAAATCTTGGTCCTTGGAGTTAAAATTTTGAAATTGTTCATTATATCAAGAAAAAAACAATTGATTCTTATCGTTGGAATTTGATATTAAAAATTTTTAAATTTTAACACCAGAGGCCAAAACTTATTAGATAAATTTGAGCGTAAGCCCTTTTAAGATCCAGAGTCTGAATCAGCAAAAATGTTTACAATTTGAAAAGGTATTAAAAAGCATAATTTAGGTTATTAACCAAAATAACAAAATTTTTTGTTTACTTTCGTTATTATAAATAAAGTGGACAATATTTTTTTATCGGAGATACATTTTCTAAAGGTCTTGAGCGTGCTCTTTGAAATCCGGTGTCAAAAATAAATTTTGTCCAATGTAAAATTAAATATGCCGATTATAATGCAAAAAATCAAAGAAAAAATTTGATTTTTTTTAAGTTTGATATTTTTTTTATCAGGAAAAAGGAAAAGAATAAAATTCTATTCTCAACAAAAAGTACATAAAAATTGTATAATTTTGAGAAACGTAATGTAGAATTCAAAATTCAAAGATGGCAAAGTTAATATGGCATCAAATCCATTGTAAAATTTGCAAGATTTGACAAATATTTGTTAAAATGCGACAATGTAATTAAATTAGCCTCAATTTTGTTACTTAGGGGTTTTTAAGGTCGCTGAATATGGAGTTGAAGTCAGATTTTCAAATTTCAAAATGGCAAAAGAGATTTTTAAAAACTGATCAAATTTTATTAAATTTTGCTGCTAAATAAATTCATTCAATTATATTCTTTTAAAATGCATTTCAAGTTCTGTTTACATTTCCCCCGAGTTTTCTAATTCTTGGGGTTTATAAGCAGGGTGTCTACTAGTCCTGGAAATGTCCTGGAATTTGAAAAAATGTCCTGGAATGTCCTTGAAAGTCCTGGAATTTTAATTTTTGTACTTGAATGTTTTATATTTTGCTTTTAAATTTTCAAAAATTTCTAATTTTGTCAATCAAATTTAAAAAAATTCATTAAATAAGTAAAATGAAAATTTACTTAAGTAATTAATTAATTTTTTAATAATTTCTGAAAATAATTTTTGTCCTTGAATTTTTTATATTTTGCTTTTAAATTTTCAAAAATTTCTAATTTTGTCAATCAAGTTAAAAAAAATTCATTAAATAAGTAAAATGAAAATTAACTTAAGTAATTAATTAATTTTTTAATAATTTCTGAAAACAATAGTTAAACTAAAAATATTTTTATTCCTTAAAGTCATCCAACTTAATGTCCTGGAAAAATAAGAAATTTGTCCTGGAAAGTCCTGGAAAAGTCCTGGAAAAGTCCTGGAATTTTAATTCAGATTTTTAGTAGACACCCTGATAAGGAATAATTATAAATTTTGGTTTGCATTTTTAATTTGTTTTCATGCAAATACGAATTAAAATACTGAAACAGTGTTTATTTTAATATTTTACAATTTTAAAACAATTTAATTTTTAAAGCTATTTAATTATTACAAGAATGTTAAACGTCAATAATTTCAATTTTAAAATTAAGCCACCGGGAAGTAAAACAATACACGAAGCTGAAGTACGCAAAGTTAAATGTAAACGATTTTTAAAGAAATCTTTTTTGAAAATGAAAATTTCTATAATTTTTTGCCTAAAAAATATTTCTTGTAGTTTTTGTTAACCGACAAATTATAAAAAAAATATTTTTTAGGCAAAAAATCATAGAATTTTTCATTTTAAAAAATTATTTCTTTAAAAATTGTTTATATAAACGTTGCTTACTTCAGCTTCGTAACAAAACATGAAATTTCGATCACAATGCTAATGCAATGGAAGGGGACGCATGATTATGTTGTAAAAATCATTAGTTAGAATTTTATGGAATTATTTCATTTGTCATAATTATTTTTGAGCTGAATTTTTATTATTTTGGAATTAATATTTTGCAGAATTTTCATCAAAACGATTTTCTATATTACAGAATTTTTAATATAATCGAAAATTAACTTCACACAATTTTTATTTGTCATAATTTTTATGGCATAAAATTTTCTTTCAGATGAATTTTCATTTGTTCCAATTATTATTATTTGATATAATTTCCATATAACCGATTTTTCATACTACAGAATTTTTACCTAACCGAAAAATCATTTAACAGAATTTCTAATTGATAGAATTTTCAATTGTCCGAAATTGCAAATGGCCGAACAAACAATCGACAGAAAAAAATCAACCAATCAAAAATTATCCACAAAATTGTTATTGGTTGATTTTAAAAATTGCGAAAAATCGATTGTTTGTTTGGGAATTTGCAATTTCGGACAAATGAAAATTCTATTATTTAGAAATTCTGTTAAATGATTTTTCGGTTAAGTAAAAAATTCTGTAGTATGAAAAATCGGTTATACGGAAATTATATCAAATAATAATTGGAACAAATGAAAATTCATTTGAAAGAAAATTCTATGCAATGAAATTCTACCCAAGAAAAATTCTTTAAAATGTCTATTATGTTAAATGAAAATTCGAGCAAATTCTGTGAATTATAAATCTTCTTTATGAAAAGTATAAAGTTGACTATAGTTAGTAATGTACAGTCATTAAATGTTTTTTTGGGGCGCATGAATATCCCATAAAAATCATTAGCTAGAATTTTCATTTGTAAGAATTTTATTTGACAGAATTTCTTTTTTAACGAATTTTCATTTTTCGAATTAGTATTTGAGTTACTTTCTTTGTAAACTAAATTTTATTTAACATAATTTTTAGGTAACGAATTTTTATTTAACATAATTTTCATTTTACCAAATTTTTTGTTATCCAACTTTTTATTTTATAGAATTATAATTTAAACCAATTTTAATTTATCGAAATTCGCATTCAGCAGAATTTTAGTGATTCGAATTGTATAATGTCAGAATTTTTAATTTATCGAATCTCCATGTGTCAGAATTTATATTTACACGAATTATTTGATAGAATTCCTAAAACAGCGAATTTTCATTTGATAGAAATTACAAATGGCTCAAGAAACGTCAGAAAGATTTTGGCGCAGTTTTTAAAATAGACCAATCAAAAATTATTAAGAAAATTGTGATTGGTTTATTTTAAAATTAGCGACAAAATCTTTCTGACGCTTGCTTGTTCGGTGATTTGTAATTTCTATCAAGTTGAAATTCTCTATTTTAGGGATTCTGTCAAATAAAAATTCTGATACATGGAAATTCGATAGTTTAAAAATTCTGACATTATAAAATTTGAATCACTAAAATTCTGCTGAATGCGAATTTCGATAAATTAAAATTGGTTTAAATTGCAAGTCTATAAAATAAAAAGTTGGATAACAAAAAATTTGGTAAAATGAATATTAAATTAAAATTCGGTATCTAAAAACTATGTTAAATAAAATTTCGTTTACAAAGAAAGTAATTCAAATACTAATTTGAAAAATGAAAATTCGTCTAAATAGAAATTCTATCAAATGAAATTCATACAAATGAAAATTCTAGTTAATGATTTTTATGAGATAATCATGCACTCCGTTTTTTTTTTATCAGGATATTAATTTTTATTTATTTATTTGAATTTTTGTAGCAGGAAACTGGTGAGCATGACATCGTTGGCTTAGCAAGCGTAGAGACACTTGGTGATGTTGCGGAGAAAGTTCCTGCCGCAGACGATGCTGGTATGGAAACTGTTCGTCTTGATGGAAATGCTTTTAATGCCGATGATCCACCTAAACCACATTCATTTGTCGTCTGTTTGTCAGCTGCCAGAAGAAATTTATTTGTAACAGGTAATTAAAATCAGTAGAATTTAATAAATTTACTGCAATTTATCTCATAGTTATTTGTTTCAACTTTATTTTATTTCAAGCACATTTTATTTAATTATTAAAATTTGAAAAAAAAATCTTGCATGAAAGATTTTATTAAACTATTTTAAAGTTCTCTAACTACTTGACTGGAATGGCAATTAAAATTTTCTTATTGCTTTAATGATATTTTCATTTTCCAATTAGTGAGTATAATCTGAAATTTGTAAATTATTCTTTTTTCAGTGTCAACATTGTTAATTTTAATAACCGTGATTGTCATAATTTGCGTTGCATGCGTGGGCCCTAGATATGTTTTACTAGAGCCACCGCTTAAAGACGGTAAATATATTTTGGCACCGACATCATGTGGATTAGTTGAAGGTATTTTGGAAGATGGTGGTTATGCATTCCGCGGTATTCCATATGCCGTACCACCGATTAGTAATCGTCGTTGGCAACCGGCTGAACCACTTCGAAGAATTGAAAATTGTTGGACTGGTACCTACAGTGCTCACAATAATTCAATTCATTGTTGGCAATTTGATTCTTCAGGACGTATTAGCGGTACTGAGGATTGTCTTAAACTTGATGTTTTTACACCAAAAGTTGATACAAGAAATCCACTTCCCGTTGTCGTTATGATTGGAGCTGAAACTTTAAATGGTGGTTCACCAGGTGTTATGCAACCGTCATCAAAACTTGCAAGAGTACGAGAAATTGTTTTTGTTCGGCCGAATTTCAGGTAAATATAAATAAATATAATGACTGTAAATATTTTGGAAAAATTTGAAAATATTTAATTTTTCCCTTATAGAATGGGTGTATTTGGTTTTCTTGCCGCTGAACCTTTATCGCGAACAACTCATCCTCCAACTTCGGGAAATTATGGACTTTCTGATATAATTGTCGCTTTAAAATGGATTCAAAATAATATTCATCATTTTGGTGGTTGTAAAAATAATGTCACAATTTGGGGACATAGAGCGGGTGGTACACTTGTTACAACATTAATTGGCGCACGAAAGGCAAATGATCTTTTTGCTCGTGCATGGATATCAAGTAGTAGTGCCATTTTTCCTGGTGAAGAACTATCAAAATCGGAGAAATCAAATGAAGTATTTTTAAATGCTACAAGATGCAGTGATGCCGCTTGTTTAAGAAGCAAAGATCCAGAAGAATTGATGAATGCTGTTCCTTCAAGTTGGTTGATTGGTAATGTAGAACTTCCTGAGCCAAAAGAGGCAGGTATTACAAATGCAAAGCATGAATGGCTCGTTAAGGATGGTTCAATTATACAAGAACATGTTGGTGAAATTTGGACAAAGCAAGATCTCAAAGTGAAAATTGTTATTGGTACAACAGCTCAATCGGGAACTCCTGTTAAATATTTGTCTTCAAATTCAACATTGGAAGCAGATCAAGTTAATAAAATTGTACGAGAATCTCTACTTGGCACCAATGGACTGGCCGATGAAGCACTCAGGTTTGTTATTTTTCATTAATTTATTTTCAGGGGTTAATTTCTTAGATTTTTTATAAGAACTAAAATATTAGGAGATATTTTAAACATTTTTAATTTAAAAATGATTTTATATTTTTCCACAATTTACCATTTTTCATTATATTTTCATTGATTGAAACTTTGTAGTATTATTTATTGGAATAAAGTTTCAGAAAATATAATTTAATTTTTAAATTGAAAAAAAAAACTGTTACAATATTTTTGATAAATAAAATAAATCAAAGAATAAAACAGAAGTTCCTGTAGAACCTGGAAATCACTGATATTATAAAACTCAAAAAAAAAGAAACAATAGATTCAGGGTGTCAAGCGACCAAGATTTTAGTTTCACCAGAAAAAAAAAGCCGAGAATTTCTAAAAATTTCTACTAATTTGTGAAAATTTTTAAATTTTACCGAAGCGCGGTTAAACGTCAAGGGAAATGAACTGGGCGTGGCTACACGTAGAAAATAATATTCAAGAGCGTCTGTTTTAAGTGTACCATCATAAGTGAACATTGGTTGCTTTACGTAATATACGTTCTTAGTGAGAGCCTCCATCTTTTTTATTCGTAGTACAGCCCTGAATGTTTACGGTATTTGGCGTTGAGGTCGCGTCAAGTACGAACTCCATCGACTGGACTCAGAGGCTGGCTACACCAAGAGCCAATCAGGAGGGTTAAATTTAATACTCTGGCGCCAAGTGGGCTAAATTTTGCGTCTGTGCAAAATGTTTGTGTACATCTGCGACCATGGTAGCGATAGCGACAGGTTAGAAAAGGCGATCACGTGGTCATTAAAGCCAGTGAACTTTTCTAACTTGTCACTATCGCAACCATGGTCGCAGATGTACACAAACATTCTGCGCAGACGCAAAATTTAGCCCACTTATTTAGTACGCTAGAGAAGCCAACCTCTAAGACTCGAGCTTGTAGTTTAAAAAGAAGTGAATCAAAATTACCACTTTTTTAAATAGAAAATTAAAATGTTCTAAATTCAATATTACAAAAAAAAATGAACCCTCTGTGGACAAAAATCTGCCGACAACACAAATCTTAACCGATTTTAATAATTTTTTTGTAAATACTCAGAGAGGTTTTTCCTATAACGCACCGCTGCAATAAATTTTATTTATTGCAAACTAACCTTAAAAATGACATTTATATATAAAATTTTGTTATTAAGATAGTTTAAAAAATGAAAAAATGATTTATTTTGGTATATCAGAGGCTATTGTGAACCTTTTTTTGATCACTGAATGCGATTTTGACATTAAAATTGCAAAATTTTAAAATTCAAAATGGCGGATGCAATATGGCAGACAGTGTTTTATAAAAGTCACCAAATTCACTTGAAAGTTGTTACACAGGGGTTTTTGGGGTCGCTGGTTACGAATTTGAAATGCAATTTCAAAAATTCAAAATATCAAATGAAAAAAATTAAAAACTCATTCAATTTGCTTGAAAGTTGTTACTCGGCGGTTTTTGGTGTTCGCTGATTCAAAAATTTAAGATGTCAATTTTTGTATGTCGAACATTGTTTTTAAAAATTAACTTGAAATTTGTTCGACGATTTTTGCAGTCGCTATTTACGAATCTATAGGCAGACTTCAAAAATTATAAATAGCAAATTCAATAGGGTAAGCAAATTTTATTTACGTCAATGGAAAAAAGCTTAATAATTATTACTTTAAGTAATAATTTGTGTGTTGAGAATATTTATAATGAATATGATTTCAAAGTTTTAAAATAAAAAATATAAGTTTTTCAATAATTTATTAATAAATAATAATTTAATAATAATTTTTACATTCAATTTTATTAAAATTCTAAATTTCCGTCCTAATTTAACGTCTTATGATTCAATAAATTATTGAAAAACCTATATTTTTTATTTTAAAAATCTGAAATCACATTCATTATAAATATTCTCAACACAAAAATTATTACTTAAAGTAATAATTATTAAGCTTTTTTTCATTGACGTAAATAATTTTTTTAGAAATTTGACTTCAGATTTGTAAGTAGCAAACCCGAAAACCCCCGAGTAACAACTTTCTACCAACTTCAATGAGTTTTTTTTTCATCTACTATATTGAATCAGCCATTTTGAATTTTTGAAATTTGATTTTATATTCGTAACCAGCGACCCCAAAAACCCCTGTGTAACAACTTTCAAGTGAATTTAGTGACTTTTATAAAACACTGTCAGCCATATTGCATCCGCCATTTTGAATTTTTAAATTTGCAATTTTAATGTCAAATTCGCATTCCGCGATCAAAAAAGTTTCACAATACCCTCTGATATACCAAAAATAATTCATTTTTTAAACTATCTTAGTAACGAAATTTGATATATATATATATGAATGTCATTTTTAAGGTTAGTTTGCAATAAATAAAATTTATCACAGTTGTGCGTTATAATAAAAATCTTTCCGAGTATTTAAAAAAAATTATTAAAATCGTTCAAGATTTATGTTGTTAGCAGTGTTAATATTCGGACTTGGTTAAATTAAAATAAAAGAAAAAAAAGGTACTTATAAGAAATTAATTTTCACTCCATAAAGTCTAATAACACCGTCCGACACAATTTTTGACCCACAAAAAAATTTAACATTTTCGGAAACTAGGACCCAAAAAAAAGACCCGTATCTGGCCGTTTTGCTAGATCAAGCTGTTTGTGGTTTTTAGGGGTGAAATCAACCCCTAAATGAAAAGTGACAAGATATCTTTTAAAAATTATTATTATTTTATAAAACTTGATATCTGGGGGTTTTCTGGGTCACTGATTATTAATCTGATGTCAGATTTTCAAAATTCAAAATGGCGGATCCAATATGGCGATCAAAATTTTTAAAAAGTTATTAATTTTTTATTTTATATCCGCCATTTTGAATTTTGACAATTTAACATCAGATTCGTCATCGACGACTCAAAAAACTTCTAGATACCAAGGTTTAAAAAAAATTTAATAACTTTTTAAAATTTTTGACCGTTATATTGAATCCGCCATTTTGAATTTTGAAAAAATCTAACATCAGATTAATAATCAGCGACCCCGAAAACCCCCAGATACCAAGTTTTATAAAATATTAATAATTTTTAAAAGATATCTTGTCACTTTTTATTTAGGGGCTGTTTTCACCCCTAAAAACAACAAATGACTTGATCTAGCAAAACGGTCAGACACGGGTATTTTTTTTGGGTCCTAGTTTCCAAAAATGTTGGATTTCTTTGTGGGTCAAAAAAAAAGTTGAATTTTGTCGGATGGTGTAATTATACACATCTGTGCAGTAAGTCGTTTCGCACGCGCAGGCCTCGGATTATACGACTTTTTCGACTATTTCCAACTTTTTTTCAAAAATACGACTTTTTTCGACTTATTTTAATAAAATGCGACTATTTCGACTTTTTTTTACATTTTTAAAAAAATTTTTTAAATAAAATATATTTTTTTTAGTATAAAATGCAGATCTTCTTCATATCTTCTTTATTTCAATTATTTAACAATAATTCTTCACTAAATTAATTATTTTTAATAATTTTAATGAAATTCATCACAAATTTAATTATTTCAAATTATTTTTCAATTAAAATTTTTATAAAATTTAACAATTGTTTATAATTTTAAAAAAATAACAAATAAAATTACCAAAAAATTTTAATTCAAAATCAAATAAAATTCAATTATTTTCAAAAATTTCAATTCAAAATCAACTAAAATTCAATTATTACCCAAAATTTCAATTCAAAATCAATTAAAATTCAATAATTATCCAAAATTTCAATTCAAAATTAATTATTATCAAAATTTTCAATCAAAAATTAACTAAAATTTAATTATTTTCCAAAATTTCAATTATAATTCAATTATTTTCAAAAATTTGAATTTAAAAGCTTCTAAAATTTAATTATTTCTAAAATTTTCTATCGAAAATTTTTTGAAATTTAACAGTTTCAATTATAACTCTAAGGAAATTAAATTATTTTTAACTATTTTTATAATATTCATTGAAAATTCAACTATTTGAAACCACTTTTCAATGAAAAATGTTTTTCAAATTATTGTATTTTTGTCCGCAATTTCTAATAATTTTTTTAGTGAAATCATAAAAAGAAATTTAATTAAAAATCACTTGAAGTTCAATTAATTTTAAAAATCTTAATTGTAAATCTTTGAAAATTCAATTACATTTAATAAATGTTATCTGAAATTATTTGATAAATTTTTTTTAGTTCTGTAAAATTTAATTATTGTCTGAAAATTAACAAAATCTTTTAAAATTCAATTATTTCTAAAAATTTCAACTTTAACTATTTCAAAAGTATTATTATTTAAAAAAAAAATTCATTTAAAAATCTGTAAAATATTTTTGTTAAAATAAAAAAAATCGACTTTTTCGACTTTTTTTGGAATATAAATCGACTAAAATGACTTTTTTGTGCCTTTAAGTCGATCCGAGGCCTGCACGCGCGTCTACCTCATTTGCCCTGCCCTTATTTACATTTTGAATATTATAAAAATTTTCATTTTAAAAAATAAAATTTTAATTTTTCAGACGTTATAATTCAACGTTAAAGGGTTTGGCAACAATGATATCGGATATTCGTGTAGTATGTCCTCTATTGACAATTGCCAATATGAAAACAAATATACCATTTTATGTGCGTACAAGGCCAAGAGGAGAAACCCTCGCTGATCCTGACAGTGATGCTGCAGCTATTTTAGGTTCATATACACCGCGAACAGTCGAAGAAAAAAGACACGTTGACGCTATGCAAAAATTTTTCAATCGTTTTGTTTGGTTTGGCGAAGTTACTCAAGCCGATCCAAGAGGAGCTAAACGAATACTTATTGTTGATCAAGACATTCATACCGAGAACGATTATCCAAATTGTGACTTTTGGATTAATAAAAATATTGCCCCTAAATATGGTCGAGTAGATTAGAAAGAAAAGGTATTTGAAAATCATTTCCAATACTTTTTTTTTTTTTTTTAAATATTTTATTTCAGAACTGAATTTATGAGCGTAAGACTCTCTTTTGAGGTTAATCTAAAATCCTCTCTTTTCTTTTTTTTTTAAAAAAAAACTATTTTAGTATTAAATGTAAAATTAAGTGCGTAATTTATTTCTATTTATGTATTAAATAGACTCATAGCAATATATTTATTGCATGTTATTTATAACTTTTTATAAATAATATAATTAAATAGTAGTTATTCAGAATTTTAAGTAAGTGCCATTTTGTATTTACTTTTTTTATACAAAAAAAATCTTACTCATATACAATCATTGGTAATCTATTTTTTCTAATTTATTTTTTTTTTACAGTGACAGATAATTCATAATATTTTTAATTTTTTTTTTTACGAAAAATTTTTATTTTTGTTTGCTTTTTTATATATGGAACTTATTAAATTACAAAAATTGGTACTTGCATTATTTACTGATATGTGTCCACAATAGATAAAAGAACAAATGTATTGCAATAAATTTAACGGCACTGATAAATAATGGAGCTTATTGTTTTGTAACTTTTTTTTTTATTGTGTGTAGCTACAAAACTGACTGAGCAATTTTGCATTTATTTTTTATTAAAATTTTCATATAAAAGTGAAGTTCATAATAAAAAAAGATGCACTTTTTATTCTAAATAAAAGAAAATGAAATAAATGTCCTTAGGCTTTTCAAAGATGCAAAACCTCCATGACAAATAAGAAAAAAAACACCTGTCCAATGAAAAAAATGTACTTAATTTTTTTACGAATATAATTTAGAAAAAATTATTTATTTACTCACTGTGAAATGAGTATTTTTTTTCTTGTGTAGTACTTTGGTATTATTTACAAAGTAAGCAACAATTTTAATTACGATTTTTGGACAGGAATTATGTGACAAAAAAAAAACCCTGTCGAAAGTGTCGAATTATTTAATCACTTTTGTTCAGTATTATTCCGAGGTATTCTAAATTTATATCTTTCTCAATTCAAATTTTTTTTCAAATCAAGAAAACATTTTTTTTTTTGCAATGAAATTCAATTCTGTTGAATTAATGTGAATTTTAATTTTGTTCAAATATTTCTTTAATTTAAAACACGATTTGAAAAGTTTACAAATCAGAAAAGAAGTGTAAAGAGCAATTTGGATTGAGATTGATAGAAATTTTATTGTTTCGACAGTAATTAATTGTTTTGTAAGTAAACAGAAGAATGAAATATTCGAAATTTTTGCTAGGGAAATAAATTTAATTTAAAAAAGTCTCTCTGTAATTGTAAAATTATAAATTCTACGAATATTGTCAAATAAGAGGTTAAGTAATTTGTAGAGTTTTTGCGAAAAAAAAATAATAATAATGTTGTTTCAACATTCCATAAAATGAAAAATTATGGAATAAAGCTGACAGATTTTTATATTAACTCAAGTGTCCAATTTTTAAGTGAGTTTTTGATAATGAAACATAATATATTTAAGTCTGCGGTATTTTTGTACTTTTTGATAGAAGCCTGTATCTTTAATAACTTTTTAAACACATTTTGGAAATTTTGTTTCTTACAGTTTTATACTAAACAGAGGTTTTTAGACTGTATTACTGATGAATTTCATTTTTTTAAAAACTATTTCATTATTTTTTATAATTTTATCTAAAATAATGAGAGTTGAAAAAAAAATTTTAATTCATTTTGTAATTTTTATAACATAATTTCCATTTTACTTAATCTCTTAACTTATTTTAATAAATATGTGATAAATTAGTATTTTTAGGATTGCGGCAGTTTTACTTTTTATAAATTAAATTAGAATCAATAATAATAATAATGATAATAGTTGTTGTTGTTGTTGTTATTGACGTGAAATTGTATTACACAACAACATTGTAATGGAAAATAATCTCAGTGATCTGTTTTTGTAATAATGTCATTTAAGTACAATTTTTTTTTTTTTATTTTACAATATTGTAGAATATTCTCATATATTCTGAAAATGGTATTTTATATTATGCTCATTTTAATAGTGTGTAACTAGTTGACAGTTTGCGGTTCCATTGTTACCGACAAAGTCTAAAACAAATAAATCTTTATAATTGCAAATATTTTGAGTTATTTAAATATCATTAATCAAATAATTTTTTTTTATTTTTGTTCCGATATTTTAAATTTTGTGAAACTGACATTATATTCGTAATCAGTGACCAAAAAAATCCTTGGGTACAAAGTTCTATGCAAATGTTACATCCCGAGCGAAAGCCCAGATAGCACGGAAACTTGCAGCAAGCTTGCGGCAAGCTTACCGTGCAAGCTTGTCTGAGCTTGCGAAATGTCCCACCCAGGGCAAGCTTGCTGTAAGCTTTCCAGGAAAGGTTACTACAATCTTGCCATGAAAGATTACTACAAGATTGCGGCAAGCTTGCCGTGAAAGATTGCTACGTAAGGTTGCAGGAGAATTTCAACAAGTTTCTGGAAAGGTTGCTGCAATTTTTAAAAAATACATTTTAAATTAAAAAAAAATTTATTTGTTTTCTAAATTTGAAAATCCTTGTGACGTTCATTATTATTAATTATGTCCTGTTTATTTTCATTTGGAAACTTAACGAGAAAATTTTCGAAACAAATTTGAGGGGACTGGGAATTGAACCCGGGTTCGACAGACACTAACCAAAGACCATAACCGAGAACCTACTCGACCAACTATCAGAGAATAAAAAAATCTTGCTCTTAACCCTCGTTTTTCAACTGTTTGTCAACTCATAAAAACAGTCGAGGGTTAAGAGCAAGATTTTTTAATTCTCTGATAGTTGGTCGAGTAGGTTCTCGGTTAGGGTCTTTGGTTAGTGTCTGTCGAACCCGGGTTCAATTCCCAGTCCCCTCAAATTTGTTTCGAAAATTTTCTCGTTAAGTTTCCAAATGAAAATAAACAGGACATAATTAATAATAATAAACGTCACAAGGATTTTCAAATTTAGAAAACAAATAAATTTTTTTTCAATTTAAAATGTATTTTTTCAAAATTGCAGCAACCATTCCAGAAGCTTGTTGAAATTCTCGTGCAACCATACGTAGCAAGCTTACAGCAATCTTTCACAGCAAGCTTGCCGCAATCATTCTTAGTATGCTTGCAGCAATCTTGTAGCAATCTTTCATGGCAAGATTGCAGTAACCTTTTCTGGAAAGCTTACAGCAAGCTTTCACGGCAAGCTTGCCCTGGGTGGGACATTTCGCAAGCTCAGACAAGCTTGCCGTAAGTTTTCGTGCTATCTGGGAGGTGAGGTTGAATTTAATTTTAATTAATAAAATTAATTCTAAAATTTTGGAATGTTAGTGTCTAAAGTTTAAGCTATTTCTAAAAAAATGGAGCCAAGATTCACTTTTTTCAACGAATTTTCAAAATTACAAATATTCTTAAAATTTGTTTTAAAAATACATAATTTTATGATTATTCAATTATATGATGTTATATCCGAAAAGGCAACATAATTATTAAATTTCAATTTATTTTTGAGTCTGGACTCATTGTCCTGAACTCAGGAAGCCCTCAAATTGATCTATTTTGAAAGTGGATAAATTTAAAGGATTTAAATGATAATAACACTAGTTTACAGCAATTTTGATCCACAACATTTTTTTCTTATTTCCCATGTAAAATGACCTCCTGGATCCGAAAATGAAGTCCAAATTTAAAAAAGTAGAACAGTTTGTAAGATATTCTTGTTTTTTTCAAATTTTTCGTTTTCAAAAAATGTATAATTATAAATTATTATAATTATTAATTATAATAATTAATTTATAAAATATTATAATCTTTTTTACCTTTACAGTCACTTAGAAAAGATTTTAGTGGATGTCACTACAAGCTGAGTGACAATTACAAAAAATTTTTGCCGCTCTTTGACTTACTAATCAAATGGTTTAGTTAACTAGAAGTTTGTCAGATGTACTTAACGAATAGTAAATCTGAGATCTATGAATTGTGTTACTTTTAAGACGTGAAGTAAATTTCACTTAATTAATATGTGATAGTGAGATTCACTAAAAATCTTCTTCCCGTGAATACTTAATGATTTTGTTTACACAGTCACAACTGTTAACAATATTCTAATAGTGCTACAGTGACAGTTTGCAACCTGAATACAAAATCTGCCAAAAGCAAACGAAAATCTAGTTTTTCGCATAGTTCATTAGTTGAGGGATTTACAAAAAAGGGAAATGAGTGCTAAAAAACGTAAATTTAATTGCACGAATGATCCAAACAAGTTTTGCTTTGCTTGTGGCGAATATATTTTTGCGACAGCGCGAAATTTTACCCAAACATTACAAACAGCGTATCATTTATATTTTAAAATTTTGCCGGAGAATCTTGACAAATCCTGGACGCCAAATGTTTTGTGCAACACTTGTAAATCCCTCAACTAATGAACTCTGCGAAAAGCTAGATTTTCATTTGCTTTTGGCAGATTTTGTATTCAGGTTGCAAACTGTCACTGTAGCACTATTAGAATATTGTTAACAGTTGTGACTGTGTAAACAAAATCATTAAGTATTCACGGGAAGAAGATTTTTAGTGAATCTCACTATCACATATTAATTAAGTGAAATTTACTTCACGTCTTAAAAGTAACACAATTCATAGATCTCAGATTTACTATTCGTTAAGTACATCTGACAAATTTCTAGTTAACTAAACCATTTGATTAGTAAGTCAAAGAGCGACAAAAATTTTTTGTAATTGTCACTCAGCTTGTAGTGACATCCACTAAAGTCTTTTCTAAGTGACTGTAAAGGTAAAAAAGATTATAATGTAACGTAGAAACGAAAATACTGAAAATATGCGAAAAAATCAAATTTCCACATTTTTACTAAAACGCTTATAACTTTCATATTTTTTAACCGAATTTGTTATAAAATTCCTATTATTTATAATCATAAATAGTGAATGATTCTTATAAAAATATAATAATTTTTAAAACTTCAAAATTAATTTAATTTGATAATTAAAATTAAATTAGAATTAATTTCATATTTTCGGAAATTTTATTATTTGGGAATAATAAATTAAATTGAAATTTTAAACATTAATATTTAAACTTAACTAATAATTAAACAAACAATTAAGAATTCGCTAAAATTTATTTATTATTTATTATTTTTAACAAATAGAAATAAAACAGGTTCCAAAAAGAAGCAAATAAATAATTTGTAATAATTTGTAAATTTGTAAAATAGATGTTTGCTCTTTAAGAATTGATAAAAAAATTCACAAAAATACGAAGAAATAACGCAGGATGTTACAATTTTTTTGCCTTTAAAATATTTTCAATACTTTTTTTTTGTAAACAAAATAATTTTTAATTATTTATTCTAATTGTAAATATATTTTAAACTTTTTTAAAATTACTTTATAGATGTGAATATTGCAATTGTTTTTTCATCCTGATTTTGGTAACAGAGTATTGATCAAACATCGCATAACCATATTTGTCAAATTAACAGTAATTCTTGAACAAAAGTTAAATGAGATTTGTAAATAAATTATAAAAATCAAAATTTACACCATTTTTACTACGATACTATCATTTTTTTAAAAAATATTTCTGTTTTATTGTCGTATAATTGGAATAAATAAATTTGCATACTATTTTGCAAAAAAGACTCGTAAGTATGTAATAAAATGATCAGGTTTTTATAAATAGGTTAAATAGAACGTTTTTAAAATTTTTTATTGTTTGGGTAAAAAAAATAATTTTTTGTTTTCAACAAAATTTTAATGGCTCAAACAATTTATTTTTTTTTGCAAATTTTTGGTTTTAACTAATTTTTTCTAGTAATTTAAGTTTTTTTTAAATAAAGATAGAAATTTTTTTGTATTTTTATTGTTCATTTTTTTCAAAAAATATTAATTTATTAAAAATTGTTTTCAAGTACACTTAGAATTATTTGTTTATCTATTTATTTATTTACATATATACGGGCACTGGCCTTTCTTACAAGTGTACTTAATTATATAAAATATAAGAAAAATGACTCTGCAAAACAATGATTTACTATAACTTAATTGATACCAAAGATTTCAGTATACGTAGATTATCTAGTTTTTTGCAATTTTCATTAAAAAATTGCTGAAATGATATTTTGTGTACCATAGATTTATTTTTATAATAATTAAATGTTAATATTTGTATAGTATTATTTTTTTGAAATTTATAAAGTTTTTTAAAGAGAGAAACAGTTTTTAATAAATTAAATTTATTTAAACATATAAACAGCAAAGTAAACATTTTTTTAATATAAATGATAAAATTATTTTAATTTAAATTTTTGAATTTTTAAAAGGTTTGAATAGTAAAATCAGACAAAATGAAAGTTGCATTTTGTACAGATATGGATAAGTCTGTTATAGTTTATAACTTTGAAAAACGTGGATGGATTCAAGTTGGACCTGAGGAAGATTGGAATTTTTATTGGTAAGACATTTGGTATCTATTTATTTGGACTAATAATTAGATTAACAAATTGTCACCGGTAACATGCGAGTAAAACTAAAAAAACATATATTATTTTAAATAAAATTTCCGTTAAGGGTATGTGGGAACCTCCCACGTGACCTAGTATGGGAAAATGTGTTTTGGTAGTATACATCTTACTCTAAAATGGAAAAAGATTTTTCTCTAAAATTTTGAGGAATGATAGATTTGGGTACAAATAATCTCGCTGTTCTCCGAAAAATACAAAATTTTGCGTTAAATTATTAAAAAATAAAGTTTAAAAAGTGTCATTTTTAAACGAAAATGAAAACAAAGATGGCGGCGCATACACAATCGTTGCTTGAGGGTACGGTCACACGACTTTTGGAAAAACCATTCTTGTCTTTCTCTCTCCTATTACAGACGCATAAGTTTGTCTCACTCTGCATTTTCCGTCTTTGGGAAATGTAAGAAAATGCAGAGTGAGACAATCTTATGCCTCTGTCTTAGGAGAGAGAAAGACATGAATGGTTTTTCCAAAAGTCGTGTGACCGTACCTTGAGTGCGTCAGTGCTCTAGTAAACAGTGCCAATTCGAGCGAGTGGCCGCTGAATGAACTATGATAAAACACATTATTTTACTATTTATTGCTTTATTTTTATTATTTTTGCGTTAAGTTATAGTAATTGAGAAGAACAGCGAGATTCCTTGCGCCAAACAAAATCATTTTTCCAAAATTTTAATCCGAAATCATTTTTTATTTTAGAGAAAGAGCGAAACCACAAAAAACGTCCTTTGCCCGCACATACTTTTAAGCTGTCGTAAATAATTTATTTTTATTAAAAAATATTGTATGTTAAAAAAACGATAGTAAATTTGTAGATTTAACGATTATTTCCTCAAGGGGATATTGCAATCATTTCCAGCAAAGTTTAGAAGCTATTAGAAAATGATTTTTTGCCGCTCACCATCATTTCAGAAAAATAAATATTTTCTATTTTATTATAGGGCTGCTACTGTGTCTTGCAGAAATATTTTTAGTGTGGAAATAGGTTATAGAATGCAAGATAATCAGTAAGTTATTAATTGTATTTTTTATTTATTTCTACAATTTTCATTCGTTGCTGATTTCTATTTTTATTTTTCACAAACATATAAAATAAAAAAAAAATGAATATAGTCTTAAAGTGTAAGTATGCATTTTGATACAATACAATAAAAATTTTATTTTTCCCATATCCCCTTGGAAAATAAAAATAATTCAACGAAAAGGAATTTTTAAAAATTTAAAATATAAATACTTCTTCATACAAAGCCTTCATGCCACGAATATTTAGTAATTTCTGGTAATTTAACAAAGACTCTTCATTACTAGAGCTATCAATCATTTTCCAAATCATTATGAATTGACACGTAAAGATCTTCTGGTGAAAAATATCAAAAGATATCGCAAAGATTTAGAACGTGAAGGAAGTCCCCTTGCTGAAAAAGGCGATGGACCAGGGAAATATGTCTATTTAAACTTCATTCCAGTGACATTTGTCCTACCTGCAGGTATTATATTTTCTATGAAACGTTTCTTAGAGACGCATGAATTTTCTCCAAATTTCAAATGGCCTAAAACTTAATTACCCTAAATTCAATTGGCCTTAAATTCGAATAAACTAATTATTACAAGATAATTAGGAGTAAGCGAAACCGAATTGGCAGGGACTTAAGCTCAATTTGGTTTCGTGTCTAAACCGAATTGGGACGTTACGGTAAATTATTTTTTTCTTATCTTGAATTCTTTTCACCTGAATCGTTTGAATTTATGTTTATTGATTCGAGTTGGCATCATAACTGAAAGAGTGATTGATCTTAAGTGTAAAAATGCCGATTACGAACAGGAAATATGGAATTTTGTTAAATTGTTTTCGGTATTCACGGTTCTCAAGTTTTTATCAATCTAATTACACTTACGCCAACCGCGGGAAATTGTGGTATTAAACTCTGTATTCGGTAAACACGTGATTTTAATACCGAGGTTTTCCTCTAGAGGCGCAAGTGTAATTAGATTGGTGAAAACTTGAGAACTGTGAATACCGAAAACAGGGCTACATTCCGTTAGAGCCGGCCATAGGTGATATGTCTCCTTATACTACTTCGTGGTGTTGATCTATTATCATATGAATTACCATCCCAGTAAAAAAAGATTTATTGAGCAAGCGATTTGGCTGATTGAGCAAGCCGTCTGCCCAATTGTCTAAACGACATTCGGACAATTGGACTGTTTGCTCAATCATCCAATGCATTATGCCCAATCACCAACATTGTATTTCGCGTCTAATAAAAGAAGAAATCGGTCCGAGTGTTGAGAAAATGATAAATCATGAATAATTATTGTTAAAAAGCAAGAAGTAATATATAAAAATACCTGAAATAAGAATAAATAACGAGTTTTGTAAAATGTTATTTTTTAGTTGACAGTGCACTGATGTAATATGAATTTTGTCGGTAAAAGTGAGGAGTATGATAAAGAGAAACGTTTCTTTATCGACTCGTGATACATTTCAATTGATAATAAAAAATTGTAGATTTCTTGTTTTTTTAAAAAATAAGGAGAAATTTCAATTGAGTATTTAAAAATAAATTTTAATTGATTTAATTTAATTTAATTAGTGGATTAATGAATCAGTGAAGTGAATTAAATTAAATTAGGTTAAATACATTGAATAGTGGTAAGTAATTATATTTTGTAAAATTATTATTTATCAATAGAATTATATTCTTTGTTAATTTGTCTAGTATTATTCTTTTTACAAAAAAATAAGTATAAATAAAAAAATGAGCCTCATAACAAGAATTATTTGGTCAATATTTTAGGAAGGTGTCATTTGAAGAAAATATTGAAAAAAAATTAAAAAATTTTACTGTTAATTTAAATTTTTATAAAAAAAGACGCAAATAAAAATGTTTAAATTTAACTTAATAATAAATTGACCAATTATTATTAATTATTATTTTTCTCACAATTATCGTGATACTATATATATTTATAAAAAAAACAGCATTTTTGCTTCATATGCCAAATATTTGAATAATTAGATGTTTTTTTTTATTATAGATCCGGGAGCATTATATGTTTTAGTGTAAATTATATTTTGATCCTTGATATATAAAAATAAAATTTTCTTTAAAATAATTGGATTAATTTAAATCTCCTATTTATTGTTTCTTTTAATAAAAATCCTATTTTATTTAATTAATTGAGTTTAATAATATAAATATATTATTATTAAATTCAATTATTTTACTTACCAGTTTTTATTTATACTTATTTTTTTAAAAAGAATAATACTAGACAAATTAACAAAGAATATAATTCTATTAATAAATAATAATTTTACAAAATATAATTACTTACCACTATTCAATGTATTTAACCTAATTTAATTTAATTCACTTCACTGATTCATTAATCCACTAATTAAATTAAATTAAATCAATTAAAATTTATTTTTAAATACTCAATTGAAATTTCTCCTTATTTTTTAAAAAAACAACCCTGGCGGATTCGATTTGCGTAATGTCTACTTAACTAAGCGGACTTTAGGTAGACATTAGGTAGACATGTAAAAAAACGTATAAAAAAGCTATTAATCGACTTATTATGATAAAAAAAGTTGATAAAAGGGTAAATGAATGTTTATAGAGTAAATTCGTACAAAATTTGTAATTAATAAAGCAATAAATAATTAATAATGAATGGAAATGTGCGCGAGGTACCTGATCAGTTCAGCTGTACAATTATTTTCGTGCTATTTTCATGAAAAGAATATAAATTAACTGCAAAAACAATTGATATTTATAAAAAAAGTGTAAAATTAATTTAATTTTATTGTTTGCAATACGAATTATTAAATAATAATTAAGTTTTTATCAAATGTGAATAGTGTTGTAAAAACCTGTGAAAACTAATGAGTTACTACATTACCGATCGCATATGACAGATGGCGCCACCAGTTTTTACAATACAGTGCGAGCATGTTTTCTTCCAAGCTTTTGCTTTGAAAGAAAATAAAAAGTGAATTTTAAAATGCAGAATAAAGTTATACAAATAAATATTGATTTCATAATTGTTTCTCGTCCAAAATTACGGACATGATTGCAGCTTTTTTGTTACACTCATCGAGAACTTTTTATTATCATATGCGATCGGTAATGTAGTAACTCATTAGTTTTCACAGGTTTTCACAACACTATTCACATTTGATAAAAACTTAATTATTATTTAATAATTCGTATTGCAAACAATAAAATTAAATCAATTTTACACTTTTTTTATAAATATCAATTGTTTTTGCAGTTAATTTATATTCTTTTCATGAAAATAGCACGAAAATAATTGTACAGCTGAACTGATCAGGTACCTCGCGCACATTTCCATTCATTATTAATTATTTATTGCTTTATTAATTACAAATTTTGTACGAATTTACTCTATAAACATTCATTTACCCTTTTATCAATGTCTACCTAAAGTCCGCTTAGTTAAGTAGACATTACGCAAATCGAATCCGCCAGGGAAGAAATCTACAATTTTTTATTATCAATTGAAATGTATCACGAGTCGATAAAGAAACGTTTCTCTTTATCATACTCCTCACTTTTACCGACAAAATTCATATTACATCAGTGCACTGTCAACTAAAAAATAACATTTTACAAAACTCGTTATTTATTCTTATTTCAGGTATTTTTATATATTACTTCTTGCTTTTTAACAATAATTATTCATGATTTATCATTTTCTCAACACTCGGACCGATTTCTTCTTTTATTAGACGCGAAATACAATGTTGGTGATTGGGCATAATGCATTGGATGATTGAGCAAACAGTCCAATTGTCCGAATGTCGTTTAGACAATTGGGCAGACGGCTTGCTCAATCAGCCAAATCGCTTGCTCAATAAATCTATACAATGCAAATTAGATACTAATCTCTAGAAAACATAACGATGAAAGAACTAGCTATTCTAGAGGAGCGTTCGCTGAGCTCCGATCGCGCTCGTCATTAATCCGTAATAAAACGGATTTGAACATATTTACCACGTTCGCGAAGATGTTGATCAGAACAACGCATATTACTTTAGCGTGAGGTACTTTCTAAAATTTACCCCCTAGACGACGGTATGGACGGATACTAGGGTCGTGCACGCTAGGTCGATTATTATTTGTAGTCGGGAAGAAGCTAGATATTGGATTCGGTTCCAATATTCATGCCCGACGCGAAGCTAGTGCAAAGTAATATTCACTAGGTGTCTCCTAGTGAAGCGCCTTCTCACCCGAGAAGCGCCTCGAGATGAGGAATCGACATAGTGCATCATCTTTGTCAAGAGAGGAGCGACTCTACTCGACAAGGACGGTCCTGGTGGAAGTGAGTAGGTAACCTGGTTCACCAGTCTTCCAAGGAAGCGGCCATAGAAAGTCCGGTACACCAGGAGGAAGGAAGGCGAAGGGTGTTACTGTTCCGCAGGAGCGCCTACAGGAACAAGTACAGCTCCTTCTAGGAAGTAAGGAAGGCTCCGGTGTTCAGAGAGACACACCTCTACTGAGCACCAGGTAGCCAGGAGTGAGTCGCTTCCAATCGTCAGAGAAGCACCTCTAGACGAGTCGGAAGAAGACTGAGGAAAAGGTGCGAGACGAAAGGTATATCACTAGCAGCTAGGTGACAGCGAGTGGTGGGGGAAGAGAGTGACACTACCACTTACGCTGTCTACTTTCTCTCTTTTCGCCGCGCCACTATACTTCGATACTCTATCGTTACAAAGTCAAATCAATAAATGTTAATTCAATCAATTCAGGTGAAAAGAATTTAACGTAACGTCCCTATTCGGTTTAGACGCGAAACCGAATTCAGCTTAAGTCGCTGCCAATTCGGTTTCACTTACGCCCAATTCTTTTTTTTACTGGGGTGATATCACCGATCCCAAAAATCCCAGAGTAACGAGTTTCAAATCAAGTTTATGCTTTTTAATTAAGAAAAATTTTGTATTTTATTAATGGACCAAAAAAACCAGATGAGGATTATTTTGAAAATTAAACGGTTAACGCCTGAACAATCGTATAAAGCCAAAAATTGTAGATCTCCTTTTTTTTAACTCTTTGTAGATTGGCGTAGGATAAATTAATAAAACTCACAATATTCACAATTTATTTACTTGTTTATCAATAATTATAATATTTCACAATAGTAACCAAAAATTTGTATATATAATTTTTATTTTTATGTCGAAAGAAAGTCAATTGTTAACTATTATATAAAATTTAGTCACTCCACATGAAATAAACTCCATATAACATTAATTATTATTTAAATTTAAAGAGCTCTAATCGTCAGCTGCCAATTACAAAGTCGGATCGAGTGCTGATTAATCATTATTCATTATATTTCTCAATGAGGGTTGATGATTCACACATCTATTCCTTTCAATAGAATTAATTAATATTTTCATTACTACAAGCATTGTTTAACTATACAATTTTTTCATATTAAGATTACAATATGTTCGTCGAGGAATATCGTAAATGTCCACAGAGTACGTGGATAATGAAGCCATGTGGAAAATCTCAAGGAACTGGCATTTTTTTGATAAACAAATTAAGTAAATTAAGAAAGTGGTCAAGAGAAGCAAAAACATTTTTGAATCCAAATCTAGTTAAAGAACTTTATGTTATCTCAAGGTACATATTTATAGCAAACCGAATTGCAGTTTGTTAAATTTTTTTATTATAGTTATATTACATATAAAATAATTTAGCAGAGCAATATGTTACCTCCCTGAAGTTGGCGTCGACGCTCAGCGTCAAAAATTATTTTTTATGGGACCAAAAATATCAAATCATTTTTGAAAACGTTTTCGGTCCACATAATACCTTGAAAAGTATTTCTCAAGGTATTATTTGGACCGAAAGTATTTTTAAAAAAATAATTTGACATTTTTGGGCCTGTAAAAATAATTTTCGGCGCTGAGCGTCAACGCCAACTTCATGGAGATAATATGTTGAAATCTTAGGGAACTATCAGAGTTCGAGATTTTTATAAATCAATTTATTTTTTCTAAAAAAATACAGTGTTTTCAAAATACGTTTAAAAAATTTATCTATTTAGGTACATAGAAAATCCTTTACTGATAGGAGGTAAAAAGTTTGATTTACGATTATATGTACTCATTACATCTTTCCGTCCACTGAAAGTATATCTTTTTAAACTTGGATTTTGTCGATTTTGTACAGTAAAGTACGATACAAGTATGCAAGAGTTGGACAATATGTATGTTCATCTTACAAATGTATCTGTACAGAAACATGGGGTGAGTTGCTTTAAATTCACTATTTTCAAAAATTAAAAGATAAACACCGCATCAGTTGAACAATATTAATTATTAATTAATATTAATTATTAACATTAGCACTTTTAAAAATTCGATGTTTTCAAAGTTTTCATTATAATGTAACGTTTGTAATTGTAAGAATCAATATTTTAGCTCGCCGAGCCAGGGTTCGTTTTGATTCCAACAAAAATAATAACAGGATAATTACGGGCTAATTACAAACTGAAACAAATTATTTATTTACAATGGTATTTACAGGTGACGAAAATATACAGGCGTGCAGATAAATCGCGGAAGTCGGTTTCACACAACGATTGTCGGCGTCTATCGCGATACGTTGAGCCGCGGAATCGAGAATCGGCATCAATCTGGTAACGTCGCTTATTTGAGCCGCGCATTAACAAAATCGGCTTCAACTCGCTGCGATGAGCTGCGAAATCAATTGTAATACTGCCTAAAAATTCGCGATATACTGACTAACTACGAGTAAAACTCGTGTTCCAATTATACAAAGAGTAAAACTCTAAGTATATCTAAAAAACGGTACAAAGAACGGTAAATCTATTTTAAATTGCGGGAATACGATATTTCTTTACTATACATTTGTTACATTACTTTACATCTCGATACGTTACTTTACAATTCTCTACTATACATTACGTTACATTACATAGCGATACATTAATTTACAATTCGTTACTATACACTATTTACACATAAAACCGATATAATGTTCGACGGGTAAAACCCGACGAACGAGAGTGAAACTCTCTACAAAGATTTTCGGAGTAAAACTCCTAGTCAAGTGGGTAAGACCTACCCGGACTCCGTGTAGCACGAGAGTGACGGTCCTCAGCGAGAGCGCAGCTTATATAGCCGATCCGTGGGCTGGGCGCACGCGAGTGAGCTTTGGCGATGCGGCCCGCGCGGCGAAATCGGGTACTACGTCTTTGTGCTCCGCGGTCGGTAACATGTTTATCGACGCGCGATAATATTTAGTACAAATATTTACTGGCCGATTTCTAACTATCATTACAATAAATTTAATGAATAGTAAATATATATTTTTTTTTACTGAAAATAGGAAGAATACAATAGTTTACATGGAGGAAAATTGAGTGTTCAAAATTTGCGACTCTATTTAGAAAGTACTCGAGGAAAACTTGTTACCCAGAAACTATTTGAAAATATTTCCTGGTGTATCATCCATTCCTTAAAAGCTGTAACACCAGTAATTGCTAATGACAGACATTGCTTTGAATGCTACGGTTATGACATCATCATAGACAATAAACTGAAGCCTTGGTTAATAGAGGTAATGTATATATATATATATTATTACTTGACAATGGTTGAGTGCTCTAAATATAAATATTTTTCGTAAACTTTAGCGAAACGATAAATCTATATAAGGATCCGCTCGCCGGATGGGGGCAGAGTCTTTATTTATTTTTACCTTCGAAAGAAAATATATTGTTTAAATAAAAGAATAATTAAAATACAGACTTAAAATAATATTTAATGAACAAAAGAACGTTTTCTATGCAAAAATATACAGAATGAATATGAAACAATATCAAATATAAGAAAGTGAATTTAGGTAACGTCGCGCTTAACCGTTGATGATCGGTTGGTCGCTCGCAATGCCCTTTACAATAATCTGGACATTTTCCTGTCTATTAAATACGTATAAATCTTTAAAATAACGGGCTCGCGTTTACTCAGAGGTTTTTCTAATAAATTATGTTAGATGTGAATGTAAGCTATATCACGGCAAACGATAACTAGGGCGTGCACTTAGAGAAAAGTGACTATATAAGTGAGTCAATTCGGTTGAAGATCAGGTATGTACCAGAAACTTTTACGGGTGTTTTCGAGATCCGTGCTGTCAGCACGCTGTGAGAACGAAGGGGTTCTCAACTGATTTTTAACGACTTTTTTTGAAAACTTCTTATGATTGGTCAATTACATATTAAAAGCGCGTGTATATGAAACAGGCTTTAATTTCTGGTGTTATTGAGAAAAAAGTTCTAGGAATTTTGTGAAAAATGCTGTGCCTACACTACACTTGTGTGCTGATAGCACGCTTTGTCTTTTTACTCGCAGCATCGCAGCAGTAACACGTGACAGACAGTCCAGTATTTGAAATATGGAAGGCGACGAAGATTTTGCAGTTCCAAGGCTTCTGCTAAGTATTATGAACATGCTCCTAGAGGATGATGATTTCGATGCAATAGTGGAGACAATTGTTGCAGATGATGAGAGAGAGCATCATCCTAAAATTAGTGGGTTCTTTGAAGAAGTGATACCCATGTATCCATTATCAGGTAAATATATTATTTTCATAAATTTCTGTAGGGTTGATGTACCGATTTCTGCCAGTTTCGTAAAATTTTCATTTTATTATTTATTATTTTTAATATATCTTAAAATAATAATAATATAATAATTGCATTTTATTATTAATTACTCTGTATTTTATAAAAAAGAATTCAATAATATACAATTGCAATTATTTAAAATTTAAAGAAATTTTATTTTTAAAAAGAAATGAATTTTAGAAAATTTTTAATTTTAAAATGTTTTAATGAATTGAATTTTCAAAGAATTTTATTGAAATTATTGATTTGTTGAAAAGAGGTAATTAGTTCTGAATATAATTTTTGTTAAAACTTTTAGAAATAATTCATTTTTAGGACATTTGAAATAGAGAATCTTGTAGTTTTTAATTGCTTACAATTATTATTATTATTATTATTATTATTATTATTTCAAGAGATTTGACCTTAAAATTATTAAAAATTTCAACTGATGAACAATTTTATCAAAATTTTAACAATAATTTAATTTTAGAGAATACTTACAAATTGGAAAATGTTTGAAATACCTTAAAATATAATATTTGAAAGAAAAATTTAAAAACTTTAATATATAATATAATGTATGAGGTAAATGAATAATATAATATGTTACATAAAATTTAATAGATTCGCGAATATAATGAAATTATTTTCAAGCATTATATTAATCTTTTTTCTTGTTTTCTTGTACTTCAGATTTTAAATCCCACTTCAGGATGTCACGAGCGATATTTAATACAGTGATGGAAAATATTGCTCCTTCAGTGATTAGCAAAAATGACGTACCTGAGGCTGTTGGACCCGAAAAGCAGTTCTGTGTAGCTCTATGGTATTTTGCTAATCAGGAAGTGTATAGGTATGTATGTAAACAGTTAAAAACTTACTGCATTTCTTTTGAGGAGGTCCGAATTAATACCTGCATGTAAATAAAATGATTATAAATGCAATAATAGTAATTTGTAGCAATGAAAAACTAATTATAAATATTGAATATTTATATTATAATGTATTACTGTTTTTTCCTTAACAATTATTTTGCATAATTTATTTCAGACTTACGACAAAAATTTGATTTTGTTTTTTCTCGACTTTTGTCTGATTTTCATACGAAATTTTAACTTTTTCTTTGACTTGAAATTAGTAGGTACTTTAGTTATAAAACTTTTAGTTTCTTAAAAAATTCATATGAACAGATCGGGCCTTCACACAAAATAATTCCGTGAAACTAGTTTGTTATTTTTAACGACATACTGTAATAAGTAATTCTACATCATTTTTGTAGAAGCATTGCTGATCGTTTCGGACTTTCTATCAATACTGCATGGAGACATACAATCAAAGTTGCGAGAGTCTCATGTGAAAAATCGATTGAGTACATACGGTGGCCTGAAGGTGCAGAAATAAGGAGGATAGAACAATCATTCCGAGTTATGACTGGGTTTCCGAATATAATTGGAGCTGTCGATGGATCGCATATCGAGATTGCTGCTCCTTCTGTTGACGCTATCAGTTATATCAATCGGAAAGGTTTTCATGCACTTTTGATGCAAGGAATATGTGATGATCGAATGAAGTTTATTGATGTCTTCGCTGGCATGTGTGGCAGCGTTCACGACTCTCGTGTTTGGGCTCTTAGTGATATAAAAGCTGCTATTGATGCAGAACCGGCCAGGTATTTTCCTGGAGATACCCACATTATTGGAGATAAGGCTTATGGCCTTCAGCCTTTCTTGTTGACGCCTTATCGAGACCTTGGACGCTTAACACCAACGCAGGTCAATTACAATACCACGTTGTCGAGAAATCGAATAATCATAGAGAGGGCTCTATGTCTTTTGAAAGGACGTTGTCGTAGGTTAAAGTATTTATACCTACAAAAAGTTAAGTTAGGGCCCTTGATAATTTTAGCTTGCGCTGTTCTACACAATAAGTGCCTCGAGTTCAATGACGAGATGAACGAAGAGATTCTAGCCGAAGAACAGAATTTCCCGAATGAAGAAGATGCTGATTTTCATGGCATGAATGATGCACAAAGAAGACATCTAGCTGAAAGAAAAAGGGACAATATTGCAGAAATTCTGATGCAAGAAAGGAGGCATTAATCCTCAATTTGAAATTTTTAAAAACATTAACAAATGTTTTATAATTGATAGAAATAAAATACTTATTTGCAAGAATAACATTTTTAAGAAATAATCATTTTTTCGCCTCCAAACTATTTTCTCTTCTCCTGAATTGTGAGAATATCAAAAAATTTCAAATTATATTATTTTAATTTAATGCAATTATAATTGAAACTGTATTTCATACACGACAATAATTACAAAATTTATTTAAAAAATTGTTTTAACTGGAAAACAGCGGTTGCCTCCAAATTATTTTCGAAAAATATTTTGGAGGGAAATGCTAAAACTATAATTTATTGCAATAAAGTTTAATTAAAATATTGTTTAAAACTTATTTTTTCACATGTACATATTGAACAATTTTTATTTAAGAACAATATGGCCCAATATTTATTTGCAAAAATAACAAACTTAAAAAATACTCATTTTGTCGCCTCCAAAATATTTTCTCTTCTCCTGAATTATAAAAATATCGAAAAATTGTGAATAATATTATTTTAATATAATGCAATTATAATTGAAACTGTATTTCTTACACGACAATAATTACAAAACTTATTTAAATAATTGTTTTAACTGGAAAACAGCGGTTGCCTCCAAATTATTTTCGAAAAATATTTTGGAGGGAAATGCTAAATCTATAATTTATTGAAATAAAGTTTAATTAACCTTTAAAGTGCATGGGGGGTGTTTGACACCCAGCCCAATTTTCGGATTCTCGAAACCATTACTTAATTCGAAAAAATCGGATATCATCTCATATAATTAAAATGAATAAATGATTAAACTGCTACTTGCATACTAAAATAGATATGTTAAACCATGTAGGATAAAATTTTTGTAACAAAATATTCAATAGCGGATGAGTAAGGAACCTTCAAAGTCACTTGGGTGTCAGGCACCCGCGATGCATTGAATGATCGATTTTTCAACGATGCACTTTAAAGGTTAAAATATTGTTTAAAACTTATTTTTTCACATGTACATATTGAACAATTTTTATTTAAGAACAATATGGCCGTCGAGGTTTGGTTAGGTGCATATTTTAAAGTGTCATTCATAGGTGCGATTACAAAACTCAGTCAGAAAATGGTTGAGAACCGTTTCATGCTATCAGCACGCTGACAGCACGGATCTCGAAAACACCCTAAGTGTCGTGAACTAGGAACATCTAGGAACTTCCTCGGGGAAATATCTTAAACCAGGGGGCACTTTGAGTCAAAGATACGTCCCTGAGATACTTACAAAGAGCTCCTACAGATAATTAACGGATACGGTACTCTAGGATATTGGCTAAGACGTCACATTCCCAACCTCTCGCAGACGCTCCTGAAGAGAGATTGCGGGAATGGTGTTCTAGGTACTAAGAAGGTATCTTCACAATTTCTCGCAGAAGCTGGAGTTGTTATCATTTTCTCCAAAACCCATTTGACAGAATATCTAAATGTCAAAAACTTATTTCTCCGAATACTTATGTAACCGAAAGTACACTGATCAGAATATTTAATTCACAAAAATTCTACTTGTCAAAATGTTTAAATTTCCGAATCTTCATTTGACAGAATATTTAACTTTCCAACACTTTATTTGTTAGAATATTTAACTTTAAGAATCTCTATTTGTCAGCATAAATAACTCCCCAAAGTTTCATTTGCCACAATGTCGAACTTTTCGAATTTACATTTGTCAGAAAATCTCGAATCTCCAGTTGTTAGAATATCTAATTTTTCGAATTTTCATTTGTCGACTCAACATAGACGAGAAACAGTATTGAAAAAAATTAATCGGGAAAGTGTCAATTCTGCTATCTTAATGTCTGGAGAATTGAAAGATTTGACAAATGCAAATTTGGGAATTTCAATATTTGGATAACTACCTAGTAAAAAGAAGAATTGGGAGTAAGCGAAAAGAATTGGTGGTAACTTAAGCTGAATTCGGTTTGGCGAAAAAACCGAATTGGAACGTTACGGTGAATCATTTTTTTCTTACCGTGAATTCTTTTCTCTTAAACACTTGAATTGACGTTTGTTTATTCGAGTTTGCATTATAAATGAATAGAATAAATGTTTCGAAGTCTAAAAAGCCGATTTAGAATAAGAAATATATAATTTTTTAAAAAGAAATAAAAGCGAAATGTGATAGATTCACCGACAATTTTATCAAGTGATTTCATATGATAAATTTACCATATGAGTACTACTCACATGGTAAAATTGTCGGTGAATCTATCACATTTCGCTTTTATTTCTTTTTAAAAAATTATATATTTCTTATTCTAAATCGGCTTTTTTAGACTTCGAAATATTTATTCTATTCATTTATAATGTCAACTCGAATAAACAAACGTCAATTTAAATGTTCAAGAGAAAAGAATTCACGGTAAGAAAATAATGATTCACCTTAACGTTCCAATTCGGTTTTTTCGCCAAACCGAATTTAGCTTAAGTTACCACCAATTCTTTTCGCTTACTCCTAATTCTTTTTTTTTACTGGGTAGAGATTTGATAAGTTTAATATTTGGACAAATAGATATTCGGGAAGTAAAATATACTGACAAATACAAGTTCGGGAAGATAATTATTATGACAACTGAAATTTCGGGAAGTTAAATATTATGAGAAATGGAAATTCGGAATGTTAAATATTTATAGACAAATTGCGATTCGGGAAGTTAAATATTCATTTATATTTTCTTCTACATTTTATATTAATAAACCTCATTTTATTATTTCATAAATTCAGTTTTTGTTTTACGATCCCTGGAACCTCGTTAATAGAATTAAATGTGTTAAATTATTTATTTTATATTTAGGTAAATGCATCGCCATCTTTAACTTCAACAACTGTAAATGATCGTATTTTAAAATACAAACTAATTGATAATATTATATCAATAGTTTTACCACCCGGAGGAATACCTGAGTAAGTTGAAATAATATAATTTAACGTATATTGCTATAATTAATTAAACTACCGGCGGAAATTGTAAATTCTTTGTCTATATTTATGCATCTTTTTGCCAAATTATTTTAGATATTTTTAGGTAAATTAGCATTTCTAATATGTCATAATGGAAAGTTAGTTTTTTTTACTAGGGATTAAAGTATTTAACATTTTAAAAATTTAATTTATTTCATTTTTATGGATAGAAATAAAAAACTGAACCACTCCGCTCTGTTAAAAATTAAAGAATCTTTCTTATTATAGTGTAAAATGGAATAAATGTCCTACTAGTGAAGCAATGGGAAATTTTGAACTTCTATTAGATGAAGAATTATCTGCACATGGCGAAAGAGATCATTTTATTGGAAAACTAAAGAGTTCACTTTATAAGTGGAAATAAATTTTTCATTGATTGAAATAATTTATAAAAAGTTTATTCATGAATTTATGTTAAATTCATACGAATTTGAATAAAACGTTGGTGCCCCTCTCCCATATTGTTTATTTTGTTACATGTAAGGAATTGGAAAATAAGATAATAAAAGATTTTTAATTAAATCGCTGAAACAACCCTTTAAGGATTAAGATGTCGAAGGTTCGTATTGCAGATCTTGGTATGTGACGAGTTCCGTGCATATAAATTTCACTATTTGTGAGCTAGAAAAGCAATACGAAATTCAAATATTAAAATTTTGTTATACTTATTATTTATTTAAATTTTTGTATTAATTACATTTTGAGTGCTCTAGAAAGTCAACTGTTGAAGAACATGTTAAAAACATGTCTAAATACAACTTCAATAAATTTATTTGTATTATTATTAAAATAAAGGTCGTATTAACTTTCTATATAGAATAAAATTGGGTAATACTGCATGACTGCAATTCTATTTGTCCCATTTTGAACTGTAATCTCTCTAACCAACGCAAAAGTTTCTTATTCGTCTCCTGACGATTGGACGTAAAGTAATCCTCTAGCGATTGTACCATGTCGCTATCATAACTTTTTAATCGTAATTGTAGATGACTGAAACACTGAAAAATTAATGTATTTTTAATATTAAAAATGACTACAGTATGTTTAATTTTTAACAACTTTTAAAGATTAAAACTTTTTGGGCCTACCTGCATTTTATGAGAAAACAATATAGGAGTCCACATAGGCATTAGTTTGTTTAACAAAATTGACCCACGGTCCATTAAAATATCAAACAAATTGAGAAAATGTAGATTCACCATTTCAGCCAGCTGTAAAGATTTTATTTCATTTTTATAGTTCTAAATATTTTAAAATAATTAAGGTTCTATACATATTATTTTTTTAGTACATATGGTTAAGTTTGACTCTGATTGACTTTGCTATTGCAAAATAAATACTAACCTGTTTTGAATAAGCAGCCAAGTGTAGTATGGACGGTGTGACTTTTCCCCAAAAATCCAAAAGAATATTCATGGCTGAAGTGCTATGTTCTAAACCAGAAGAATTGTTTTTTATCATTTCTTCTAAGTAAATTGTCCATAACTGAAATCATACAAAATTTGTATGCTTTTAAAATAATGAAAAATCTGTGCGTTATACAGAATAGAATTAAAAATTACGTAGACACTTTTATAATTTTAAGAATATTTTATTAAGTTGGAATCCAGAAAAATATCAGTCGATTGATGATGCTGATAAGATGCTTCTTACGAGATGTCCTTATAAGATTTCGTATAGAATCACATATAATAAACCATAAGCGATCTTATACAAGATTTTATATGGGAATTAATTAATTATGAGTTCATACTCAAATTTCAAAAACAATTCATGGTATTTGTTTATTGTCTCATTATCTGAAACGTTTTATAATAATTTTGTTACATCTTACCTGGCATAAAATGAAAGCTTGAGATAAAGCACAAACATTTTGAACGTTTGTTTTGGATTGGTCAGGATATCCACTAAATATAACTTGTATATGATCTGCTATGTAACAGGAGCCTTCCACGTTGATTGGCTGTGCAGAACTTAATGGATGGGTATGAGATTGAACATTACTATTGATGGAAAATGTTACACTGTGTATCAAAGAGCCCAACAGCAACCAAGTCAATAATCTTACATGACTTATACATTCCGCATATTCGCGTACACTGTAACAAAAGTCATTAACTCAATCATAACTATATTTTGTCTCTTAGATTTGCCTTTTAAAATTTATTGCAATTAATAATTTAAAAATTAATTATTGATTTAAATTATGTACCCTAAGATATCTCTGGAATATTATGTCACAAATAATTTATAACATAATGAGTTTTAAGACTATTTTAATAAAAAATGAATAATTTACAGAATATTTCAATTAGTTTTAACAACATTAAGTCAAATAACAGTACATACCCTAATTGTAGCATAGAGGAGGGATTATATAACCATGGTAAAAATCTAGAGACTGCTCTATTTTCTCTACTGTTGCCTCTAGTAATTTCTAATGCGAGGTATTGGGCTAGTCCAGATTTTAGTATTCCTCCTAATGTGTCTTCATTAAGTCCAGACTGTAATCCCTTATTGAAACTCTGAAAAAATGTAATTAAAAGTTATGGTTACTATGATGATATACAATTAATATCGTTAGTTCAATCATACAATCCATGTAAAAGTAAAAATTGTATAACTTTTCATAATTATTATTATTATTAATAATTTTAACAAAATAATTAAAATATTGTGTTATACAAAGACCTTAGCTTTGACGAGCAATCGCGATCCCACATAAAAATAAACATGAGTTCTTAATTTTCTAATAATTTATCATGGCTTAAAAATTGTTTATCTAATAATGAAGTTAGTTAGCAATGAATCTAAAAGTTTTTAATTCTAGTATTACAATTCAACAAAATAAGTATACATACCTTCACTTTATTTAATGTATGAAAATCTGCTAAGAAATCAAGCACATCTGATATTTGATTTCTTAATGATTCAGAAGTATTTGAGTTAAACAAAGGTGAAATCTCGTATGAAAGTTCTTTCACAGGCACGGTTGTATGCAGAAAACCACCAACATCCTGCAATGAAATGTACAAATTCAAAAATGATATTATATTTGTATAAATGTTAAACATCATATATCCGAATACATGGTAAATTAAGCTTATTAAAAACTAACTACTCTGTTTTAATAAAATTTAAAAACTAGAATAAAATAATTTCCATGTATTTTACCTGCAGTACAAAGTGAAGTAGAAGTAGAAAGTTTGAGTCGGGTATAATTATTTTAAATTTTATTGCTTGAACAAGTTCAAATACAATAGTCCTTCCTAAAAATTGCTTATCTCGTTCTCGAGTAAATCCTCGATGGCAAAGTTGACAGAGTTCAGTCAAAAAGTTATTTTTCAGGAAAGAATTCTGTATAGAATAACTAAGAACTTTCGAAAATGGATCTAAAAGGCCCTGCAACAAAAAAAATATTATTTTGATAAAAATATTTACTTGTTTTGAAGTATACATTTTTATAAATTTATTATACGTTGCTGTCAATTTATTGATTGGATACACCTTGTAACGCAGCAGTTTGTCGTATACAAATGACTTAAAAATAATAAATTTGAATAAATTTTGTCAATAAACGACACCAAGGTGGAAATCCAGCTATAATGGCTGTAAAATGTTATAAATTATAAAAATTGTTTTCTTATGATACTCACTTCATTTTGTTTAAATAATAAATTCACGTTTTGACATGCCAAATTCGTTAGATTAATAATCGACTGATAATAAATAAATTCGATTCTGATTCGTCCTTTCGTTCTGTTATGAAAACTCTCACGAGGCATTGAGGATTCTCGCCGAGTCACAAAAACGTTGAAACATCACTATCTATCATTGATATTCGAAGTCATCAAGGGAAGAGCTTCCAGGTATATATATTTGGATGAGATTCCTGAATATTTAAGAACGCCAGGAAGACGAAATTGCTGTTTTTTGACGATCTGTCAAATCAATACTGGCAGTCAAATTCCTTCTCGCATCAATCGATTTAACGGCTGTCGAGAAAACCGAGGCTCTGCTTGTCACAGACCGCAGAGACTTCCGATTCCCGCGGTTGGAAATTGAAGGATCTGTAGTTTCATGGTTGATAAAATTGAACTACCAGGGAGTGACTTTGGACAAACGTTTGAGTTTCAGCCAACATATTAACATCTCGTCACTCCAAGCCACCGAATGCATGGGAAACCTTTTGAGGATGATGCCTAATATCGGTGGCCCCAGGGAAAAGTAACGTAGATTAGTGGCGACTGTCGTTCAATCAAAACATCTTTATGCTGCCCCTGTTTGGGCTTCGGCCCACAGCATCGCTGACAGGCTCCTCGCAGTCCAGAGAGACCCGGCACGGAGAATTGTGATAGCCTTCAGAACGGTGTTTACTTTCGCTGTTCTGGTACTCGCTGGATTACCACCAATGGATCTATTGGCGATGAAAAGGAAGAAGATATTCCACCTTAACAAAGATCTGTCTGGTACATTAGAGCTTAACGATAGACTCAAAGCGATAATACGCAGAGAGTCCAGAAGTAGACTCGTTCAAAAATTGCAGGAGAGATAGGATGGGGAGTCCAAAGGTAGGTGTACCTACCGCCTCCCACACAGCACCGAAAGTTTCCTAAACCTGTATTAAAGCTGTGCGTGCCAAGTTGGAAAAATTTACCGTAAAGCTTAGCACAGGTTGTGTAAATATGTAAATGTCCGCAATTGAGTAAATGTTTAGCGTAAAACTGTACTGAATCTTTAAATTACGTATTTAGTACAGGTTTAGCGTAAAACTGTACTGAATCTTTAAATTACGTATTTAGTACAGGTTTAGCGTAAAACTGTACTGAATCTTTAAATTACATATTTAGTACAGGTTTAGCGTAAAACTGTACTGAATCTTTAAATTACATATTTAGTACAGGTTTAGCGCAAAACTGTACTGAATCTTTAAATTACATATTTGGTACCCCTATCGAAAATTCCGATATCGAAACCTATATAGGAAACTATATGGGAAACTATATTGTTTCCCATATAGTTTCCTATATAGGAAGCTATATATAGCTATATATAGCGTCAATAATATAAAAAAAAAAAATTCTTCCGACGTGTTGACTCTGAGACGCGAACCCTCGACCATCATAGCTCTCAACCGCACTGGGAGCGCCTTAACGGGCTCGACCAGGGGAGGCTATGAAATATCTTGAGAAAATGTCTCTTATAACGAAAATACTTTAAACAGATACTTATATTATTTTGTAAAGTCATCAAACAGTTTTTCAGATGTTTATTATTACAAAGAGTATATTATTGTATACATATATTTTTTTCCAATGGTATATGCGTTTTAATACCCAATTTTATATTCGGAGTTTATTAACTTGGAACTTTTAAAAACTTGAGAATTCTGTCAATGTAACTTATTTTCCTTGTTTAAAAAAAAATAATTATTGAATTGTAGTTATGTAATAATTTATGTTTGATCACATTAATTTCATATAAGAAAATTCTGGTTTAAAGTGAGTTGTAATTAAGTATTAGCATTATACAAATTACATTAGTTTATTAAAAAAAATTTGCTATACGAACATTGTTACTTAATTTATTTCCAAAAAAATTGAAATTTATGCAGAGTTCACTTGATTAAAATTTAAATTCATGTCATTCTAAATTAAAATGTTGAAGTTAATAAACTCCGAATATAAAATTGGGTATTAAAACGCATATACCATTGGAAAAAAATATATGTATACAATAATATACTCTTTGTAATAATAAACATCTGAAAAACTGTTTGATGACTTTACAAAATAATATAAGTATCTGTTTAAAGTATTTTCGTTATAAGAGACATTTTCTCAAGATATTTCATAGCCTCCCCTGGTCGAGCCCGTTAAGGCGCTCCCAGTGCGGTTGAGAGCTATGATGGTCGAGGGTTCGCGTCTCAGAGTCAACACGTCGGAAGAATTTTTTTTTTTTATATTATTGACGCTATATATAGCTATATATAGCTTCCTATATAGGAAACTATATGGGAAACAATATAGTTTCCCATATAGTTTCCTATATAGGTTTCGATATCGGAATTTTCGATAGGGGTACCAAATATGTAATTTAAAGATTCAGTACAGTTTTGCGCTAAACCTGTACTAAATATGTAATTTAAAGATTCAGTACAGTTTTACGCTAAACCTGTACTAAATATGTAATTTAAAGATTCAGTACAGTTTTACGCTAAACCTGTACTAAATACGTAATTTAAAGATTCAGTACAGTTTTACGCTAAACCTGTACTAAATACGTAATTTAAAGATTCAGTACAGTTTTACGCTAAACATTTACTCAATTGCGGACATTTACATATTTACACAACCTGTGCTAAGCTTTACGGTAAATTTTTCCAACTTGGCACGCACAGCTTTAATACAGGTTTAGGAAACTTTCGGTGCTGTGTGGGCTGATTCCCCTTTTCGACACATGGTTAGATAGGAAACACGGTGAAGTTGGCTACTACCTTACACAGGCGTTGTCAGGTCATGGTTGTTTCAGACAGTATTTTTATCGTTTTAAGATAGAAGCAGACGCTAGATGTGTGTATTGCAACGGTTCGGACGTCGACGAAGCAATACACACTGACGTCGCAGAACACACGCTCTTTTTCTGCGGGTACTGGCGTGTACTTAGGCAAGTCATGTTCTCGGCTGTGAGCACTGAAGTCACAGCTGAAAACATGATTTTTATTATGTTGCAGAGCGTTGACTCTTGGAGGAGCATCGAGTCCTTCATTACACGAGTAAGGAGGACGACAGGAGGAGGATGTTGACTTGGAGAAATCCTGCTGCTCGGTTGTGTTCACGCGGAAGACGGGAGAGACATTAACTGGCTCTCCTTTTTCCGCTGGCACTCAGTTAAGGATTTAGGACAGAGAGAAAAGGTAAGGAGACTTCCACTGGCGATGTATAAAGTTAAAGCAGTTTCGCTAGTGGAGTTAGTCTCAAAAAAGGTGTGGTTTTTAGTGGGTCGGCCAGAACAAGAGCGGTCATCGGTCGCGGGTATTATATTATTAAATATTAATTGATATCAATGACACTGAGAAGAGAGGCCGCTGTTTAGCGACGGTTTCGAGTTTGACTCGTCAGCCATTTTACTCTCGCATTCTCATCCTGGTATTCATAGAGTCAAGTTGTCTTCTATACTTTTTCGTGTAAAATAGTTAAAATTTAAAATTCTAAAAATGAGACGAGGCGTCATCGTCGTTTGCAAATGGACGGTGAGTCCCAATAAATTAATGAAGAGTCGTTTCCTTCAGAATCGATCTCATTTTTATTAAAGTTTACTTGAATAAATAAAATATAAATCTTGTCTTTCGGCCTTCTGCCATTATTTAACTTTTTCTAAAATTTGAAGTGAATATTAATAAATAGTGTTATTGTTATAAATTTTGTCTAATTAATGGTGTTTATCCTTATCCCCCTCTCCGCAGTCTATTGTTGCTGTAAAGTACCAGTGGAATTCCCTAGTTGGTTTTACTTTTTCCTAATTGGAAATATAAAATTTACTTATCGGGTTATTTAACTATTTTTTTAGATTTAATTATGTTCCAGAAAATAACTGTGCGTCTTGGCAAAATTAATAATTAAAAAGTGTATATAACGTTGATTGTCTAAAAAATATAATAATAAATAATTTAAATTTAAAATAAAAAAAAGAATAATAAATTAAAATCAACGTTATAACCTATATAAGTGATTAAATTCCATTTGTAATAAAGTATGTGTGTGTGTCGCTGAAATAAATTTGAAATTATTCTTTGAAGTTTAATTGAAAACTCCATCAAATTTTGCAAAAAGTTTACAATTTTGATCTTCAATACTGATTGAGATCGAATAAATAAAAATTTACTAGATATAATTGTTACGAAAATTGAACTTTAAAAGATTTCCACAAATAGCCGTATTAATAGAATTAATTCTACCGCCACAACTAGTAATGTCACTGAGATGTCGCGGGCTAAAGAAATACTGATTCGTTGGTAAATTTTCCAATGATTTTATTCAAAATTTACTGGTAATATTGCAAAATAAAATTATTATAAGAAATTCCTTCCTTGTGTTTCTTCTTTTTCTAACGAAACTTATTGACATGGCTATATTTTTTTAATAAACCAAATTGGGCAATATTAATTGTTAAAATTCAATAATTTAGAATTAGGAAGGAATTGTTACACAAATTTTTATTTCGACGAAACTCGTTAATATTTTTAATTAGTTATACTAGTACTTGTAGTGATGTATAATTTAATAATATTTAACTCACCTTGGACTGTTGAATTCCCGGTACTTTCATTATGGATATCATAATTCTATGAGCCGGTGTAATATCATCAATTGTTGGTAAAAGCATAACTAACTTTCTAAAGAATCCTTCAAACTGAGACAACAGACCACTCCATGTAATTATACCAGGACCCAAACCAGCTTCCAAAGGCAAACAGTCTAAATAACTTGCGACATTATGCAAAATCGTTGAAAGTTTACCCACAGGAAGAGACTTCTTTGAATTTAATGTCTGTAGAATGTTAAAGGTGTTAGAATTTTGCAAACTTAATATAAATAAAATAAATTCCATAAAGAGACTGTACCAGTCGTGAATCAATAAAGGTGATTAAATTATTATTTTTATTGTGAAAGCTAATTGGTAATTCTAGACGAAAAGTGTTTTACGTTTGAAGTAATGAAATATCCTTAATAAACCTTAATTTAGTATCAACTTGTAATTTCTGACAGGTGCAATTAATGAAGTATCTCCTATTTATATTATGTTAAATATTGGAATTACTTTAACAGAACTCCAGCAATAAAAATATATGCGACATACCTCAAGTAACAATTGTAATGGAGCAATTGGATTTAAGTCATTAAAATCTGTCAGAGCCTGAGCTACGCTTTTGAAAAATTGAATCCTTGTAAGCACTAGAAATAAAATTAAATTTATTACAAAATGAAAATATTTTAAAATGTGTTTTTAATGTGCTTAATATTTTTACAATAATCTAATATGACTTACCATTAATACGTGTTTGAAACATTTGCATAAATATAGCATTTGGAGCCATTTGATGAAGAACACATCGAAGGAACTGATGTGCAACACTAATAGCACTGCCAGGTAAATGTAAGTTTGTTTCGCTTTGCCAAGGATACATTGCCTTAAGAGAAACTCTGCAATTATATAATTTCTTATAATATAATTATTAATTTCATTTAAATTAAATAAGTAAGAGATGGAATTAAAAAAATATTGTCTAATTTAATTTTGCACATTCATTATTATCACTTAGATCCATTTTTCCTTACTTTGTAACAGCGTTGAGAATATCTGGTAGAAACGGAGCTGCTAATGATGGTTCTCTATGAACAAAAGTTCCTAATACAATTATGCACAATCCAAGTTCCTCATCAGAATATTCTTCTTTTATTAGCCCACATTCACAGCATCTGCATATGATAAGAAAAATATTAAATATTATAGTAATCTCCATTGTAACGTTTAATTATTTAAATATAAAAACGCTTTCTAGAGTTTTGCCTTTGTAATTGAAGATCGAAACTTATTTGAAAATTAAATTATCAACTTTAAACAAGTAAGTGATTAATGTATTAATTTTGTTTTATCTTTTGTTAATAAATTAGTATTCCTGGACGTCGTTTAATATTTTATTTTTATATTTTGTAATATTGGGTGCAACAACTTTCCGTCCTGTGATCTGTGTAGTCTTTTGTTAATTTTAATTAATAAATTAACTGGCGTCCGCGTGCAAATTTTATTTTATCGTCAAGTACAGCCCTAGCAACTTTGAACCCGGTCTCGCTGGGTGTGGAATAATTTTATATATTCTCTTGTAAATTTTGATCATTTTATTCTTATTTAATTATTTTTATTTTAACTAGAAATTATTTCGTCTCAAAATAAAATAATGTGAGTCCTTTTCTCTTCAGTTTGTGACGTGTATACTCTCGACCCTCAATAATGGTGATTAATAAATTTCAGACAAAAAAAAATTAAATTAATGAGTTCAGATATCGAGCTAGTCCAGAAAGGCTAATTATTTAAGTAATAATTTCAAAAGATCAAGGTAGTATTTATACATAGCGTAAGGGATATTCCCATAAAATATTAAATGGATCCTAAGGGGCTCATGGTGAATTCAAAATGTATAATTTGAAAACGCAAATTTTGTTTCCTCCATCGTTAACATTTTTATAGCATGGAACCGGTGGTATTTCCACTTAGCACATGTTTATAGTTACACTAGTTATGCAATTTTTTAAAAATAATTTTATAGAACCTGTTTTAATAAGGTTTACAAATGCTTACCTTTCATGAACACATTCATCTCCTATTCTGAATAAACTTGATTTTAGGTTGAAATCAGCATGACATGCTTGTTGCGAAAGGCTGTTTAAGTTTGGTTGCATTTTAGGGCCAGGCCTTTGAATAAAAAAAACTTTTTTAAACTTTTAATTTTGATGTAGAATTTCAAAGAAACGTGGCGTTTAATTTAATAAGTAAAATAAACTCAATCTATTTACAATACATTTAAACAATTAGATACAATAACATTTTGTTACAATAAGTAGTTATTTATATTTTCACATTATTTATTAACCTTGGACGTTAGTTAGTATTAAATTATTAATTTATTAATATTATTATATTTGTATTCTTATTAAAGAATTATTAAAATAAAACATGTTATTCTTTTATTAAGCACTGATTCTTTTACAATATGAATAAGAGAAAATCTTACCAGGACTCTTGACGACAAGTAGACATAACTGTACGATTTGTAGCTGTAGATGATTTTCCAATTTTATCTCGTCGTAAACGAGCCAAGTCTTTAGCAGTACTTTTCTTACTCGTACTTTTTAAATGATGTATACAATTATCAGAATCTAGTGTTGAATGCGGAAATTCCATTGCAACTTGTTTTGTTAATCTCCTTTGATTAGAGCATAAACAAGAATATTTGCCTCTTGACTTGAAACTCTATAACAAAATCGTATTTTAGAAGTATTACACGGGACCACAAAATAAAATTTAGGTTGTCCTTCTCTCAACCTAGTTGACCTTTATGTTTGAGAGGTCGCTGGTTTCAATCCCTGTGTACTTAAGACCTTATCATGTCATCAACAAGGTTTAAATAAAAGTATCTTAATTCGAAAAATTGAATAATAACCTGTTGGTTGATCCATGTGGTAACGACGACAAATCACTTGGTGTATTGAAATGATGTTTCAGAATCTGGGGTCAAAAAAATTATATTTTTCGAATTAAGATATGTGACCTTTATTTGACCTTGTTGTTGACGTGATGAGGGCCTAAGGATTCCGAGATTGAAACCAGCGACCTAAAAGTACAAAAAGGTCAACTAGTTTGAGATAAGATCCACCTAAATATTTTCACTATTGTATTATTAAATTGTAGATAATAGAAAGGTCTCACATTGTAAAATTAGCTAGACATCTATTAGATTTTGGATACTTACCGCATGATCACCTTTGAACGTGGATTCGACTTGTTTCTCTTCATCTGAAGCATTAACACTATTTTTTGGTGCATTTAAATTTTCTAAAATTTAAAAAAGTCAAAAATTATCTACAAAGTAATAAATTAGACAATTGTAGAATATGCCTGCTAATATTATTTTATTCATAATTATATTAATTAGAATTGTATTTAATTATCATTTATTCATTTAAACTACTGGAAAATGTCTTGTTATCTACATGAATATAATTGCGTGACTGTAACTTATTGGAGAATTACCAATTACCAGATTACCAATTTGTAGGGTAAAAAAGTTGTATTTAATAATGTATTCTATTACAAAATGTTTTTTTCCATATGGAAGTAATAACTGAAAAAAAACTAATCCCGAAAGTGAAGTATAAAATCTACATAAAAATTCGTAATTTAAATTTTATAACTTGTGTAATTCTTAAGAGAAACATAATTTAATAAGGAATCATTTTTTTGAATCTACTTAATAATTAAATACTCACCTTGCGATCTGGATATACCTAAAACATGACGAACACAGTCGACTAATCCAGTAACTGAGTCCCTCCTTAAACCAATAGGTAATAATCTTTCTTGCAACGGAAGTTCAATGTGTTTAATGTTACTTGTTTTTTCAATAACACTAAATGAAGTTCCATTACCTTCCTGAAAGGTACCTGGAAAGTATGATTTAATGTACAAATTAAATAATCTTACGCGATGATAAAATAACACACGTTTTTTTTTGTCCTAACCATAGGGAATAGATGTGAACTATATAGGAATAATGTGATGTTATATTTGTGAAAAATTAAACATAATGAACATTTGAATCTTATTCAAGGGACTAAAGCATTCATAAGCTCTCAGTCCGGGTATTTCTCTTATATTATAATATTTCTATACTTTTACTTTAGTAAATTTTTATGACACATCGATTCTGAAAAAAACTCTGCTAGATAATTAATTTAAATTAATTAATTATATCCTGAATTATCTAATTTTTTTTAGGTTTATTGAGATCATATCATCTCTATAGTTTAATCTTTCAAATTGTTATGTGGATTTCCTATTGCAATGCACATGGCATATAAGAATATTAAATAAAAATTATAATTTAATCCATATTACCACTCTTGGAAAATTAATAGTGTTAGTAGAAATCGTTAAAAAGCTACTGACCATTGATTTTCCGTGGCTTGACTTTAAAGATATATATATTTGTTTGTTTTGTATATTTTTGTTGAATAATTTTTTTATTACTGCTTTGGAAAATCAATCGTGTTGGTAGAAATCGTTCGAAAGCTCCTGACAATCAGATTTCATACCTTTCAGTAAGCAAATCGTCTAAAGGAAACAGTTGGTTTAATTTTGCCCACCTAACATAGTGGTAATCAATAAATTTTTTTACGTGTAAAATTAAAGTAAAATTCTTAATGAAACTTTGGAATCTGGAATTTGTTCCATATTCCCAAAAATAGCGACGTGGAGGACAAATATCGCTTAATACGATATTAAATAAGAGTGACAACTTTGAGGTCTCTTTTGAACCTGTTTTTCATGAATTTTTTTAAGTCACAAGAGTAAAGTAAACAAAATTTGGTTTCGAGAACTTTATTTGTTAACTTTTTAAGTTTACTAAAATATATTCATACTTAAAAAAAGTTTCAATTTCTTGACTATAGATGCCGCTAAAGTTAGTCTCGTTTATCTGCAGGGCAAATCGGTGGGCAAGATTCCGGTTAGACCGTTTAATATGAAACAAAAATTCAAATTTTTTCGAAATCTGTGATAAATTTAGTTTTAGAGTACGTAGGATATTTTGAAAATAATAATTTTTGTGGATTTGGCAGCTATTTGAAGGAAAAAGTCGATTTTTAGGGCGAAATTATTTCAAAAAATTTTTTGCCAAAAAAAACAAACCAATAAAAAATCCACTACGTACTCTAAAGCATTTGTAAATGACGATCAAAAAAAACTTTGGTCGAAGTCAATCCGATCAAAACTGTTCGAGCTATAGACTGCCCACTGTTTTGAAAAATGTCATTTCAAGAAAATCGTTTAAAGTTTTCACATGAAAACTTATAAAAAAAATAGGAAAAGAACTAGGCGCAATTGCGCCTACATCTAGGGTTTCGTGGCGCTTTAAATTTTAATTAAAAAAAAATAAATCAAAAATAAATAATTTAAAAATAAATAATAAAATTTATTTTATAAATTTTATGTACTATTAAATTTTTATTTATTTAGCAAAATTTTTATTATAAATTAATTATAAATTATAAAATATTAATTTCTATAAATTAATTCTCCCCCAGACAGTAAATTCGAAGAAAATCAAAAATTGGCAAAATCAAAATTCAAAAAGGTAAATGAAAGAAAAAAGAAAGAGTGGCTGTGGAGTGGAGGTCTTTCTTCTATCATTTATCTTTTTTGATTCACAAACAAAAACATTAGGTAAAATGTCCATTCGATAATGTCCACTATTAAGACATGTCAACTATTGGGACATGTCAATTACTGACAATGAGACAGGTGAACTACTGGGACATGTTAATTATAGGGGCATGTTAACTAATGGGACATGTAATGTCCATTCGGGAAAATGTCCATTCAGTAAATGGAGATTTGGGATCTGTGGGGCCCCAAAATTTGAATTTGGGAGCTATGGTGCCCCAAAATTTGAATTTGGGATCTGTGGTGCCCCAAAATTCGAATTTGGAAGCTATGTTTGCCCAAAATTCGAATTTGGGATCTGTGGGGCCCCAAAATTTCAATTTGGGAGCTATGGTGCCCCAAAATTTGAATTTGAGATCTGTGGTGCCCCAAAATTCGAATTTGGAAGCTATGTTTGCCCAAAATTCGAATTTGGGATCTGTGGGGCCCAAAAATTCGAATTTGGGAGCTATGGTGCCACAAAATTCGAATTTGGGATCTCTGGTGCCCCCAAAAGTTTAATTTGGGATCTGTGGGGCCCCAAAATTCGATTTTGGGATCTGTGGTGCCCCAAAAGTTTATTTTGGGATCTGTGGGGCCCCAAAATTTGAATTTAGGATCTGTGGTGCCCCAAAATTTTAATTTGGGATCTGTGCCCTAAAATTTGATTTTGGGAGCTGTGGTGCCCCAAAATATACTACGGACAGACGGACGCCAAAGTGAAACTATAAGGCTTTCGGCCATGGGCCACGAAACCCTAAAAATGATTCCAACGTTAATCTGCGATGCTTGCACCGTATAATTGGCCTTCTAAATTAATATTGGCTTCATCTTCAGCCATTCGAGCGGCTGTGAGCGTAAAAGTACGCAATTGTTACCACGGTAAAAGACAAAATAGCCTATAGCGCTATCAAGCACTCGAAGCGCTCTTGAACTCCTTCTGCAGATTTCGATTTTTTTTACATAAAATAACTTCGAAATCGCTCGTATGCTCGTCTACATCATATACCATAACGTCATTTTCTACTCCGGTGTTGAATAGTATAATAAATCTCCTTTCATAATCTTCTTTAAATAGAACTTGGAGGTATAAGATTTGTGAATTTTAAATACTATAGAAAGAGAAAAGAAAATAAATAAAAAAAACATATAATTTAATTCAACTTTTTTTATTCTTTATAATCATACGAACGTATGATGTTTGGATAAGTTATTCCATTAATATGGACAAAAAGAGGAAAAGGTTCCTCTTCCTTTTCAACATTATTTTTTTGTTTTCTATTTTTAAACAAATATTTATCAACATTTAAGTTTACTTTTCTTATTTTCGTTACTATTGGTTTTTTAAAATTATTTTTGTTTAACTTATTTCTTTTTATTTTGATTTTAGACATAAGTTTTTCTTTTTTTGAGTCCTTTTCTCCCTCTTCCCTCATAGTTTGGGTATATTTATTTATCATATTGTCGGCTATGAATGACTTTATTTTTAATTCGGAAATCGGTAGCGGAGATGGATAGAGGACCCATTTCTTTTTTGTACTCAGTCATGGTACCCTGGCTAATTTTCATAATTAGGATCCGTCGAGTAATTTTGCTCCCTGATTATTAGGAAAACCATGTTATCTACAACAACTTCAAAACAATGTAACAATGTTTTACTAACCTTTTTCCGGCACTATTATGCCAACTGGAAGAAGTCGTTCCAGTTTTGGTGTTATTAAGTTGGTAGTAATTTCTTCCAATTGTAGTTCTTTTGTACAACCACTAACTTGAGAATAATCTGGATTTATATTATTAACATTTGTGCTTTCCACGCTGTTGGCCCTTCGAGATTTAGGTGTTAAGTCATTAATACAAAATGGTTGTCCCTTTTTCCTTTCTGATTCTTTAGATTTTATACAGTGCAATCTATTATTTTCATTATAGTCCGAAACGGGAATCACATTTGTATTAGTTCTAAAAAAAATTTAACAATATTTTTTATTAGGTGTTCTAAAAAAATATTAAGTTTTAATTTAATTTAAACTAAAAAGTATTGAAGATAAGTATCACATTTATGTACCTTTGATGTTCATCACATTCAATTGCAGCTCCTTTTACCTCTTTTAAAAATAAATTACTATTATTATTACTATTTGTCATTCTTTGTACTTCAAATTTTTTATTAGAACTGACTCTTTGATTTAACTCTTTTATTCCGATTTGAACAATTGAAGATGTATTTTGAGATATTAAATTTAAACCACCACAAGCTCCAGTAGGTTTCTGTAATAATAAGACATATTAGAAATATTAGAAAAATAACTATCAAAACCATCTTTGACTAATCACAATTTTTCTTTAAATAAGTTACAAAAACATTATTTATATTGCGTTATTTTTTACAAAAAGTCTATTTTTACCTGGCGATTATTATATTCCTCTGTTTCCTTGTAATACGTTTTTTCTGTATGCTCTTCAACATTAATACTATTATTATTTAAAGTTGTATTTTCCTTTTTAAAACTACCAGGTACAGTAAATTTGTATGTTGATATTCTTCCTTTGTAATTATAAATACTTTCTTCTACTTCTGTCAGAGAGCCACAACTACTATAAAGCAGCGTACTATCAGACTGAAAACTTTCAGGTATTGCAGCTAATTCCGATTCTATGTCATCGGCATTGCAAGAATGGCTACAGGTAAAATTTAAATGATTATTTTCAAATTTGTTTAAAATATTAAAATTCAAAACTACTGTAATAAATGATAGGTGGAATTGTCACTATGAAGCATTTATCCAGTATAATATAAATATTGTTAAAAAAATAATTATTTATTTATTAAAATATTATTATCAGTATTCTATTTAATTAGCTATATTCAAGTCTGGATTCACATTCAATAACTTGGAAATAATGTAGAGTGGAATTTTATTTGATAGACTGGGAAAATTATTTATTGAAGGAATAAAAGTTCATAAGCAACAACTATATAGAAGCATTAATGATTTCAGGATTCAAAGATTAATAATTAGGAATCAATATCGAAATAATTGTTTGTAAGACTTAGAAGTTGAAGTGGAAGCGCTTCAAGCGTTTCTATTGCCAGTAACGGAAGAAGTTTGATTCCATCTGACCTAGACAACGAGACAATCGAAGAAGAACGCGAGAAGTACTTAAAGGTTAGACAGGTGGAAGCTGTGTGTCTTCAGATGATCGCCAAAATGATAAAGTCTTGCGAAGTCCAAAAGAATGCTAACATGACTATTAATTACGTAGTTAAGACTTTTTACTTTTTTAGGATCTTGTCAGTGAGGTGAAAACAAAGCACGCCATAGCAGGTAATGGAGATAGCAAACTTGGTGGCAGAAAGAACGAAGAAAAGGCTCTGGCAGTCCATAGAGGACTGACTCCGAGTCGACAAAGAAAAAACAATATGAGGCACCTCTTTTCAAAAAGATTGCGAAGGTGACGGTAGCACCGAATCCTAAGCAAACCAGAAAAAAGAAAGCGACGAGTAGATCTACAATGGTGATCCGAGTCGCAACAGGAACAACGTATGCGGACGTATATAGCAAATTTCGGAGGGAAGTGAATCAGAACTTCAGACACACGCAGGTCGTTGGGGCATGGCATTTCTCCTGATCAAAATCGGAAGAGGACTTCAATAGAAGGTATTCACCTCTAAGGTCACCAAGGCGATTGGAAGCAGTAAAAGCCCAAGCTGATTCTTATGTAAAGAAAAGTATGGTGATAAGGCGAACATTAGCCATATCGCAGACAGCAGAGGATGCGGAGTCATAAGGACGGCCCTTGAGGATTTCAAGAAGACTATAGCACAAACGAAGAATAAATAGGCCAGAAAGATTGTTTAAAAATAATATAACAATAATAAAAAACGTACAAAATATTTAAATTTTTAATGTTTGCTTTACCTTAAATCTATCCCATGTATTTTGTTAGGACTTTTTGAACTTCGTCGATTGTTTGTTCCAGGCTTATCAAAAAATTGTTTACTTTCACTTTCTATTAATTCAGACTCATTGCTTAAGAAATCGTGTTCTTCGCCCAGTGAAGGTTGAGAAACATCTATGAAACCATTAAAATGCAGTGTTTAGTAATACATTAGATTGCACTATTTAAAGGAAGATCTATAAAATTGTAATGATGTTAAATTTTGTAATAAAACATTAAGGGTTTCGTAGCCCAGGGCTGAAAGCTTTATATCAAAACTTTAACGTCTATCCAACTAATTTTATGTTTTCTATGAACAAAATATTGATTACCTCTAGATCTAGATGGAGGTCCAGCCATAACAACCATTCCTGGAATTCTTTTACATTGATGATGTTGTCCATTTAATGTATTTATCACAATTTTTATTAATGCTTGTAACTGATAGTACCACACTTGCTGACCATATTGAAACTAAAAAATATGGAAAAGTTTACCAAATCCGACATTGAACGTAAAAATTATTTAATCTCATCTTGAACTTTTGCGTAACTTTTTAATCTATAGGCAGGGCTATATCTACTATTTATGATAAAAATTGAAACTTACCTTATATAAAATTATAAGTAATGACATTAACCACGATCGTCTAATATGAGGCTCTAAATACCAAAGGCTATATATTGGAGGCTGATATTCCGTAGTCAGCACACTGTGAGGTGGACATGGACAATGTCGTAATATTGCTAATATCGGAGGAATTGTAGCCCATCCCATAATATTATTTTGATCCAAAACTTGCGGTAAGTTTGTAATAAATACATTGAACACGGAAGAGTTTCTAAGATTAAAAATATTTACAAACATTTTAGTAAAAGAATTAAAAATATTCAAAAACTTTTTTGTCACTTTTAGAAACTGGTAACTTTGGCCATTTCCGAACAAAAAAAAATTTTCTATTTTCCTCTTTTTCAAACATGAGAACAGCATCTAAACTATTGTTGCTCATCATATTTGTAAAGCTTTCACGCGATAACTTAATCTCCCGATACAATATTAGCATTTAATCATAACAAATTTATATGAGGTTAAAACATATTACACGTACCTTAATCTCTGTGATTGAGTGTGAAAATTTCTTTCTAATTGATTGTAACCAAGAAGTAGATATAAATGGCGTAAGACAATGCCTTGCGTCTTAAACAATGGTTTTTCCTCAGTTGGGTACGCCTGAAAATATCAAATATAATTTAAAACTAATATAAAAAAATCAGCTAACCCTATACTGCTTAATTATACGCTAAAAGCAATAAAACTTAATCTGAATTTACCTTAGTTAATGGCAATACTCATAAGCATGTTCAATTAAAAAAACTTACTTGATCTTGTCGAGATAAGAACTGCATTAACAAAAATACTAAAAGATGCAATGTTTCTGTATCAGCTTCCTCAAGCTCCAACATTTTGTGAATAAATGTAGGTAAATTGCTTGTTTCATCTATCATATGTAGAGAATGAACATGTCCATCTGTAAGTTTATTATAGTTATATTGTAATGATAATATTTCAAGTTTCAAAATTTATTGAATTACTGAATTCGAATCTGATATCAGATCCAGGAGTTCCGTACACACAGTGCACGTACTGAAAGTTAGGTATAGCAATTTAATTTTATAAACACTAATTACAGAAAAAATATTGCACACCTAATTAAAAATACCTATAATATTTTATTCGAGAAATAAAAATTTTCATTTAATCCTAGATGTTAATGCGAGTTACACTTACCTATACCAAATCGAGAACTTTTTCTTTTAAGAGATGGCGCAGAGTACTGTCTGTTATAAAGTTTTTCCTTTTCTGTAAAAAAAGCTGGAGTTATTTAAAAATGAAAAAATATATTAAATTATGAAAAATAACCCATATATACGATATGGAAATTATTCTCGAGTCTGTTAATATATTAACACTCATGCTTAGACACATGGAAATATCAGAAAAGTCAATATTGAAATAGTGACCCCTAACAGATGTATTTCTCTTGGCTAACATTTTTAAAGATTTTTGAAAAACTTGCATTTCTACCTATAAACTAGACCCTTTACATTACTACACAGCACCAGGACTTGCTTTTGACGCAATGTTGAAATTTACAGAAATTAAATTGGAATTATTAACAAATAATGAAATGTTATTATTTATTGAGTCCGGTATCAGAGGTGGTGTTTCACAATACTCTAACAGACATACGAAAATCAATAATATATTTATGGAATTAAAATTTAATCTCTACAAACATAAAAAATATATAATGTATTTGGACATTAATAATCAGTATGATGCAGCTGTGTCTGAATTTTTGTTTCATGAAGAATTTAAATGGGTACAGGATATTTCAAAAATTGACTTTTTCAATGTAGCTGATGATTCATCAATTGACTATATTCTCAAAGTCGATTTGGAATATTCTGTAGAATTACACAATTCTCATAAGGATTTACCTTTATGTCCAAGGCACTTTGTACCACCCTACTCTAAGTGTAAAATTGCTAAATTAATGACAACTCTTTTTCCAAAAAATTTTGGCGAAAAGGCAAAATTATTGTATACCGATACGGATAGTTTCATCTATGAAATCAATATTTCTAATTTCTAAGAATGTATGAAGAGAGAGATATTATAAAATTTGGCACCTCAAAATATCCTCCAATGTTTATGGAATACCATTGGGTAATAAAAAAGTTTTAGATCTCATGAAAGACGAATATTGTTGTCAAGTTATGGATGAATTTATTGGTTTATGCTCAAAATTATATGCGTTTAAAAAGTTTTAATAGAAATACTGAAAATAAAAAGCAAAAGAAATAAAAACATCAAAAACATTCAATGGGCAGATATGTGCGATAACTAAAACTCAAGTAACGTATCTTACAAATATTAAGAATTACGAAAAATTATCCGTTATATTGGATTCGCCATTTTTAATTTTTGAAACTTAATTACAGATTTGTAAATTAGCGACCACGAAAATCAACAAGTAACGATTTCAAGTGGGTTTAATTGATTTATCAATTTATATCACTTTAGTGATTTTTCGGTAGTCGAATGGTTAATAAACATATTATAATTGTATCTCTCTACTTACCTTGCTTTGTCTCCTGTCGTTGCACTGTAGATGCAGGAGCAGACATTGTGCGTTTGTACGGCCACTTTGAACCAAAACTTCCACATAATGTTTTTAATGAGTTTGCATTGTTTTCACTATTCTGTGAAAGTGCTTCTTGAGCTCTTTGCACCTTTAATAGAAATGCCTCATTATTGTACTCAGTATTCTTGAGATCTGTAAAGTAAATAAGGATTTTGATTTTTATCCGATTGACAGTATCGGTGATACAAACATTGTTTGGCGCCCCCCTGTACCATCTAGTTTTTTGGGATATTTTGGTCAATCAAGAGGTAAATTGTAAAAAATTTTCTTACCTCGAATATATGTTAATTCTCCAGATTTTTCAAGATTAATTTGTGCCTCGAGAAATATTGAATCAAATCTATTAAGAAAAAATTCCCAAGTTAAAACTCGCCTGTCACTTAAACTGTTATGCAGCTGATATATAGATTGTAATATCATAGGTCTATCCACAATTACAGTATCAAATTGCGTCTCAAGACAGAAGATTAATGACTGGAAGAATAAAAATTTTTAATATTTAATTTTATCATTATTGAAATATGATCAAAAATAGCGCTATCTTAATCGAAAATTTTTATTCTCGCCCAACTCTGTACGAAGAATTTCAGATTAAGGTGAAATAAAAATTTTCTCTAATCGTGTTCAAACTATCTTTGAATAAATTGTTTTGAACAACTTGTTGGAACTGTTTCTCATCATGAATAGATAAAAAAATTTTGAACTACGTTATTCTCTTGCTAGAGATTGAACTTATTATTAAATTAATAAAACAGCACAAATAATGCAAAAAACATAGGAGTGTGGTGAAGAAAAAAAGAAGAAAGGTAGAATTCCTCACCCTAATTGCTGTATCATGAACTGTTCCAATATTCAATGTAGCTCGCTGCGCCACACATACATTTGAATCGTCCATACTAGCAATTAAATAACAAAATACACTTGCTAGTACCGCTTGCAGGTTGGTAACATTTCTTAAAGGTGTAGAGTCCATAAATCTTGCTATTAGAGTAACGCGTTCAACTGCTGTAAATCGAATGCGCCAGTTTGAATCTTGAAATTGGTCCTGCATAAGTCTCCAAAATGTATCGACTCCATGAGGTAGTGATATACAGTGAAGTAAGAGAGGTACTGAAACTTGTGCAATGTGAGAATGCTCAGCACTTAATAGATCCCACAAGCTAAAATAAAAACGGTTTATATATTTGAGAACTAGTTTTAGCAAAATATAACCACTAATATTACGACCCAGAATGAAATTAATTATTTTATTTTAGATTTATTATTAAATCCGAAGAAAATTGTACGGTATCAACGAATTATTTTTTTGGGGGAAATTTTATACAGGGAAATACACATTTTTTTAAATATTAAATAAATAAACATTTAAATTAAAATCAGTGCGGTATCAATTATTTACAACCAAAATTTCCTCATCCAAATGTGGGAAAAAAAAGGAAAAGAAACGGGCTGAAATTAAATAGTTGAAAAATCGGACCCAATCCTACTATTCCGAAAAGAGTATAAATAATTGTATTGATATGGTTTGGAATTATTTATAATAAAATTAAAAATAATTTCTGATCATAACAAATACAAACATTTAATAAAAGAAAATATAATACATTCAAAATGGAATTGAAAATACACGAATTTTCGAATAGATCACAGATTAGTTAAATTTAAAAAAATAAATATATTATTATAATAGAAAGGGAATAATTTCTATTTTAAAGAAAAATAATTAATTAAAAACAAATGATTAAAATTCACAAGAAATATATAAAATTATTCCACACCCAGCGCGACCGGAATCAGAGTTGCTGGGGCTCTATTTGACGATAAAATAAAGATATAATTCATTTGCACGCGGATGCCAGTTAATTAATTAAAATTAACAAAAGACTTTAAAGATCACAGGGAGAGAAGTTGATAAACCCACAAAATTAAAATAATGATAATGATCAAATATCGATTCTTTTCCAATAATGCGATGAAACAATCAAATAAAATATTTCCAAATAAATTTCGATCTTCCAATAAAATAGTCAAATATTTGATTGATCAGAATATTTAAGGAATATAATGATTTATAAAATACAGTTTCACATAAGAGATATACTCCACACGAACAATATGACGTACAGACAGAGAGTGAGGAACGGACTCGGTAATTTTACACATATCCTAGGATATTTGATTATTTATTTCTCAAAATAACGTTAAGAAATGTTTTTCCGTTACATATTAAATTAATTGCATAAACTCATGAATTTGAAAGCTCATATTATATGAACCATTCAATGAGGCATCCACTGATGAGAAATCCTTTAACTATAAAAAATTCCTCCAATAATATATGTATGACAAATTAAACTTACTTTTTTATCAGAAGACTTTCCTGGCACCATATAAAAAACTCTTGATGATCCTTCGCTGCCAATGTCAATGCGTCTCCATATAGGCACATAATACTTAGGCATTGTAACATGTAATAAATAATATCTGAATTTTGAACTTCATTGATTTCCTGCAAAACAATATGTTAGCATGTTATGCACAAAAATTGAAATTGCTGAGGATTTTTCCAAGCTGTTTTGTTAAGGGATAAAATTTTTTCATTTTGCATTAAAATTAGTAATAGTTAGTGAAAGTAGTAACTAAATACAGGTGTGATAGAATCAATGGTCATTTGTTAGCTCCAAAAAAAATCCTACTACATAAACGTGTGTAAAATGTTTTAATTTTATTACTTTATTTAAACTAAAAGTACCTTCAGGAGTTTATAAATGTACTGCAATTGCTCTGGCAGATCGGCAATAGTAAACTGGAATTCTCCAACAGTTGTTTGCCAAAAATCATCTGTATTTTGCTCTTCATTATTTGAGGAGTGTTCTTCGTTTACATATGTCTGCAATTTGCTTTTATTTGCTGCATCTGTTCCTATAACATTTAAACATATAATAATATAAAAATTAATATTTAACTCTTCTTTAATCGCATCAAATTTTTTAACATGCTTACTCGCAGGTAAGGAAACACTTTCATAATTTAATCGAGTAAAAGAGGATTATTTTAAATAAGTTAAACAAACCATTATCTTTTCTCGTTAATGCAGCACCTGGTAGGGTCGTGTCAATTTTTTCCGTTGGAATTATTGTTGTGAGATCTAATTGCTCTGATACTGTTTCAACTGTAGCAGTCATAATTTGCTCAAAAAACTGTCAAAATTAATTTAAATTCACAAAATATTTAATATTTAGCGGAAATATGTTATATATGCTGCGGGAAATGACTTGTAAATCTTAGACAACGAAAAAAAATTTTTTGCAGACTTGTGTGATTAATTAATAAAATAAATGTATATTTACGTGTGGCATGTGAACAAGAACACCTCCAACAGAATGAGTTTCTGGAGTTGGCATATTTATTCCAACATCAGATTTCAAATCACATTTTTTTATTCCTTCAGAGGAATTTCGACGCCCATTGTCATCCGCAAGATCATCATTTATTACCTGTGCAATAATGAAAAGTAGGTTCTTTTAATTAAAATTTATATTTTTATAAAAAAAATTTCAATTTTTAGAGAAACACTCAGTGGTACGTATCTCCCAAAATTAATTCATCACATGACTAACAAATTTGCATTTGTTTTGTTAATTATAAGAATTTCTAAATATATAGAGTAATCACTTACATCAGGTGGATGTGCTAAATTTGATGGTGCTAAATAAGTAAGTAGTTGCAAACACAATTGATACCATACTATCTTTGACTCGCAAAACGTGCATTCAGAGGTTGTAAGGCATGTATGGTTATTGCTCCAACTTGTCTCCATTATCAATTTCATCAAATAACAAGATTCACGACACGTGCTGCTATAAATTCCAGCGTTTTTATCAATATCTTGGAGTTCTATCTGCAACATTAAATTTTACGTTTCAACTGTCACAATCGGTTTTTAAGTAGGGAAATTCAAATGTTTCTCAATAATATCTAGAGTACAAGTTTGCACTTTACGAATAATATAAGTTAACGTCCTGCTGTATGATTGTCCCTCTAACTATTAGTTCATTAACCATTCGAAAATCGTTACTCCGGGATATCTGGAGTCGCTGATTACAAATATGAGATTGATTTTCAAAAATTCAAAATGGCGGATCCAATATGGCGAACGTAAATGTAAAAAATTCATCGGATCTACTCGAAAATCGTTACTCGGGGGTTTTCGGGGTCGCTAATTACGAGTTTGAAATCGATTTTCAAAAATGCAAAATGTCGGATACAATATGGCGGACTTTTGAAAAAAAATGGTTTGGATTCTCTTGAAAAGTAATTAATATACAATAAAATTACTTATTTCTTCAATTCATTTATATTTGATGAATATGGTTGAAAATTCGTTTGAATAGAAACCTTGAACCCTTGGTATAAAGAATAATATCTTGATCTAAAACTTGGAAAAATTTTAATATTTTGAAAAGAACTGTCTAAGCACTGAAGAAATAATTAGAAATTGAATAATTTAGAAGAATGAACCTGAAACTTGAAAATAGTTAAAAGAACTTGTAATTGAAAAAATTGATTAAGAGAATAGAACTGAACTGACTTGTTCATTAGAGTCTTTAGTTTTTATATTGCTATCCATTTTAAAATTTTTAAGACGGGCGCAAATTTAGGGATGAATATTTTTTTAAAGTGGAAAGTTAAAAAGATAAATGATTGGAATTATTGTGAAACAAAATAGAAAAACTTATCTAAAAGAAAGATGTCATTGGGTCCTTCAGGCCCAGCCCTTGGGAGGAATGATTTTTCGTAGGCGTATCTTAAGATACACTAATTGTACCTCTGAACGCAAAAATAAACTAAATAAATTCAATTAAATAGATAATAATTTTGAACAAAAACTTTTCTAAATTACTTGATACAATAATATTAAAAATAATTAATTTTTGCGTATGTAACATTGAAATATAACTCACTTGTTTTAATAAAGCATCCAGCATCAAAACACAACACGACAGATTTAATTCCGAGTCAACTTGAAATTCAACATAAACTTGAGTTGGAATAATATCATCTGAGATTGGTGTTGATTTTTCTGAATCATTTTCCATCATACCACCTGAAATATTATTATATATATATAGGAAAAAGTTATCGATTGAAGTTTCTAAAACAGTATACAATGTTTTGATTATTTTCAATTTCAAAGATTCGATACTGATATACAATAAATAAAATTCAACACAAATACTTACATGAATGGTATCCGTTATCATTTTGTATTATTTTCATTAGATTTTCATTAGAAAGGCTTGTTTTATTTGTCTGTTGCATTGCCTCAATTCCATCTTTAAACATTGAATATAAAAGATTCAAGGGTATTATTATTTCCAGCATAGTTAAAGTTTGTAACCATTTTAGGGCTTGTTCTTGTACCATTGCACTGACATTAATAAATCTTTGTGCAATAAAGTTATACATTTTTGTAGTATCAAATCCTAAAGGACTCATATCTGGATCCAACATTTTACTAAAATATAAACATGCAATTATTAATAATCATATTCAATTCTAGAAAATTGATAAATGTGATTTTTACCTAAAAAAACTATTTTTTGAACCTTATGAATAAATATATTACCAAAGAATTATTTTCAGTTCCAATAGATGTTTTTCTGGTACGTCATGCACCATTGCTTCCATCCAATGCGGCATGACATAATCCCAAATTTCCGAAGTAATTACTTCGTAAGGCACTAAACAAAACAGTCTGTTCAGACCATCTTTCAAATGTGGAATTCTTGAGGTCAAACTTTCCCTGTAGCAATTGTAACAGAACTTCTTATTATATATAAATTTTTTATTATTGAAGTTAACAATAACTTGTTAATTGATTTTCGTAATACTTTATCGTGACTTAAATTATTCAGCATCAGTGTCACGTCTGAGAAAGTATAATTCATAGTCGGTAACATTTAATTTAAATTTAAAAGCGTCTCTTTCTAGTTTTCGGTAATTAAATTCAATATGAAATTAATAACTTAATTCGCTGATATTAGTCAGCAACAATTCGGTTTTAATATGGTATAAAATCTCAATCCGAAATTAGTCCGGAATTTATATGTACATAAAATTATCATTGTTGTGGACTAATACCAGATTTTTTACACACAGATATTCAATTAAAATTTTAGATTAAATCCGGATTCGTTACACAAAAGTGCTGACTAATAAGGGACTCCTTTCTAATTAAGATTTTTGTTCAGACTGCGACTGCTAATTTTATACATATTAATTTCAAATTTTTCATCCAGACTAATATGACTTATATCGAATCGTAAAGAAAATATAGACTCACCAATGTCCACCAATTCGCACATAATCCGCTGGATGAGGTAGCAAACATGAGACAAGTACTTGATAATGTGTTTTCATAACTTCCAGTAGCCAATTACAAACGTATTCTGTTTTTAACTTTTCAAGTGTACATTCAATTTGTCCTGTAAATTGACAATAAATATTTATATAATTTACAAGTCCTGAAAGTTTTATATTGTGATCGCTAGTATTTTACACCTTATGTCCTATATTAAAAAATCAATTTCTTGAAATAAAGAGTATCTTAAAGAAATTGTTGTTTTTGTGCTCTATCTATAGGTTCATGTAATGAAAAACATTTGTTGAATATTCTTCTCAGGGAAATAAAATTTAGGAATTAAAATCAAGAGTATTTTTGATAAAATTGTAAATGTCTACCTACCATCAAATGAGTATGCTGTAGCATGAAACCAGTGAAATAACATTGAAAGTAAACGACCTAAAATTTCATCAGGCATCTCTTTTGTGGGTGTACATAGCGTTACTAATAACCATACACCATAACGACCAAGTAACTGTCAATCTTCTAACGTTATTTTATCCTGTAAAAGTAACTGAGGAGTTACTGATACTCCTGAAAATATCACGTTAGATTTACTGTTACTAAAGTCTGAATTATCTTTATTACTATCTGCACTGCATGGCTCAGATTCTTTAAGCAAACTGAAACAAAGAAATTTGATAAGAAATATTTTAGATAGGTGTTTGTTTGTGATTTGTACTTAATTTTTTAATCAGAAGTGGATGCAGGAAATAATTCAATTATGCGCAAAATTCACTTAATTTTCACACTTTATTTTGAAACACAAATGTAGTATACAATGAACAAAAATGGCGAGACCACACTGTGGTCAAGCACAAAAGTTTAATTGTTTTGAGAGTTGCCGAAAAGTTATTTAATAAAATGGAGCCCTACTGTTAATACCCATATGAGGTCGAAATTTGAAAAATAAAATTTGGGAATATCTCAAAAACGGTAAGAGATACGCAAAATCGGACAAAATTTTGAGTTAATTTTTTATAAAGCAAAAATATTTTATTTAGTGAGGATGGTAATTGAGTGGAATCGGGTCTCTCTGTAGCTCAATTGGTAGAGCATCTTACCGGCAATAAGAAGGTTCTGGGATCATACCCCAGCAGCGAGAGGCGATCCATTTTTTTCAGAAACCATGCACGAAAATATTTGTACGAGTTTCGTACATACAAATTTGACCGTTGGACAATAAAATTTCTACCTTTTCAGATATAATTAGGTTAATGAAATACTTAATAGGAGAAACCTATTCACCGTCGTAACTAAAAATATTTTATGTTTAAACCCAAAAATATGTCTTTTTTTTAAATAACTGCTACATTTTTCCATGTAGGATCCTATGTGAGATCTCATATAGAATTCTATATGGACACTTATGAGATTTTTCTCATGATTTTCATATAGGATTCTCGTAAAATTTCATATGTAGTATCTCATATAAGAAACCATAACTCATCTTATACGGGAATTTACAATACCCTACCGGAAGGGAGGTACTGCGAAATTGGAAGTGAGGGCTCAGTATCAACTAGCTTTTTCAATATGTTTAAACTAATACTTTATATTTATTTCAATATTATATTTGTTTTTCATGGATTTATTTCCAAGCAATAAAACTCGGTTTAAAATTATAATCCTTCAACAAAGGACCTAGGGGTCTATTGTTCAAGGAGGGATTGCAATATAATTTGCAAACTTAACGGAAATTTTCTACAGACTACTATATGTTTTTTTTTGCTGTTTTACACGCATATCGTGAGAGACGTTTTGTTGATCTAATATACCTTTAAAACTATTGTTAAAGTACTTTAAAATGTCTTCTTATGGGTTATCAGGTACTGGTACTGAAGTGGAACTCAAGCCAAGTCCAATTCAGTACCACTCTTTCGGTAGGGTAGGGAGAACACCGAAAAGAATGAGAATGACCCAGTAATGAGATGTAATATAATAAATGTTTGAGTTTATTGTTTTTGATCTTAATAATCAACACTCTTAGTAGCCCAATCATTAAAATTTAAATATCCCTTAGATGTCCTAAGAATATCGTTAGGACACCTTAAAGATTTTCTAACTTTTGGATATCCAATGGATATTCCTAAGACATCTGTAAAATTTTCTGAAATATCTGTCAAATGACTAAAAACTGCAAAAAATATATGATTAAAAAAATATTAAGTTTTGTATAATACCTAATTATTGCTTGTACCATATAAGTCTGTGTTTGACGATCCATTTTTGAAATTTGAGGTAATGCTGTATGATAAATATGATCATTGCCCCTTCTATTATTATGTCGAATATTGTGACATTGTACACAATATCGTATTGGATGATTTCCATTATAACTTGCACATTCTGTAGAAAAACACACGCTTATAGCTGATTTATCATTTGCTCTGCAGTTCTGTGAATTGAAGAAAAATCACTTGTTAATGAAATAATTATTAAAGATAAATAATTTTATATTGTATTAATTATAAGAGAATTATAGTTTATATGCTTATCACATCTGCTTACTTTATTTTCACATGTAGTAGACACTTGTTGCATGCGATGTAATACATCATGGAATATTAAATTTGAGTGTTCACGATGTATTTCATTAGCACATTCGATGCAAAGATATAATGGTGGTGGTGATTCGTTTGCAAACGTAATAGATGTACGATGATCGTAGCAGACTTTTCCTGCCTCCACACTGCCTGCATTTGGACACAAATCTCTTTGACAGGCAAAAGGTTCTAAATCATCTGCAATATGATCAATACAAAATTTAGTTCAATATTTCCTTCTTGTAAAGCTAATTCTAAATCAAAAGATTATAAAAAGAGTAAGAAAACTTGCTTTAAAAATTATAGGACAATTTCACCATTTAATTTCTGATGACATATAGAAACCCAGTAAATGAAAACTAATTCCGTTGAATTGAAATGAATACAAGCTTGCCTTCAGTGAATCCCGCTTAGCGACAAATTCGAATGAAAGCTCTACTGCAATTCTTCTGAATTCGACAAAACAGTATTCAACTTTCAAACTCTCTATTCGTACTAATTCAATGAAGAAACTTTTGAGCTTTAATTTTTTTTCAGTTCGTCAACACAAATTCATTAGACGAGTCGATCATTTTCTTTGAATTCTCAATCGATGACAATTCATTGGTACGAAATGAAACTGGCTAAAAAAGTTAATTCACTTTAATTCATCTGAATTACTATTTTACTCGAAGGTATACAGATTTTATTCTTCCAATTCCTCATGGAGAAATAAACAAAAATTGAATAAAAAGGAATTCTTAGGAAGTAAAATTTTTCAATACTCATTTTTAAAGGAAGTTTTCTTTCCCGGTATTAATTCAAAAATATATAAATAAAAATTTATACCTGCATATTTTAATAATAGTGCGCGGCGATCAAATAAGTTTTGATTAACAGTAGGCCAGTAATATATCAGTAATTTAGCCGCAGATATTCTTGCATATGATGTGCCATATGCAACGACACATAAAATGTCTTTTATTATTTCTCGTTTAAATGTCATTACACATTCAAGAATCTGACAGTGATGAGCTGCAAAAATATTAATTCAGATATTTTTTCATGTCTGTTTTATCTGAATTCTATAAGAATAAAACATGAAACAGAAAATATGATTTTAAAATATTAAACAAAACTTTTCCTATAGTCGACTGAAATTAAAAAACTGGGGCGAATTTTGTTAATGATTGATCTCTGAATGTTGTCATGGCAACAAAGCGTGCGCAACGATTTTCGCCGGCAGAACGCATGTTCGATGGAAAAATCCATTCCTAGATCAACCATTGAAAAGAGTGTCGACTATCGATAAATCTAAATTTTATATTATATGAGTGTTCGTGTTGCGGAGGTATCTCATCGTTAGGATAGCGAATTTGACGACGTATACTGTTAGTAAATTTCCGATTATTAAAACCAATTATCGACAAATAGTCCAGAAGCTAGCAACAGATTTAGGTCTGTCATTTACTCCCTGCCAATAATAATTTGTGAAATAATTGTTGCAGTTGTGTCTTGAAACTTTACGTGTTGCCGAGACCTTCTGGCCAGCACCAAATTCAGGTTCTGACTAGTGGCTGATTAGCATCAGAACTGGGACAAGCTAGACCTTCTAGACTAGCGATGGTAGACGCTTTTTAGATTGCGCCAGGTTTGAGTCTAGACGTTCCAGAACATTTTTTTCTACACAGAATGCGATAGTCTTTCCTGGAATGACTATCGTTTCTTTTACACTTCGATCTTTTGAGTCTTGTGAATAAGTTCGTTTTTCATTGTCTTCAGAACACGAACGCTGATTCCAATCTGTGGAATTAGAATTACGAAAGGCACTAACGCGTGAATAACGCGAAGAGAAATGTGGAAAATTGTATCAAATAACGTATGTAAATAAGCGATCATTCTGATGCCCGGCTCCTCACGCGCACTATTCATTCTACCAGATGACGATTTTATTTCATTAAATTATGATGTAAATTATTATCTGAGTGAGTTTCAAGTGAGAGGAAATCCCTGAAAAAATATTTTTTTACATGTTCGGGTGACTGGCTAACGTATAATCCACCACTTTACAGCCAGCTGACGTTTTTATTTGTCTATACATTATGATGTGAACTATCATCTGACAAAGTATCAGTCGGGAGGAAATGAATGAAAATGATTTTTTTGTGAATAACATAAAATAAATGTCTAAAGCTACTACATATCGATAAACGAAGATTTATTTACTGGTGATAAAGTTATTCATAGAAATTTATATTCTTACCAGAATTATTGGAATATTGTAGAACCATCATGATTACTGTTGATACGGACTGACTTGCATAGTTCTCTGAACCATCTTCAGTTTTTCTTGCTTTAATATAATAAATAAAAAATCTTAGATTGAATTAGTTATCTTATGTTAAAATATTTAAAAAAGCACTTACTAAGTGTGAAAGGAAGAATGTAATAACAAAGATAATTGATGATTTCTTGATGTAATTCAACTGGAAAGACAGCAACAGCACTCGCAGTCAAATATGGTACATTATCAATCAAGTCATTTTCCAAAAATGGTAATAGACAAGCGAGACACTGTAATATAGCTTGCCCAAATGCTGAAAAGAAATTTAAATTAACTAGTTTCTTTTATTAACTTATTCAAAATTTATTATAGAAGTTTAAATACTCACCATGTAATCCAATGTGTACCAAAGGAACAACATCCATTAACTGCGTTAAGGCGTTATAGAGCTGTTTGTAATCTAGACTGGGATACATTGCCATTCTCTCATTATCAAGAGCTTGTGATTGCATCATTTCTAGAGGTGAATCCCGTACTTCTTTTAATAGGCCTGGAAGACAAACATTACTGTTATTTTATTATGTTCATTATTAGTACTAATTCTTATAAAATAATTATCCAATCCATGTAACATGTTCGTATAAATCTGTATGTGTGAAGACTATTTACTTATATTTAAGCAGGTTCTTTATGGACTAGTTTTAAATATATTGTTTAACCTCTAAGTTAGAAGCAAATCGACTTGTTTGGGATGCGCACTTTAATAAGGACTTACGCCTCATAGAAAAGATACAAAAGCGTTTATTAAAGTATTGTATTTTCTTGAATTCTAATAATTATCCTCCTCGGGGTTCTGACTATATAACACTTTGTAAATAAAAATCAGTGTTTGTAGCCGTAGGCCAGGCACCGTAGCCCATCACCCTTCTTTTGATTGGGCAACACATAAAGCCAATCCTTATGCGTCCCACCTTCTCCAGCCTATCTGCCTCTTCTGGGCCGATGACTACAACCGCGAGCTTCGTTCCTCGTCGGTTGGGTCCTACAACCATCATCTTCCTGCTTCCTGACCTCTGGAGCACTTCTGTCAACGCCTGCTGGACCTTCTTTTCCTGGGTAAGGCAATCCATGTCGCGGATCTTCAGTGTGACTTGTCGATCAACGGTCTGCACCTTTCTCATGCTTCCAACCGCTTTGGTGACCTTAGCGGTGTATGCCTCGTTATTGGAGTCTCCTCCAATTTTAATCAGGAGATCTCCCTTTCTAGTAGGCCTAGCGCCTACAACCTGCGTGAGGCTAATGTTGCTTAGGATTTGAGGTTACCGTCACCTTTGCAATCTTTATGACATCTGCTAGGGCGTGCTTTATCTTCGCCTCACTGACAAGATCCTGAAGAGTCTTAAGTCCGTCCTTAATAGTCATGTTGACATTCTTCTGGACTTCGCAAGACCTTTACCATCTTGACGATCTCCTCTTCGATCCTCTAAAAACACTCAGCTCACTCCTGTCTAAACTCTAAACACTTCTCACGTTTTTCTTCAATTGTCTCGTTGTCTAGATCAGACGTGATAAAACTTCTTCCGTTGCTGACACACGAAACACTCTTCTATTTTCAAGTGCTTCCAAACGGACCTGAAGAACTTTAAGAAACTGGGAGTTTCCATGGTCCATCCTCTTTGTGGCATTGAATGCCGCAGCACCCAAGGTGTCCAATACTGCAGCACTGTTGTCACTGGATTTCAACGCTGGGAAGCCAACTTGCTCACCTCCAGCAGCGCCAGCACTAGGGTATCCCTCCCCTGTACCGTAAACGTCTTTGCTTTCCATATAATTATATATTTCTCATTACTTTATATAATTTACAACACTGTTGGTAGAGGACAACCATCGATAGGGACGTTTATTTATATTGCGTACAATTTTGGACAAAGCTTTGTCTCCGTCTGACGTGGAACGTCCCATAGGTGTTTTTGAAGGGTTTTGTAATAATCAGGTAGAAATAGATTAAAAAAGAATCTTATGAAATGAAACAAACAAAAAAATGGTAATCCTGATCAAGTAGAAGAATGCATTTTCACTGCTTCAATGGTACTATTACCACACTGAAAAAATGTTGGTGCAGCAGCTACTCCTAACGAAAAATTTCTATATTCAATTAACTTCATACTTAATATTTGCCATGCGTTTTTATATGAATGATATTAACTGAATGTAGAAATTTTTCGTTTGGGGCAGTTGTTGCACTAAAATTTTTTCAGTGCAATATTGTAGATCAATTCTTTATTTTGCATAGAAACTGATGATGAAACTATTTCAGTAACATCCGGCCCACTTCTGCTTCGGAGCAAGGAAATAGCAAAAAGAAATTAAATTTTTTAATCTAGAACTCTCTCTGTAAAACAATATTACTTACCTAAGAGTGTTTGTGAGAAAAATTTAATTGTATTTGCCATATCAAACCCACTTGGAATAGGTAAACTTCCATATAAAAGTCTTTGGTAATACTCGTGCAAGCATGTCAGCTTCAGAGTATCTATAAGTAATTAGTATAATTTGAAACTTAAATAAAATCTTATATAGAAGATTCAACTAATTTTTATCCAAAGCAGAGCATTTATGTGTGTTACTTACATGCAGCAAATTTCGTTCCCATTTTTTATTGTTTTGATAATTGACGTCAGAAGTAGTCAATGCTTTTTATAACGGCTTTATGAATCTGTAAAACAAAATATACTTTTAATTCCTTATAATGAGATTAATGAAATTTTGTCAACTCTTTTTATTGTAAATTAACAAAATTACATTCTTCAATTTCCTCTAAATATGACTTTACAAGAATAGTAAGTATTTATATTTATTAAATTTTATTATTTGAAATTATTTTTTTTTCAATAGTATTGAGCCAAAATTCCTAAAGTGGATCACCCAAATTAAAGATGTATACTGTATTTGCTTGGAAATATAGAAAATTAAAACATTATTATGAGTTGAAAAACTGCCTCAAAGTATTTTACAAAAAATTAAATTTCTCATATAGTTATAAAACTCTTATAGGAAACTCCACTCTATTCATTTTTTAACTTAAAACTACAAAAAACTTCAATTGTTTATAACTATGTGAAATTTAATTTTTTTTTGAAAAATCCTTTGAGGCAGTTTTTCAACTCATAATAATGTTTTAATTTTCTATATTTCCAAGCAAATACAGTACATTTTTAATTCGAGTTCACTTCAGAAATTTTGACTCATATTATTAAAATGTAATTTTAAAATTTTTAAATATAGTCAAGAATATTTTATTACGATTTAAATAGAAAAACTTTTAAAACAGTGTAATTTTTAACGAAAAATTGCTATTTTATAAAATAAATCGACATATGTAACAAAAATAACGTTAATTTTAATAACTCAACCCCTTTTATCGATAAATTAGTCTTATATAATAATCTTTGAATTCAAACATAAGAAAAAAATAATTCAATATTGCAAAAATATTTTAAGAAATAAAAAAAAATTAAGACATAAACTTTTGTATTAAATGTTTTAAATACAGCTAAGCTAAATTTTTTCTTTCCATTTTGTTTAAAAAAAAATGTTATTTTTATAAAATATATTAAAAATTTTATATATTTAAATGAAATTTTAGTTTTAATTTTTTACTCAACGATTTATATTGTTAATTTTACTTGTTATTAATTAGTGAATCTGAATAAAATATATCAAAAATACAAATTAAAAATATGAATAAAACTTACCGTCAGATTTGTTTACTAAGATTTTTTCTTAAAATTCATAACCTATTATTGTTTGTTTACTATTAAAAATGACATTGATATAATTTTTAACTGTCATATTTTTATTTTTAATAAAATATATTTAAATAATTTATTTTGACAATGTTTTATGATGATGTTAAAAAAAAATTAAGAAACTATTATTCTTTACCTCTACTTCTGGTCCATACTGCTCTTCGCAATCGCACAAGGATGGAATGCGCACGCAGTATTGACCCACTGTGGATGGCGAATCACCAAATTCACACTATATATCATCACCCTCAAAAACTATTTAATATTACTCTCTTAAGGACAAGATTTGTTGTATAAAATTTTTAAATTATATTTTTTATTTGAAATTAAAAGATTAAGGTAATTAGATTGAAAAAAATTGTAAGTTCCTGCAATTAAGGTTTTAAATTTTTTTTAATTTCTTAAAAACCCTGCTAAAAATAAAATCACAAAACGTCAAAAAATTAGTCAGGATCTCTGATGTTTTGAGACTGTTTTTGTTACGATTGCAGTCACAGAACACCACAATAAGTGAGGTTTAGTCAAAGAATCGTCAATAGTAGTCAGATTTTTTATGAGGGTCAGAGACCCTTTTTTTTGCCATACCATAAATCATTAAACCCTGTGACTATTTGTGATGTTAAATGACATTTCTTTCTATAAAATAGTTTTGAAGATTCCTGACTTACTTCTCATGAATTCTGACTACAAATATTTAAAAATTAAAAAAAATCAATATTTTATCATTAAAAAAATAAATTATCGTACAACATTTTTTTATCTTTACGTTACACATTCTTAATTATTATTTTTACAATTTATTATATTTATTTACTCCTATCGAAGAAAATCTCGCAAACGCAGGGAATCGAACTCACAACCTAACGAACGCAAACCGAATACCTAACCCCTGAGCTAAACTAACCTAACTGAGATCTTAAAAATAGAATACGGTTTTATGAAAATAGAAGATCTTATTACTTTTTTTCAATTTTATCAACATATTTTGTTGATAATTATTATTATTATTTTAAAAAAATTTTATAATTTTTAAAAATTAACAAGTAAAGTTAAAATAGGTATATTGTTATATTGATCAAAAAACATTTGTAGTCCAATTATCATATATTAATGTATTCAATTAATAAAATTTGCTTCAGCAAATATTTAATTAAACAAAAAATTCGTATGTAAATATTATTTGAATTCGAACTTAAAAGAATATGTGTAATATACAAATAAAATAGTCTAGAATAATAAGATACTGTCGGATTGTCTCAAGTAAACTCTGAGCGAATTTTATCAGGTTTTTCGCTCACGTTTTAGCACATTCATTACTATTATAATTAATTATAATGATAAGAATTAATTAATATGCATATATTAATTACTATATTATTAAAATTCAATTTAACATAATTCTTCCACAAATCAACTAAATAATTACTAATTTTAATTTCTCTTTTTAGCATACTGCACTATAATTAGATGTAATATTTGGTTCAAATCAAATTTATATTTAGTGAAAACTGGATCAAATTCGCTCAGAGATTGATTGAGCGATCAATTCATATATTCTATTTTACAAGAGACCAGAATGTTTTTGCTCATCTAGTTGTAAAAAAATAAACTTTTATGTGAAATAGCCAGCGATTTCTAATTTTTTTCAAATATATATATATATATATATATATAGAGTTAACACAATGGTAAGAATAGGTTTTCAACATATGTTGCTTTCTTATAACTAAATGTAAGGAAACTAGCTTACTGTAAAATAATAAATACAAATTTGAAGTAGGGACTTTAAAAGTATAGTCGTAGTCATTGACGCCTTCCCTTTTCTGTCCTTGTCTTACAAACGTGATTCCATATATATTATATGTACGTTAGAAAAGGACAAAAAGAAAAGTATAGGCCAGAAGGATCTTTTATGGTTTTATGGCTTTTCATTGCAAAATTAAAAATTGTTGCATTTGAAAAAAATGATTTTTAAATATTATATTCGTAATGTACATGTCAATACAATTACAACGATATAAAATTTTTTGCAAATATTTTTAAATTATTGAGAATTAATTTTAATTAATGGAGTATTTATTGTATAATCATTATGTAATTTTAGAGTTTTTACATAATGTTTTATATCATTGGAATCGTTAAAATCTATAAATTACAAATATAACATTTAAAAAAATATTTATTTAAATTTAAATAATTTTTTATTTTGCATTAAAAAGTCATAAAACCTGATGGACCCTCGAAAGGACCCTTCTGTTGGAAAAAGGGAATATATAATATAATAGAGTTATATGGTGGGTTTGAGTGGCCTTGGTACCTCTCTTGGAACCCTTTTTACAAAAAAAAATAAAACGTAGTGAGAAATCGTCACTTTTTAGAAAACGTCAGGCCCATAAAAACTATTTAAGTCAGAATTAGTCAGCAGCATCACAGAACATCAAAATAGTCTCAAAACGTCAGGATTTCTGACGTTTTGAGACTGATTTCTGATTTTATTTTTAGCAGGGAAGAAGTAAATATAGTTTTTAAATGTTTTTGAGTAGATAAACAGTGCCCGTTTTGCACCAAAAAAAACCTGTAACCGACATTTACCGACACTTAAAAAAATTGGTTCAAATCCGAGCTAAATGAAAAATAAATAAAAAATATATATATACACCCTCATAACAAAAGGATATCAATGGTCGATATCCTAGAATGGTCCCCAGGATATCTTGGGATATCCCTAGGATATCCAAACCGCCGGTCTGTGGGACATCAACAGGACATCCACAGGATATCCCTAAGACATCCACAAAATATTTATTGGATATTATATCGCAGGATGTCCGTGGGATATTCTTAGGATATTCACGGGACATTTAATATCTCAACATATATTTTTAAAGGTTAAAATTGTTAAGCTAATATAATGAATAATAATATAATAAAAAGAAAAATCTTATGAGCTTCTAATTTATTTTAAATGAAGATTTGAAACGCATTTTTCAAAGTTTTTAAATAAAGTCATGCACTTAATGTATAATTAATATTAATAGTTATTCGTTATTTGCGGGGAAGAATTTATATTGTTTAAAGCCATTTTATTTTCTGACAATATTAAGCATAATATGAATAAAGGAATGAATCACGAATGAGAAAAAAATTAGTTAATAATTTTTCAAATTAAACAACTTTCTCGAAAAACAAGTTGCATTTTATTTTATTTATATAAAATTTAATTCACAGAATATTCTCACTCGTAGTCTCATAATGATTTTAAAAACAGTATCCTACTGAGAATATCTTCTTGACATCCAGAAGATATACTGAGAATATCCTGAAAATATCTGTGGGATATCCTGACGATATCTATGGGATATCTGGAGAACATTTATGAAAGTCTATAGAGATATCCAGAAGATATCCTCAGATATCCATGGGATATCCAAACCGCCGATTTTTTGGATATCCTTAAGAAATCCTTTTGATATCCATAGGACATCCCTAGGATATCTGCGGGATATTATCAATATATCCCAAAATATCTTGTGTTATTTAGGGCATTATAATCAGATTTTTAGTTGTTGTTATTATTTAATATGACGCGATCTGAAGAAAGGGACCTTAGAAGAAAATGAATTATAGGTTATGTTTACGACAGTTTTACTTGAACTAAAAGTTTATTTTTGTTTTTGTAAAAGTGAAATCAGTTTTTATTGAATATTTTGGATGTAATGAAGACTTAAATATCATTAGTTTTCAATACGAGTTAAACGTCTTTGTGTGTTTTCACTTTAAAACGTAACCTATAATAATTTTTTGCTTCTAAGGTCCCTTTTTTCGGATCGCGTCACAATTAATTCTACTTTATAAAATTTTTATAAAAATGAATTTTTTTATAAGATTCGTTCCATTGAAAATGGAAATAATAATAATATATATAAGAATAAATAATGAACTAAAATAAACGCTCCTAATATGGAACACATCGAAAAACTTGACGCCATTATGGAACAATGAAAAATATTTGAAAATTATAATAGAAAATATGTTTTTCGATATTAAAAAAATTATGAGTAATGAAAAATGCAGTGCAAGTTGGGGTTAAAGTTTTCATGTTTGTTATTAATTTGTGAAAATATTTATTTAATATTTATAAGTTTTAAGTTTATAATTCAGGAGAGATTTTTCACAAAAAAATGTAATATTGTTTTTTAATCACATGTTCCATATTATGTACGTTCAACTTTAAGCAGCCCGTATTTATGGAACGCTTGTTCCATGGTCAGGTAATTTTCCTCAGTTGAACATATTAATGGAACACGTTTTTTTTACGTGTTTTTTCAATATTTCCGCACTGAAAATTTAGTATCAAAGTTTCTTTTAATCGAAATATGCAAATTATTTGTGAAATAATATTTTTCATCAGATCATTTGAGTATGTATTCAATGATCAATACCGTTATCATAATTTCATAGTGCCCCTAGCCTCAAAAATGCATTGATAAATAAAAACTGTTTTATTTTGATAAATAACGAAATTAATTTTTTATAAAAACATTTTTCATTGATATTTTTTTAAAACCGTTGCCAATTAAAATTTTTAATATTTCTGTGTAAATACAGTAATATTAGAGTCAGATTGAATGTTCCACAATAGGGGCATTCATTATGGAACACTCGTACAGGTGTGAAAATATTAAAAATTATTAAACAAATCAAATTAATCAAAATTAAGTTTTAAAAAGTGTTTTAAAAATCTACAATGGTAGGCCAATCGATTAGTAATTGTCGATTTTTAATTAGTATACTTGTCTATCATAAAAATACCCTTAATATTTGGGCAACCGAAAAAGTGTTCCATGGCGTTTATCTTAAAGGAAATTAAATTTTCAGAACGATATTTTATAAAATTCCCTGACATTTCCAGGTTTTCAAGGTTTTCCAAGTCTGTGTGGCAACCCTGTAATTAAAACAAGCATAAATTTTTTTTTAAATTAAGAAAATAAATAAACATTGTAATTGTATAATTGTTATATTTAAATTTTCTTCGTAATGCACATTTCTAGATGACAAGTCTGGTAAATGATGACAATACGGCAATGATTTTACTTAGATGATCACTCAATTGCAATATTCTAACATTCGCATCTTTTTAATTCTCTCTCTCTCTCTCTCACTTTTTCTCTCTCATTCAACTTCGAAAACAGTAAAAAAAAAATTCAGATACATTTATATTTTCGTCGTTTTACAATCATTTCGTTTTTAATTTAATTAATCATACAATATTCTTTCTCCATTCGTACACTCATCTCATCGAGTTTCGCATTTTTTTTTTTTCATTTTTATTACAAGTAAAGAAAGATATAAAAAAAATTTTTTTTTCTTTTTTTAAAGTAAAATGAAATATTTATAATTACAAAAAAAAGAGGAATAGATCATAAAATAGGACATATTTGCATTTTTTTTTTCCTCCTATTTAATATTTTATTAACACATGATCCAAGGATCAATTATTAGAAAACTGGAACAAAAAAACTTCGATTCGTATTGAGACGAACGAAAATCAAACATTTGTACAGTTTTTTTTTTTTCGTAATTATTGAAAAAGTAAATTTTTTTTATACATATATACATATATATTATTTGTTAGACCTATATTCAAGGATTTTTTTTTATACATTTTTGGTTTAAATTACAATTATCTTTTTTTTTTTTGGAGGGAATGAGATCTTTTAGTTTTCATTTTTTTTAAATGTCTAACAAAAATTTGTATCAAAAATTTTAACAACTTTTTGTAAACGTGTAAAAAAAGTTTTTTTTTAAAAAAATGAAATTTTTACAATCTTAACCTAAAGAATCAAAAAGAATTAAAATAAATGTCAAAATATGAAAATAAAAAAATATTTTAGTTATTATAAACAAAGTAATATACTACTTTTAGAGAAATTCAACAAACGATAAAAATGCAGTTATTTCAAAAAAAAAAAGGGGGGGGAGGGGAAATAGTGATATTTTAAAAAAAATACATTTATATAAAATGTATGTATGTATGTATAAAACGAAGTAAAAAAAATAATAATAATAATAATAAACTGATTTTCGTTTGTCTCGTCGAAATTTAAATAGTTTTCCCTTTCATTTCATTTTTTTCTTTCGTTTAATAGGGCAATATTTTATCAATAAAAAAATCTTTTCCGATACATTTTTTTTTCTTTTTTCATCTGCATTTATATATATCAAATGACTACTATAATACAGAAAACAGCCGAATAGGCATTCGTTACAGACGCTCTCTCATACCTACATTTAGAATTTTACACAGTCAATGAATTACGTTATTTACAAGTATATATATATATGAATATATATATTTATTTATTTATATTTATATGAATATTCATCTCATAATGTCGGCTTGATTTTTTTTTTTTTTTATTCGCAATAATGTTTATATACAAATATATGCACATAAGACATGAAATGCATATACATGTATACATAATAATATTTATAATAATTATTTATACATACACGTATGTATGATGTCACGATTTTTTTTTCTTTTCATTCATAGTACACAATATAAAACTTTGCTGCAACAGCAAAAAACGTAAATTCTTTTTTTTTTATACAACAAAAAAAAATATTCATACGCGTACAAAAAAAAAAAAATGTCAAAGAGAACAAAAACAAAAAAAAGAAAAAAAAAAGAAAACACAATGTGATTCACTCGCAGCGAAAATCGGAGAAAAAACACAGCTAAACTCGATATTTTTTTATATATATATATATGAAAAGATATTTACAAAATAAAGCATTTCTTTGATGGAATTAAATTTCTTCATTGGACTTTTCTTTTCAAAATTCAATCATTTTACAATGACGCAAAATTCCACTTTTTCTAGTTTACTAAATTTTAGAAAAACAGTGAAAAAAAATTTTGACATTCTTTTACAAAAAAAAAAAAAACAAAATTCTATTTACGTTCTTCTTTTTTACGTTATTCCTTTTAATTTATTAATTTTTCCTTTTATTTTTCTATTTTTATTCAATTCAGTTTCATAATTTATTAGTTTATAATTATTTCTCTGCCAAAAAAAATTGATATGTTTTTATTAACATCAAAAAAGAGGATATCATCAATTTAATTTAACTAAAAATTGAAACTAGTAATTAAAATTGATTGTCAAAAATTTACATTTGAAAAAAAGAAAAAAAAATTGAAAAATTACAGAATAAAACAGAAAAACGTAAAATAGTTGACAAAAAAAAATAATAATAATAATTTGAAAAATATAACAATTACATCAACACTAGAAAGTAAAAAAATGTCAAAATTTTCCTCTACTTAAAAATGAGATAAAAAAAATAACCCAAAAGTAGAATTTTCAAATTATCGCATGCGTCTCTTTTTTTTAACAACAAAAATCCATTTTCCAAATAGAAAATTTGAAAAGATTTTTAAACCTTATCAAAAAAAAAATATTGATTTTACAAAATTGATTGTACAAACAAAAATGCTTTCAAAATATTCATCTGGAAAAAAGAAAAAAAATTTACTTAATTTAATAACAATTTTTTTTTCTTTTTCTTTTTTTTTGATATTTTAAAGCGTCAATTTTTGAAAACTTCGAATCTAATTTGTAAAAACTATATAATATATATATTAAAAAAAACGTCAATTTCTTGTTTATAACTTGAGAGCAATAATTCCAAAAGCTCCTTTTTTTTGATACGATAAAAAATTGAAACAGCTGAAATCGCATCGAGTACAAGAATCATACGCAAAATTATAATAGCCATGTAATTGCAATGTGCAATTATATATGCATAATAATAATAATAATTAATAATATAATAATATTAATTAATAATATAATAATAATAATATAATAATAATAATAATGATAATAATTACAGACTCCTAACAAATACATTCAATAAAAAGTTCCTTTACAGTCTAGATTTCCAGTGACTAAAAAAAACAGTCGATGAGAAACTAAAAAGAAAAGAAACGATAGTTGAGAAAAAAAAAAATTGTTTTTTTTTACTGTTTTTAAATGTGAAAAAAAAATGGGAAGAAGAAAAAAAACGAAACGTAGTCCATATAATAGTGTTAATGATTATAATTATCTAATAACGTCCGTAAAAGTATCTTCTTCACCATCATAATTGATTTCTACACATTTACTAATAAAAAAAAAAAAAAAAAAAAACATTCGCTGCTCGTTTGAGAAAATAAATTATTAACATTAAATCTTGCCTCGCATTTTTTTTTGTTTTATCACTGTTCCGCGCGTTTTTTCTTTCTTTTTTTTCTTTTACATTCGCGAAAAACATTTTTTTTTTCTTCTCTAAAAATTTTCCCAACATCATTTTTTTTCAAAGTAAAAATTGGCAAAATACATGCCTGTTAAGATAAGTTTTGTAGGCCTCTTTTGTTTCTCTTGTTTTTTTTTTTTAAACCTTAATTAACGTACATTTATATCAACTACGTGTACGGAACATTATTAGTCCGATGTGTTTTGTTGTGTTGCTTTTTGTTTTATTTACTTTTCCTTTTTTTTCCCTCCCTGAAGAAAAGTTTATCACCTATATTGAAAAAAGTTGTATTTTTCTTTTAACCAGGTAGTAAAAACTTTACACACACACACATACACACACTCACAAACAGTGTAGAACTTGTGAAATTGATCGCTGCTCATTTTTTTTTTCTTCTTTTTTTAGTTTTTTTTTTTTTTGTTTTTTTAGTAAAACTGAAAGGATCAGAGGCCTGATTCGAAAGGTCACCTGTGACTGTTGTTACTCTGATCGTTCATGTCATAAAGGACTTGTGCAATTGTACGGGATGATTCAACGTTGCTTAACGCCACTCCCGCCAAATGTGGTTCATAAGCCCTTAAGTGTCTGAAAAAAAAGAAAATTAAAAATTATTTTTTTTTTTTAAATTAATAAAATAAGAGACGCACTATTTGTGTTCTAAAAATCTTTAGTTAAAATTTTTATTTGTTCGAATTAGTATTTTGCAGAATTTTCATCAAAACGATTTTCTTTATTACAGAATTTTTATATAACCAAAAATTTACTTCCAAGAATTTTTATTTGATCCAATTTTCATTCGGATAAATTTCGGACAAATAAAAATTCAGCGTCTTAAAAATTCTGTCATTTAAAAATTCGTACAAATAAAAATTCGGATAAATTTTAAATTCAATGAATTGAAATTTCTGTCGTTTAAAAATTCGTATCAGATAAAAAATTTGATTCAATGAGAATTCGATTAAATTAAAATTTGATTAAATTAAAATTCTAACAAATAAAAAGTTATGTAAAGAAAATGACTGTGGAATAAAAATTCGGTAGCTAAAAATTTTTTTTATATAAAAATTCGTATAAAATTGAAAAGTAATGTAAAAAAAAATTAATTATATTCAATAAAATACTTTCAAATGAAAAAATTGTATAAACAAAAATTTAAATTTAAAAAAAAAAAATTCAATTACATATTTTTAAAAATTTTTTAATAAAATTCGTTTTAAAAATTCAATTATTTTCAAAACTTTCAATAAAATGTTACGAAATGTCAATTACTTACAATTCTTTTAATTCAATATATTCAAAAATATAATTTAAATTTTATTATAATTTTTAAAAAAAAAACTTAATTATTTCATAATTTTGTATAAATTATTCGATAATTTAAGTATTTTTGAAATTTTTAGTTAAAAATCTTTTGAAAATAGAAATAGTGAAAACTTTTAATTTCAACTCTTTCAATATTGATTTATTGCTATTAAATCCGTATAGTTGTTATTTATAAAAAAAAAATTAACTAAAACTCTTTCAAATGTTCATTCTTTTTCAAAAATTTCAATAATAATAAACTTCGTCAATAATAATTTAATTATTTAAGCAATTATTAATTTAACATTTGATGATTAATCATTTTTTTTTTTGCTTTTAACACATTAATTTTAATTTTTATAAAATTTATTTTTTTTTTGTACAAAATTTATATTATAAATTTCTCAAAACTTTCATTATATTATTAAAAACTTTGATTGCAGCTTTAATTATTTCCAAATATCGAAATTAAATTTTTACAACAAAATTTATACCTATAAAGTTGTTTCATATTTCTAATATTCAATTAATTCTAAAAATCTTAATAGAAACTATTCAAAAATTTAAGTATTTATTTAAATTTTTATCTGAAATTTTTGCGCTAAATCAATAATTTTTTAAATAATTTTCATAATTTTTTTAAAATTTAATTATTTAAACAAATTTTTAATCAAAATTTTTTTTTAAATTTCTTCAGTTTTGAAATTAATATGTTCGAATTTCTATATTACCGAATTTTATATATAGTAGAATAATTTATACTATTGAATTAAATTTTCATATTTAAGTATTTTTATTTAACTAAATTCATATTTAAAGAATTTTTTATTTAGTCGAATTTTTAAATAATAGATTTTTTTATTTTTTTATTTTTTTTATTTTAACCGAATTTTTATTTAATATATAATTTCTATTCAGGAGAATTTTTATTTTACAAAATTTTCATAATACAATATTTTAATTTAACATAATTTGTTTTTTAATCTAATTTTTATTTAGCAGAATTTTCTTTAATTTTTTTTAATTTAATTTTTTAAAAAAAAAATTATATAATTATTACTTAGTCGAATTTTTAAATAGCAGAATTTACATTTTCTCTAAATTTTATGTGTACGAATTGTCAATTGAGATAATTATCAAATCACCGAATTTTCATTTGACCGAAATTGAAAATTTCCAAACAAACAATCGAAAGAAACATTTTGGCGCGAATTTTAAAATTAACCAATCAAAAATAATTCTGAAAATTGTAATTGGATTACTTTTCAAATTTCCACCAAAACTTTTATGTTGGATATTTGTTCGACTATTTGCAATTTCGGTTAAATAAAAATTCGGTGTTTTAAAATTTCTATCAAATGACAATTTCGTACAAATAAAAATTCTTGGAAATGAAATTTCGGTGAAATAAAAATTCTGACATTTAAAAATTCAATTCTGTCAAATGAAAATTTTGCTAAATGGAAATTTGTTTTTGCTTACTAAAAATTTGATAATTTTTGATTTGACACAACAAAAATTTCAATATGTAAAATGGGAATTAATTTTTGACAGAATAGTAAATTGAAAAAAAATATATATATATATATATTCTTATTTAGACGTACCTTCTGCCATGTGCAGAGTAAATGACTAGGTTTCTAAGGATAAGAGCTGCTGTTAGACGAATACTCTTGGTCACAGGACCTTCGTTGTCATCCTGCAATAAATCAAAGAAAAAATAGTCTAATAAAAACTTTTCCCTTTCAATGGATATTTCTATTATTTTCTCTCCTTAAGGAAGAAAGAAACATTATAAAACTTGTAAAAAAAAAGAAACCTTAAAAACGTCAAATATTAAAATTTTTTAAACAAATTTTCTCCCTTCCTTTTATATTTTTTTAAATTAAAAAATTCGTGCAAAACTCGTTTCTATTTTTTTCTTTTTTTTTTTTTTTTATAAAAGTCAGCCTGCAATAAAAAATTGAGTGCAAAATTAGTTACAAAAAGCATGCCAAATGATAATACGGTACAAGCAAATATATCACTATATATTTATTAAATTTATAATTATAATCAAATAATATTGATTATATAATTAAATTTATAAATTTTTTCATTTTCAATAGAAGTTTAACTAAAATGATTTATAATTTTTCTGTTTCCTTCTTGTGACCAACTTTCAAAAGTTGTAATAATAATATTATACGTTACACTCAAGACATAATGAAACCATCAGCAAAATTGTTTAGTTAATGAAATGTATTTTTTGATAAATATGGATTAAATGATTTTTTGAAATTTTATGATACATTTAATGATTGCTAGTTCATTATTTTTGGTATATAAATTTTAAAAAATCATCGTCTGTCAATTTTTATGGTGAAAAAAATGTCTACAATCAAACTTTAAATGATTGCTTAAAAACGAACATAGCTCATTGTCAATTTTGAAAAATGGTAAAACGAGACTTTACTTACATTAACATTTTTTTTAATAAATTTATATAAATATTTTTAATAAAAACAATATTTATAATTAATTATTAAAATTTTTTATAAAAAAAAAAAATATTTAGAAGATTATTATTTTTAATACAATAAAAATTTATATAAAAATACTTAAAAATTTTATTACAGAAGAGATAATAAATCAATTTTTGAAATAAACTACAAAAAATAAGTAGAAAAAATATTTAATTTTGACGAATCGTGAAATGAAAAAGCTTTTTCTGAAAATAACTCCGGTTGATGAAACACAACTTTTTTGTAAAAAAAAAAAAAATAGTGTAAAAATTTCTCCTAGGCTACAATTATGTAATTTTATATAATTTTTTTCATTTTTACTTAAACTTTTACTTTCAATTTGGACATTGAATTTCATTTACATTTATCAATGAAAAATTTCAGTTAAAATAAAAATCAAAAATAAAAGTAAAAAATGAAAGTGAAATTCATAATCAAAATCAAAGTGAAAATCAAAGTAAAATTACATAATTACACTCCTGATTAAAGTGAAAAATTTAATTTATATATAATTTAGATAATATATATATACTGGACCGTATATATTATTTCGATTTTTTATCTGTTAAAATCTATTCAAATTTTTAAATTAATTTAAATTAATTTTCAATAATTCAAATACAATTCGAATTATATGGAATAAATTGATAAAAATGATGAATTAAAATGCAAAATTCTAAAATATTAAATGAAAAACAAACATCAAGAACACATGAAACATTTTTTTTTTCTAATTGTCATTAACAAGCAAAATATTATTTAAAAAAAAAAAAAAAAAAAAAAAACTTTCTACAGCATGATAAAGCAAATTAAATTATGTATCCTATATTAAATATGTAATTGAATACATAGAAAAATAAATAAATAAATAAATATAGAATGTCCAAAAAAAAATTTCGAATATTGTTTCTGATCGAATTTACTTCCAATCAGGTATCCTAAATAATCGTCGGAGCTGAAAATTATTTTTTTTTCTCTGAAATGTTGTTTATCACAACTTTTTAAACGACACGTATTTTTTTATTTGACTGAAAAAATTATTTTTACAAAGTTATAACGAATTTAATTTTTCAAGTCGGAATTTATCTCAAAATTAAGAAAACAAATAATTTAAGTGTTATAAATTTTTGTCTAATTGGGTTAATTAATTTATTTTCTTTTTTGCCCTAAATGAACTTTAAAACCTCTTTAAAAATCCTACAGAAAAAAATTAAAAATATTCAAAAATAAAAAAAAAAATCGGATTAAAATAAAGAAAAAAATTAAATATCTCAATTAGACAAACATTGAAAAACATTTTTTGTTCATAATTTTAAGATAAATTCCGATTTGGAAAATTAAATTCGTTGTAAATTCGTAAAAATAATTTTTTCAGTCAAATTAAAGAAGAAGTAAAATAAAATTACTTAACAGCCTCTTTGAAAAACAATATTTCGAAAAAAAAAATTATTTTCAGCTCCGACGATGTTTAGCCAGCCTTATTTAAAATAAATTCAGTCATGCAAATTATTTTTTTTGGGTACGCATGATTATCCCATAAAAATCATTAGTTACAATTTTCATTTTTAAAAAATTACATATAATTATTCATTTTTTTTTTTTTTTTGACAAATTTTTATTTTTCAAATTATCATTTAACAAAATTATTATTTAAAAAAAATTTATAATTTACAGATTTTTCTAAATTTGATAAAATTTGGTAGAATTTTTATTTTACAGAATTTGTTCTTACACAACTTTTTATAATTTAAAGGAATTCTAATTTAATCGAATTTTAATTTAGCAGAATTTTCATTTAGGGTCAGTCGGGGTAAATCCGAACGGGGGGTAAATCCGAACGCTAATTATTTCAGCTTAATTAAAATTTTTAAAAATAAGTTCGATATGAGAATTTTTACCTCAGATCCTCTTGAAGAGATTCTAAGTATTATCCCATTTTTTGTTTGTTAATTAGCAACAGCATAAACAAAGATAACAAGTATTGCAAAAAAGATTGAAAATCAAAGATGACACTCTTTCAGTATTTTGTCTCGTATTTGAAGAAAAAGAAGCTAAAAATTCATTTTATTATTTATAATTGTTTGTTATGAATACTAGAACAGAAACTATATTTGATTTTTGCCTTCTGTAAAATTTTATTAATAATATCAGACCGTTCGTATTTACCCAAGAAAATTGGAAAACTGGGGTAAATCCGAACGGTATTTTTAATAATTTTTTTTTACATCAAAGGCACACAAAATTGTTTTTATTTGATTACACTATTATTTTAACATTATAAAAGTACATAGAAAAAAGTTTTTCTTTCTATACGTATCCTCGTTAGTAATTAATAAGCAGAAACTTAATCTCTGTTCTCTCGAAGGAGTGTTTCAATTTTTTTGCCAAATGGTTTGTTGAAAAAAGTTTTTCAGGATCTTAATAAAATTTGGTATTCTACGGTTTTTGGGGTCGCTAATTACCAATTTGAAGTCAGTTTTTCAAAATTCAAAATGGCGGACGAGAATTAAAAAATTCATTGGATTCGCTCGAAAATTGTTACTCGGAGGGTTTCAGGGTTAGCAAATTTGATCATTTTTAAAAATAAGTTTTAGGAAAGTCCGCCATTTTGAATTTAAAAAATTTGACTTTTATTTTTGTATTTACATTCAATCACTCCAAAATACTTTCTGTAGCAAGTTTTGCAAAAATCCGTTATGATTTGATAAAGTTATTGAAGGTTTTAATTGTGTAATGCATTTTAATTTTTAACCTGTTTGATTTTTGTATTTATATATGATGCATTATTACATAATAGGTTTATTATCGTATTTTTTTTGAGTTTTTATATAAGTTTAACAATTGCAATACTTTAAATTTATTTTCCCTAAGATTTTTCTGAAATACAGTGGCGTTCGTATTTACCCCGGTATTTTAGGAAAGTTGCAAAGTATCGAGGTAAATACGAACGCTAAGTTTCCTGCGATTGTAATTTATCAAAAATTTTTTCTACCCCATAAAATTGTTCTATGGAAGTAAAGTAACAACTTCATGCACCAGAATACCGGAAGTATTTTTTTTTTAAAGAAAAAACTTATGTTATTGTTGAAACTTACTAAAAGCGTTCGGATTTACCCCGGTTGACCCTAATAGAATTCTAAGTTGCTCCGAATTTTTAAATACAAGAATTTCCAAATTCACCATATCTTATTTTGTCCAAATTTTTATTTGTACGAATTATTATTATTTGCTAGAATTCTTAAATCGCAGAATTTTCATTTATCCGAAATTGGAACACATGAATATATTCTAAAACTCATTAATTAGAATATTCATTTTATGGAATTTAATTTGTCATAATATTATTTTTAAGCCAAATTTTTATTTGTTCAAATTAGTATTTTGCAGAATTTTCATCAAAACGTATTTCTAAATCACAGAATTTTTATTTTCTCGAATTTTCATTTACCATAATAATAGGTATTTTAAAGAATTTCATTGCATAGAATTTTCATTTGTTCGAATTATTATTTCATATAATTTCCATATAACCGATTTTTCACAATACAGAATTTTATACTTAACCGAAAAATCATGTAACAAAATTTCTAATTGATAGAATTTTCATATGTCCGAAATTGCAAACGGCCGAACAAACAATCGATATTGGCGCGATTTTTAAAATCAACCAATCACAATTTTATGAATAATTTTTGATTGATTGATTTAAAAAATCGCGCCAAAATCGATTGTTTGTTCGGCCATTTGCAATTTCGGACAAATGAAAATTCTATCAATTAGAAATTCTGTTAAATGATTTGTCGATTAAGTAAAAATTCTGTTGTGTGAAAAATCGGTTATATCGAAATTATATGAAATAATAATTCGAACAAATTTACAATTAATCTGAAAGAATAAAATGAAAATTCTATGCAATGAAATTCTATCCAATAAAAATTCTTCAAAATGCCTATTTTGTTAAATGAAAATTCGAACAAATAAAAATTCTCTGAAGTGAATTTTCAGTCATTTAAAAATTCTGTAATATAGAAAATCAGTTAGATAAAAATTCTGCAAAATTCTAATTCAAACAAATAAAAATTTGGCTCAAAAATAATTATGACAAATGAAATTTCATAAAATGAAAATTCTAACTAATAATTTTTAGAACATATTCATCCGTTCCCCGAAATTGCAAATGTCAAAACAAATAATCGAAAAAAAAATTTCGTTTTTAAAATTTACCAATTACGATTTTCTTGATAATTTCCAATTGATTAATTTAAAAAATCGCCCTAAATTCATTTTGTTAATAGTAGATATTCAGTAATTCACAATTTCGGACAAATGAAGATTCATCATTTTAAAAATTATATCAAATAAGAATTCGTACAAATAAAAAATTCAGCAAATGAAAATTCGAGGAATTAGAAATTTTGACATTTAAAAATTCGTATCAATTAACATTCTATTAACCTGTAGACTGCCGGAATTTCTAAATTTAGGCTTTTTTGCTGGATTTTGTTAAACTCCGACAGGCTAAAGGTTTAATTAAAAATAAAAATTCTGCTAAATTAAAATTCGGTAAAATTAGAATTCTTTAAAAAAAAAAAAAATTGGGTAAAAAGAAATTTTGAGAAATAAAAATTCTGCCAAATAAAAGTTTGGGAAAAATTTTGTTAAGTAAAAATTTGTTTAAAAAATAAATTTTGCTAAAAAAATAATTATAACTGATAAAATTCTTTAAAATGAAAATTCTAATTAGTTTTATGAAATAATTATGCGTTTATCTTTTTTTTTTTTTCCTATTTCAAGGCAAATTCTACAGGTACGGAAATAATAATAAGTTTTTTTTTGCAACACAATAAAATCTAAAATGGCGCTGAAAATGATAACACAAAATTAATAACGATAAATTCTACTACAACTATATATATATGTATGTAAAAATATATTTGAAATTAAAATAAATTAACGTGTGTCAAACGAAAGGAAATAAAAATATTTAAGAGCGAAGAAGCAAGCAAAGAGGTAGCTGAACACACATACACTGCAAAAAAACAGAGAAAGAGAGAGAGAGACAGAAAGAAAGAAAGAGCGAAAATGAGAAAGAGAGACTGCGGATCGGATGTTAAAACAAATTTAGTAAACTCTTTTTTTTGTATTTATTCTTTTTGTTTCGTTTCCACAGTCACTTTTGAACTAGTTTTTACCTGTTCTGGCGGAGGATTTTGCCCAGGTCTGGGAGAAGAAGTGCTTGTGATGGCTGCAGCGGGCTTAGTTGGCCTTTGCTGCTTTGCCAAGAGAACAAGAAAGTCAAGTTAACTTCAAGTATTACTTTTCAAGTTTAAAAAAAAAACTACATTTTCTAGATTAATTAATAAATAAATAAATTATTGACGAACATTATTAAAAGAGAACATACACACAAAAAGAGACGCTTGAATATTCTCCTTAAAAAAAATTTCATAAATTCAATTTTCCCATTTTTCGAAATTCAAATAAAGTGGAATTTTCTATTTAATCGAATTTGAAATTAAAACTAAATTTCCATGTCATTTTCATTTTTTTAAATTATTCGAAATATTAAATAAATTAATTAGTAATTTTATTGAATTAATAATTTTATTTTTTTCATTTTAATTTTATACAGCAGATTTTTTTAAATAGGCAATTTTTTTTACAGAGAATTTTTAATTTATGTTAAATAAAATGTTATAAGAAAAATTTCGCTTAAATAAAAATTCTATGATGAAAAAATTGAACTCAATAATAAATTCTACTTTATAAAATTCGGTTAAATCGAAATTCCTTCTTTTTTTTTTTGAAATTCACTTCATTAGAAAATCGAACCAATTTGAATTTTTAAGAATATTATTCAAACGCTTCTCCAGACAAATTTTCAGATTGATATTTATGTTTATAAAATTTTACAAAAAAAGAAAAACAAATTAATTTGCAAGAATTTAAAGTACAGTTCAATTATATTATTTTGAAGAGGAGTCTCAAGGCCATTTCAATTTTTTTTTTCAGTTGGTTAATGCAGAAAGCCCTAAATTAAAATTGAGTCTAGACAAAGTACCTTTTAGTTTCAATACGGGGTAAAAGGAGCTATTTATACAGTGTTTAAGGTTATGTTAAACGACCTTGAATTTTTTTCCATTTATACTTCAATGTAAAAAAAATTAATAGACGTAGAAACATGGCCTTAAAAATTTTTAATTTAGACAGAGTTTTCGGATTTTAGAATAGAGGTCAATTTATAAAAATTTTAGCTGAATTTTTCATTATAGACTTTTCATGGAATCAAATTTTCATTTAACAGAATTTTAATTTATATGTTAAATGGAAATTTTCTACAAAGAAAAAAATTCATCGAATTAAAAACATAGAAAAAAATTTGTTAAAACTGAAAATTTGGTTCAATATAAATTCTATTTTTCAAAATTCAGTTCTAAAAATAAATGAAGGAAAATGAAAAATTTGACACTATAAATTGCGAAAAACTAGCAAATTCTGATAATAATAAAAAAAAAAAAAAAAACCTCGTAGAATTGGTACACGTAGAAAGACCCTCTTCAGCATATTTATAAGATAAGGGAATAAGAATTCGATAATAAAATGACAATATAATAAAATAAATTGTCATTGGGAAATTTTTATACGCATACATACAATTTTCAAATATTATAAAAAAAAAATTAATATTAAAATGAAACGATATGCTTACCATTAATTCTTTTGGATTGACGAACTCTAAGGCGTGCCTTTTAATGGCGTGGAAAGCCGCGTTAGGCGCATAACCAGGATGTTGTGACGTTGAGATGGGGGCTGCCGTCGTTGCCGGTGCCGTCGTCGTTAATACCTCCGTCTTACCCGAAAGCGACAATTGTTTTCGTCTCACCGACATGGCCTTTAAAAAGAAATTTTTTTTAAAAAAATTTTTATTATTACATTTTTAGAATTTTCATTTGACAAAATTTCATTAGATAAAATTTACTATAACTATAATTAATTTAAAAAAAAATTCCATTTAACCGAATTTTCATTTTACAATTTTTTTTTTTTTTTAATTCATCGAATTTGAATTAGTCAGAATTTTATTTTTTTTCTCCAATTTTCATTAGACAGAATAGTTATTTTAAAAAAATTTTATTTTACAAAAAGAATATTTATTCTTTTCTATATCGAATCGAATTTATATTTTAAAAAATTCTTAAAACAACGAATTTTTACAGAATTTTTATTTAAGTCCGTATATCTGCCAAAAGAATTTGGGAGCAAATTTTAAAATTAAACTATCATAAATTTCGTTGATAACTTTTGAGTGTTTATAAATAATGTCTTTTTAGTATTTTTAAAAATTTTTCTTTTATGTAAAAGCAAACTTTAACAGTTTAAAGAACTTGAAGAAAAAATAAAAAATTCTTTCACTTTTTTTTTTTTTTTTTTTTTTGAAATATTGTCTAAATTACTTTTATAAAAACTAAAAAAAAATAATAAAAAATTTACTTACATCTGCATTACAGTGCCTGTCATATAAATGAGTCATCAGAGAAAAACGACGACGTTTAAGATTGTCACAATTTGACCAAAGACAGAGAATTTCTTCACCTCCATTTGGACAATGCGCTTCGCACACGTGAAGATAAACATCGTGCGAAGTCTTAAATTGCCTATAAACACAAAAGGAATATTATATTTTTTTTTTATGACGATAAATAAATCAAAAATCACACTCCTGTGATTTAGAGGTGTTTAAAGCTCAATGAAAAAAAAGCAATCAAAATAAGTTGGATAATACCTTAAAAGGTGTTTTTTCTTTTGCAAAATAGAGTTTAAATTCGATTTATTATTTAAAATTTTTCATAAATTTTTAATAATTTAGATAATAAACAATAATCTTTAATATTATATTTAATTTGAATTCGCAAAATATGAAATATTGCTTTAAATGAATTATGAAAATTATTTCATTCAATACTGCATGTTTTTAAATTCAAATAAATATTTCTTTGCATGAATAAAATATATTTTTTTTGAAATAACTAAAAATTTTCTGGAACCAAATAATTAATTATTCGACATGAGTAATTTGTTTTAATTGAAACTGAAAACCTCTTTAATTGCGGCAAATAATACTTTATTCGATCCAAGTACACAATTTATTTGCATCAAACCAACAAATTTTTTATATTGCTTTAATAATTATTAAAATAAATTTATTGTGTTTAATAATTTTTATTTGTATCAAAAAGCCAAATATTTGAGTGAAATAAATAAATAAATGAATTGTTTTAAATAATTTATTATTTGTGATAAATAAATTCATTTATTAGTTTCAGTTAATTATTTACGGCAAGCATGATTATGTTCTAAAAATCATTAGTTAGAATTTTCATTTTATGGAATTTCATATGTCATAATTATTTTTGAGCCGAATTTTTATTTGTTCGAATTAGTATTTTGCAGAATTTTCATCGAAACGATTTTCTATATTACAGAATTTTTATATAACCGAAAATTTACTTCACAGAATTTTTATTTGTCAAAATTTTCATTTAACATAATAGGCATTTCAAAGAATTTTTATTGTGTAGAATTTTCATTTTATTCTTTCAAATAAATTTTCATTTGTTCGAATTATTATTTCATATAATTTCCATATAACCGATTTTTCATACTACAGAATTTTTACTTAACCGAAAAATCATTTAACAAAATTTCTAATTGATAGAATTTTCATTTGTCCGAAATTGCAAACGGTAATTTTTTCTAATAAAAAACATAAAAATTATAACTCATCTTTGTTATGTCCAAAAGTTTTTGAATTGAAAATTCGTTGTTAACAAATTTTTTTTCTTAAATTTAACAGCGACAGGAAGATTTGTGAGGTCCTTAAAATATTAAATTTATGTTTATCTCCATTTTTTTTTGAAAAATGGATTTATCAGATTTTGAAAATTTACTCCTCGATTATTCGGTTAAGTAAAAATTCTCTAGTGTGAAAAATCGGTTATATGGAAATTATATCAAATAATAATTCGAACAAAGTGAAAATTCATCTGAAAGAAAATTCTATGCAATGAAATTCTACCCAATAAAAGTTCTTTAAAATGTCTATTATGTAAAATGAAAATTGGAGCAAATAAAAATTCTGTGAAGTGAATTTTCGGTAATATAAAAATTGTGTAATATAGAAAATCGTTTTGATGAAAATTCTGCAAAATGGAGCACTGTGAAGCGCACAACCCCGATATTTGTTTGTTTTTCCATAATAGTTTTAAATATTACAATTTTATTAAAAATTTATTAAATGAAGGAAAGTAGATGTGGATTTTGTAGTAAATTGAATGTCGTTTGATATTAAGGTATCAATTTTGAAGATATAATTAATTTTAATTTATAAAATTGAAAAACAAATTTTAAATAAATTTTTCAATTTTTGAAGTTAAAATTAATTAAATCTTCAAAATTGATACCATAATATCAAAGGACATTCAATTTACTACAAAATTCTCATCTATTTACCTTCATTTAATGATTTTTTTAATAAAATTGTAATATTCAAAAGTATTATGGAAAAATAAACAAAGATCGGGGTTGTCCGCTTCACGTAGAGTGCCCCAAATACTAATTCGAACAAATAAAAATTCGGCTCAAAAATGATTATTGACAAATGTAATTCCATAAAATGAAAATTCTAACTGATTTTTAGACAATAATAATACGTCCCTTATTTACTTAAACTAAATACAATTTATTTAATTCAAATAAGTGTGATTAAAATAATTCAATTTATTTAAATCAAATACATTGTTTTTTGAATCCAAATAAAAAATATTTGAAACAATTAAATATTTTTCAAATAATTTAAATTAGTTGAATTAAGGGGACTTTCTGATTTAGAATTTCAAAAAAATCGATTTTTTTTTTGCTTAAAAATGTTCCATAGTATTATAGAATTAAGAAATTAATTAAATTTAGTTGAAAATGGTTACTTGTGGCCTTTTGAGATTGCTAGTTATGAATATAGGCACAAAACTAACGTTCTAGGAACATCAAATTCGTAATCAGCGAGCCCAAAAACCCCCGAGTAGCAAGTTTTAAGCAAATCCGGTTGAATTTTTTATTTTTCGTCCGCCATATTGGATCCGCCATTTTGAATTTTCAAAAACGGACATCAAATTCGTAATCAGCGACCCCAAAAACAGCGGGATACAAAGTTCTGTTGTAATAAAAAGTTGTTTGATATTCATGACTCAATGAATTATGTTATGAAAACTTTGAACGCGTTTTTCTCGAAAACTCATTTTTCAAACTGGTACAGAGCTTTTCTCGAAATCTACCGAACCGATTTTGAAATCCCAAAAATTTTTCGATTCTTTATTTAAAAAACTGGTGCCTAAACCTCTAAAAACTCATATTTCTACCCCCTGTGTTTTTATATGGAGGTAAATTGACCCAAAAACACGGCGTTTTTGCGAGTTTTTGAGAAAAATGTACATAAAAAATAAAAAAAACCTTTAAAAAAAATCGTTTTTGAGGTTTAGGCACAAGAATAAATCCTTATGAAGAGATTCCCGTTTGGAACTTGAATTTATGTATTACAGGTGGCCCGGAATCTAACGTACCAAAAAAAAGGTATCTTTTGGAAGACGCCACCTACAGCTATGAAATTGAACTAAATACACTCAAACATATATTTTAAATTTTCTGTACGCAATGTGCTACAATGTCCAAAAATAGTTTTTACAATTTCTTTAATACTCTTCTTACAATAAAAATTTTAAAACCTTCCTTTTTTGTCAATTCTAAACCAGAAAGTCCCCTCAAATAATTTTTCTTTTTTTTTTTTCGTTAAAGTAAAATGATTATAAATTCTTTACCTGTGACATCCCCGCCATTCGCATAAAAAGGCATTGGGATCAATTTTAATGGTGATTGTTTTGGGTTCCGTTTGTTGACTCGTGGAAGGTTTGGATTCGGGTTCAGTCGATGTGGAAGAGCTAACGGTTTTGACGATTTTAATCGGTTGTTTCATGGTGATTGTGTGTTGTGTCGCCGCCGCTTGATGCGGTGTCGTCGGCCTCGTTGGCGGTGGTGTTGACGCTGGCGTTGGTGTAACAACTCTCGATGGAATACTCGTTGTTGTCACTGGACATTGTTGCGCTAATGCTGGAATTGTCACTGTCACCGTATTCTGATTACTCTGCGCCATGGAACTGTTGACAATTATTGATTGGGGAATTGTTGCCGATGTTGGAACCAAAGGAGGTGGTATATTTCCAAGTGCAGGACTCTGTAAAATCGGTCGCGGAACTTGCGTTACGACAACCTGATGGAAAAAAAAGTTTTTTTTTAAAAACATATTTTCTACAAAATAAAAATTACATTTTTTAACAAGTTTTATCAGTTTCTCTCACCTGTTGTCCTTGAGGTGTGACAGCAACCATTTTTTGTTGCGTCGACTGCGTATGCTGTGTTTGTGGTTGAAGAATAATTATTGTCTTTGCCCCGGTGCCTTGCTGTTGCGTTGTCTGTGCAACAAGAACAGTTTGTGCCTGCCCCTGAACAAGGGCCGTTTGTGGCTGCGCAAGAACATAATTTTGTCCCGGTACACCGCCAGAGACGACATATTGCAATTGACCGGCGGCACTTTGTTGTAAAAGAACTTGTGGCTGCGATTGTGTTTGTCTTCCCTTAACAGTTGGAATGATCATTGGACTATTTGATTGAATTTGTTGAATTGCCTGTTGTACCATAATTTGCCTTGGTGTTGCCATTATTAATTGTTGATGCGCTTGCTGTTGTTGATGTTCATATTGATTAATCACCGTTTGCTGTGGTGCCTCTACTTTTATTATTGGCATTGGTTCCTCCTTTACAGTTATCATTGGCATTGGATCCTCAAGATCAGTTTCGTCCTCAATAATATCGGCAGCGAGCGCTGCATAAAGATTTGCCGCCGTCGATGAAACTGTTGCTTTCTCACCATCTTTATCATCGTCAAGATCCTCGGATTTTATACTAGAGAGCGTTGATTCGACAGTTGTTGAATCGACAGCCGGATCGGGTGATGTAGTGCCGTTTGAATATTTTGGCTTTTTTAATTCAACTTCATTTATTTCATTCGCTGATCTTTTCATATTGCGAGGAGCCTCAATTAGCGTTTCTTCCGAAACATCAGTTTGCATTATCATATTATCATCGTGTTCAACTTTTATTTTTATATCGGTGGGAGATTCTTTAAGGACTTTCTTTATATGATTCTCAACTAGATCCATTCCCTTCTCATTAATTGAATTTTTACCTAAAATATCATTAAAATTTATTGATTATTAAATACCAATTTTATTTATATCAAAATGATTTTTTAATAATTTATTTTTTGAATTGAAAAAAATATATATATTTCCTAACTCACCTAAAACACCATTCAAAACAGGTTCCTTGTCGACTTTCTTTTCAAGCAAATCAGCAAGCATCATTGTCTGAAGAGGTTTTTCTTTACAGCTAATGCTTGATGAATCTTTTGACGATCCATCATCGTTTGCATCAATATCGAGATTAGTGGGAGCGCCATTTAGAAGAATACCTTCAAAACTAGTGAGTGAATTTTCCTCCTCGGGACCAACACCCGAACAATCTCGACTACCGCCAATTCCACTGCTTGACGCCAAGGAATTATTCGTCGAATCTGAATCTTCAGCAATTGGTGTACAAATTGATCTTTGGTTTTTATTTATTGTGCTTGACACTGACGTCGATGTTGTAATTGATGGCGGTCGACATATTTTCCCTCCAATAGACACATGATTATCGCTCGACACTTGCACCGGTAATTTTGTTTGTCCATTTTCATTATCGCTTATTTCAGTCTATTTAAAAAAAAAAAAAAAAAAATTAATTTAAATTTAATTAAAATTCAAACGCATGATGAATATTAAACATAAAATTTAATTATTTTCAAAATTTTAAATTCAAAATCTTTTAAAATTTAATTATTTCCCAAAATTTTAATTCAAAATTAATTAAAATTCAATTATTATACAAAATTTCAATTGAAATTCAATTATTTTCCAAATTTTCAATTCAAAATCTTTTAAAATTTAATTATTTTCCAAATTTTCAATTCAAAATATTCTAAAATTTAATTATTTTCCAAATTTTCATTTTAAAATCAAATAAAATTCAATTATTTTAAAAAATTTCAATTAAAATTCAATTATTTCCCAAAATTTTAATTCAAAATCAATTACAATTCAATTATTATATAAAATTTCAATTGAAATTCAATTATTTTCAAAAATTTGAATTTAAAAGCATCTAAAATTTAATTATTCCTAAAATTTTCCATCGAAAATTTTTTTTTTTGAAATTTAATAATTTCAATTATAACTCTAAGGAAATTCAATTATTTTTAACTATTTTAATAATATTCTTTGAAATTTCAACTATCTGAAACCATTTTCAATTAAATATGATTTTCAAATTATTGTATTTTGTCCGCATTTTCTAATAAATTTTTAGTGAAATCATCTAAAATTTTAATTACAAAACACTTAAAGTTCCAATTAATTTCAAAAATCTCAATTTTAAATCTTTGAAAATTAAATTAAATTTAAAAAATGTTTTCCAAAAATTGTTTGATAAATTATTTTTAGTTCTGTAAAATTTAATAATTGTTTGAAAATTAACAATATCTTTTGAAATTTAATTATTTCTAAAAATTTCAACATTAACCCTTCAAAAAGGATTATTATTAAAAAAAAACAATTTTTATTTAAAAATCTGTAAAATATTTCTGTTAAAATAAAAAACAAATCCACTTTTTTTTGGAATATAAATCAACTGAAACGACTTTTTGTGTCTTTAAGTTGATTCGAGGCCTGTGTTTTTATAATTAATATTTAATAGCTATTCGTTGGCCCCTTGTACCTTAAAAATTAATTTTTAAAAATTCAGCTTTGAATTTTCGAATTTGGAATTTTAAAGAAACTTATTCCGAAATTTGGAAACACAATTAGACAACTTTGGCAAAAATGAGAAAAAGAATTGTCAAAATTTGACACGTCATAAGATTATTATTCAAAAAAACATGTAAAATCAGAAAAGGCCAATTTCAAGTTAAGACAGAAGGACAGACCAAGCATTTTATTATTATATAATTGATTTTTTAAATTCAACTGTTTTTAAAATTCAATTATTTTTAAAATTCAATTGTTTTGAATTTAATTATATTTATTCTTTAATTCAAAAAAAAAATTTTAACTATTTTTATTGAACGATTTTGAATAAAATGAGAAAAAAAAATTCTTGTGTAGCGATATTAACAACGAAAAAAATTATTAGAAAAAGTTAAAAATTAGTAATTATTAATTTTCAAAGTGTTTTTATAAACTATTTATTTCTCTTTTTTAAATATCGCTTTCCTCTGCACAAAAATGTGAAGAATTTAAGTTGCAATTTAGTTTACATATCAAAAGAAAAAAATTACCTTGTCGAAATTGTTAGTCATTATGACTTTGGCTCCGTTGAGCCTTTGTATTTTTTTGGCAGGAGTCGTCGTCACGATTGCTGTTTTTTGCTTTGAATTTACGAAAGATTTGTTCAATTGACTTCCTACAGATGTTGGCGTCGTTGCAGGAGTTGAAGACTGAACATTCAATTGCTGTTGCAATAACCTTTGCTGTTGTTGACGTTGGGCGACCTGTTTTTTTTTTTTAATTTTTACAAAAGAAAACAAAATTAAAAAAGAAATAACCAGTAAAATTATTAACTACTTTTGAAATGCAATTATTCGTCTCGTAATTAATAAAAATTAAAAAAAAAAACTCAAATAGAAAAAAATATTTTCTATACTCATTTCTTTGTATCGACTGGTTTAAATAAAAAGTTAATATTTTAATTGACCAAATGAAGAAGCACTGAACAATACAGTAACTGAATTTAATTTACTTAATTAATTTAATTTTTAAGTAATATTTTTTCTTACAATAAACAAAGAAGAATTTTTAAGAAGCAACTCTTAAAAATTATTATTTTTTAATATATTTATTTTATTTTCTATTTTTACGAAAGCGGAAAAATAATTTTAAAAAATTAATAAAAATATAATGAACTAAGTTAGTAATTTTCGTTTATAATCATTTTCTTCGCATTAAAAATAAATTTCTCTTTGATAGAGACATTCAACAAAAAAAAAACAAAAAAAAAAAAAAAAATGTCGACTCTACATGAAATTTATCTATGAACTTTGAAATTAAATTTTTTTTTGTTTTTTTACAGAAAAAAAACTTAAAAAATATGTTTTGAATAAAAATCTCATATGGAATTTTCCATTAATTCAATTTTTTTTCTAAATTAAAAATAAATTTTTTGATTGATACTGCTTTGCTGATGAAATATGTACCTAAAAATTATAAAGTTACTGTATAAATCTTGCTTGCACCCTCAAAAGGTTTCATTCAAAAATAAAATGTTTCCTCTATTTAGAAACATTATTCTACATTATTCATGCTTTGTTAGTAGAAAAAAAAAAAATAAAATCAACACACAAAAATTTAACATTTATCTAGGGGGGGCAAAAAAACGATTTTTGTTTTTCTGCACTGATCGACATTTTTAGAAAAATAAAATTATATAAACATAATTGAAATATCTGAATTAATCTTTTTGCACGTAATTATACATTGTATGAGAAATTTTGTCTCATAAAAATGTATTAATTTTATAATCTATGTATTCAAGTCGATTTTACTAATTTATAATTTTGAATCACCATGCTAAAAAAAATCAAGTGTTATTTGAAAACAAATTCACAAAACTCTGTTAGAGGCACTCATTTTTTTTTTCTTGATACATACGGTCGAGTCGTTTAATTAAACATTTTTCTTTTGTCTTTTTCTAATTAGAAGTAATCTTAAACTTAAAAAATTAAATTTCTTTATTAAATAATTTGTAACTTAATTTTTAAACTTGAATCTATAAATTTGATTCTCAATTTTTTTTTTAATATTAACTGCTATTATTATTTATTTATTCATAAGTAAAGAGTATTTTAATGCTAAATTCTTAAATCTAAACGGAAAAAAAATTTTAATTTGGATCTTTAATATACTGAAAATTTGATTGGTGAGAATTATTATAAAACAAGGTCAAAAACAAAAAATGATACATAATTTAATCAAAAGTTTACTTAAATGTCATTATTAGGGAACGCATTATTAAGTTCTAAAAGTCATTAGTTAGAATTTTCATTTTATAGAATTTCATTTGTCATAATTATTTTTCAGTCGAATTTTTATTTGTTCGAATTAGTATTTTGCAGAATTTCCAACAAAACGATTTTCTATATTACAGAATTTTTATATAATCGAAAATTAATTTCACAGAATTTTTATTTATCAGAATTTTTTATTTACTCGAATTTTCATTTAACATAATAGGCATTTTAAAGAATTTTTATTGGATAGAATTTCATTGCATATAATTTTTATTTTATTCAATGAATAAATTCTACCCAATAAAAATTCTTTAAAATGCCTATTATGTTTAATGAAAATTGTAGCAAATAAAAATTCTGACAAATAGAAATTCAAACAAATAAAAATTCTGTGAAGTAAATTTTCGGTAATATAAAAATTATGTAATATAGAAAATCGTTTTGATGAAATATTTGCAAAATACTAATTCGAACAAATAAAAATTAGGCTCAAAAATAATTATGAAAAATGAAATTCCATAAAATGAAAATTCTAACTAATGATTCTTAGAACATAACCATGCGACCCATTATTAGTTGAAAGTCTAAATATCAAAATTGAATCCTATATTTATTGGCAAAACTGGACATATTCTGTAATTTTTACGTTTTGAATTTTATTTTTTTTTATTAAACTTTTGTTTTTTTTTGACTAAACGTGCATTATAGAATACCATTTAATTACACTTTTACCCATCAAACTTTCAGTCTATGAGAAAATAAAAATAAAACAAAAAAAAACAAATACGAACAAAATACTCCCTAGGAATCATTATTCTAAATTTCCATTATTTCGACTTTTATAATGTCAAACTTTAATTTAACCAAATTTTCATAAGGTAACATTTTTATAGAAACGAATTTGTTAGATAAAAAATTCTAACTTCATTAAATTTCCAAATTTTTTCATGAAATTTATGTTTTTCTATTCAAAACAGTAAATAAAAAATTTAAAAAAAAAGTTAAATAGTTTTTTTTAATTTGAAGAATTACATTAGTTATTGTTATAGAAATTCTAAAAAATTAAAATACTGTTGAGTAAAAAATTTGATTAATATAAATTCGATTAAATAATAATACTTTTAAATAGATACTAATTTTTTTTTTTTTAGAAACTTTAGAAAACTGAAAAATCTGCTTTATAAAATTGGGTTATGTGAAAAAATTCCGTTGACTTAAATATCATTTAAATAAGAATTAGAATTTTAAATAGTAAAAATTCACTTCTACGTTAATTACATCCTACGAAAGTCGGATAAAAAGAAATTGGATCTCATAAAATTCGATCTCATGAAAATTTGAAACAATAATAATAACAATGACAAAGGGGAAGCATGAATTTTTTTTTTACAATTCATTTATCCGAATTTCTAATTTTATAAAATTTAAAAAATTGATTTCTAATAATTCTAAAAGCAAAATTATTGTTTGTAAAAATAGGATAAAAATTATAATTCATTATTAATTTTAAACAAAAAATACAAAAAGGTAAATAACTATTATTTCACAATAAATTTTGACTGAAATTAATTTTTCTCTATTTTACAATTATAAATATTGAACAAATAAAATGAACTGAATCTTTTTAATTTGTTTTAGAACTTTACAATTTTAGAAACATTAGAAAATTCAAAATAAAATGAATTGTTAAAAAGTATTCGTAAGGCGCAATGAATAAACATTAAAGCTAATTTTTTTAGAATGATGTTTTAATCGAATATTATTCTGTAGAATATTATTTTTGCAGAATAGTAATTTAAAAGAATCTTAATTTTTTCAAAAAAAAAAAAAAAATAAAATAATAAATAATTGTACAGAAAAAATTATTAATCGATTAGGGGCGTATGATTATTTCAAAAAAGTTAATTAGAATTTTCATTTTATAGAACTTTGTTAGATATTAGAATTTTATTATTTTTACTTTATTCGAATTTATGTTTTTCGAAATAATGTTTAATCGAATTTAAAATAACCAGAATTTTTATTTGACAGACTTTCTATATAAATGATAAAATTTTTATTTAACTGAATATTCTTTTAAGGCCAGGTCCAAGTGAGGCAGCGCCATCTACATTGATACTAAAATTGTGGAAAATTTTCAACAGCCTTTTCTTGAAAACAAGAAGGTAAAATGCTTTTTCCTTTATGGATAATTGATTATTGGCAAGATATACACCAGCTAAAACTTTTTTTGAGTTAAAATAATAAAAAAATTTTCATGTCAATAAATTAAATATGAGCACTTTTTTCACAAAAACTGTAACAGTATTTTCTCAGAAATTACAATCAAAAATGCATTTTCCATTTGGAAAATTAATAAACGCTAAAAAATACACGACCTAAGATTTACCAATCACGAAAATAAGAAAAAAAAATTTTATTAAATATTTAACATATTGATACTGCTTTACTGATTGTGACAGGCCTTTGGTAGATTATGTATTTCAGGTGGTTAGCAACAGCGCCAATCTCCTCCTTTCGGCAAAACCGCGAAACGTCTGGTGACATATATAACCTGCCAAACGGCTGTCATAATGAGTAAAATATGTTGTGTTAAAATACTTTTTTTTTGTTATTTTCGTGATTGGTAAATCTTAGGTCGTGTATTTTTTAGCGTTTATTAATTTTCCAAATGGAAAATGCATTTTTGATTGTAATTTCTGAGAAAATACTGTTACAGTTTTTGTGAAAAAAGTGCTCATATTTAATTTATTGACATGAAATTTTTTTTATTATTTTAACTCAAAAAAAGTTTTAGCTGGTGTATATCTTGCCAATAATCAATTATCCATAAAGGAAAAAGCATTTTACCTTCTTGTTTTCAAGAAAAGGCTGTTGAAAATTTTCCAAAATTTTAGTTTCAATGTAGATGGCGCTGCCTCACTTGGACCTGACCTTAACATAATTTCAATTTAGCACACTTTCTGTTTAATAAGAATTGTGATAAATAAAAATTCGTGTTAAAAAAAATTCTTTTGAATAAAAATTTGTGCTAAATGAAAATTATGTTGAAAGAATATTCTGTTAAATAAAATTTTTATCATATATAGAAATTCTGGTTAATTTTAATTCGATTAAAAATTAATTTGAAAAATACAAATTCGAATAAAATAAAATTTCTAAATAATTCACATTATGGAATAATCATGCACTCAATTTATTCTTTAAAATGAAAATAGGAACAAATGAATATTCTGCAATATTAAAATTTTGTACAATTAGTTTTTTTTTTTGAAAAAGTTAAGATTCTTTTAAATTACTATTCTGAAAAAATAATATTCGACAGAATAAAATTCGATTAAAAACTAAAAAATTAGTTTGAGTGTTTATTCATGCGTCTCGTATTTGCTAATCCAGAATAAAAGAAAGATAATTTTTTTTTTTTCAAAGAAAGTAGAATACGAAGAATGTTATCATCATCATCATCATCATTTGGTTAAAAGAAGGATACCTGGTTGCTGGTTATTAGCTGGTTGACACTGATGCCAGATGCGATGCTAGTAGTATTTGTTACGCAGGCAGAAGGGACAGACACACAAGTCGTAGCGGCACTGGGCATGCAGTCGCCGCTGACCGTTACCTTTGTTGCCAATAGGCTCTTAATAATTGAACTAGACGTGGTGCTCGCTCTTGCATCTTCCCTCACCATCACCTGGATCTGCTGAGACGGTGATTGGATTAATGTCTGAACCTGAATGATTTGCGGCTGTTGTTGTTGGCATTGCAGCTGCACTTGTCCAATTTGCTGCTGCTGCTGAAGAGGCTGTTGAAGTTGTTGCGTTTGAGATCCAGTTGCCAGTAGTGCTTGGCTCAAATGGGGGTGCGACACTGACACCTAATCCACACCAAACAATACTCAACGATTCGGACAATGCATGTTAGTGTGTGATTATCACATTCTACATTCTTTCCAATGGAGGCGTACAAATTAAACATATCCCGCAAATTAAAAAAAAAAAAAAAAAAAAACTTAATAATGAGACAAAGGAATATTCCCTTCATTATAGAATTGACGGAATTTTTGTCGTGTCGAATTAAAAATTATCGAATTTACATTTAGTAGAATTTTTTTTTAAAAAAAGGAGATTTTATAATATGCCCAATTTTAATATCGAAAAATTTTTATTTGAAAAATTCTGATTTTGTACAATTTCTATTTAACTGAACTGTGATAAAGCAGATTTTCTAATATATCGAATTTTCAACTAATACAATTTAACAAAATTTATCTGATATCTGATATATGAAAGTTCGATCAAATGGAAATTCGACGTTTGAACATTTCTATCTAATGAAAATTCGGATAAGTGAAACTTCGGTCAAATAAAGTATCGGTGAAACAGAAATTATTTGTCTTAAAAATTTAGTCAGGTAGAATTTTTTGTTAAATGACAATTCTATTAAATAAAAATTAGATTGTATAGAAATTTTCTGAATAAAACTTTTGTTAAATAAGAATTTTGTTATGTTGAAATTCTTTAAATTGGAAATTCTGTTAATTAAAAATACTTTTAAGTGAATATTCGGAAAAATAGAAATTCTCTGTCTTAAAAATTTAGCCAAATAGAATTTCTGTTAAATGAAAATTCTATTGAATAAAAATTTAGCCAAGTAGAATTTCTGTTAAATGAAAATTCTATTAAATAAAAATTAGATTGTATAGAAATTTTTTGAATAATTCTTTTGTTAAATAAGAATTTTGTTATATAGAAATTCTTTTAATTCTGTTAATAAAAATACTTTTAAGTGAATATTCGGAAAAATAGAACTTGGACAAAAGAACAATTCTGATAAATAAAAAGTCTTTTTTATGAATATTTTTCTAAATATAAATTTTGTTAAATAGAAATTGTATTATTTGAAAATTCGATAAACGGGAAAATCTTCTTTATCACACAGTTCAGTTAAATCGAAATTCTATAAAATCAGAATTTTGTTAAATAGAAATTTTTCAATATTAAACTTGGGCTCATTATAAAATCTCATTTTTTAAAATTCTACTAAATATAAATTTGATAATTTTTAATTCTACACCACAAAAATTTCATCAATTCTAATGAAGGAAATATTCATGCGTCCCTTAATAATTCCCACTTCTTCAAATTACGAAACGCATGAATAATTTCTAAAATTAATTTGTTAGAATTTTTATTTCCAAGAATTTCGTTGAATGGATTTTTCTTAAAGCCAAATTTATATTTATTTAAATTATTTTTTTTGACTGAATATCCATAAAATAATTCGGCGGAAACTTCAAATTTAACGAATTTAACCAATCACAAATTTTCTTCATAATTTCTGATTAGTCACAAAATTGAAGTTTCCGTCGAATTATTTCTGGCAAATTGATTTTCGATCATTTTAATTTTCTCGAACATTAATAATCGAAAAAATAAATATTCTGTAAAATTAATATTCTTTCTTATCTTCTTTTTGCAAAATTAAGATTCTACGAGATAAAGTTTTGATTAAATTGAATTTCTCACAAATTAATTTTCGTCTAAATAAAAATTTATAAATTTAAAAAAATTTTTTTAAAAAAAATGTATATTCCAAATTATGAAAATTCGATTTAAAAAAAGATTCTAACTACTGAAATTCTTTCAAATGAAAATTCTAACTATAGAATTTTATGGAATATTTATGTGATCTAGATTTTAATTTTTCCGGTAATTTCCTGCAATTAAAACTCAAGTTTTCCAATTAGATTAAATCAATTAAATTTTATCTGTTGGCAGATTCGGACAAATTTTTACAAAATCTAACTTTTAAACTACCGTTCAAAATTATACGATTACCCGAATTTTCCCCAAAAAAAAATTTCCAATTGAATTAATATTTAATAAAAATTGTTATATTTTTATTACTTTACTATTTTTTAAGCAAAAGAAAATGAAAATTTACACTTTCATATTGGTGGTTAATAAATTGAGGAAAAAATCTCAGTTTAACATTGTAGGTATTTAAAAGTTAGATTTTAAAAAAATATATATATAAAAACACATATTCCCAATCGCCGTTAGATAGAATTCAGTGGATTAATCCAACCAGCCATTTAGCAGAATTTTAATTATTTCAATTTTTTTCCTCAAAAAAAAATTCTATTTTAATTACATGTCAAATGTAAATTCAATTTTATACAATTAAAAATATTTTTATTCAAAATTAAAAAAAAAAATTATAACAAAAATTTTGAGACATTAAAAAAATATTCTATTAAAAATTCTAAAAATTAAAAAAAAAAATATTATAATAAAAAATTCTAAAAATTAAAAAATAATATAATAAAAATTTTTAAAAATTAAAAAATTATGTAATTGCAGTAAATTTTGTTTAGATGAACGTCGAATTTAATAACCTTAAAATTCTGGTAAATGAAAGTTAGAAAATTTGATTTTCACTTATGGAAAATTTCTAAAAAAAATAAAGTTCGGGAATAATTTATACGCCTGTTCCAATGACAATGTTCACAAATAATTTGAAGCTGTTGATTTTATCAAATTTCTCTATTAAATTTTTTTTTAGCTTTTCATACATTAAAAACTGAAATTATAAAAAAAAGATATCTCTATTTTTCAGAAAATTATTTATTACTAATTTTTTTTTGAAAAATAGAAATTTTCTACAAATCATTAAAAAAAAAAAAATACAAACTTTATTTATATTTAAAAAAGAAACGATTTTTTAAATTTCCGTTTTCAAATTCGCAATTATATTAAAATACAAAATTAAAATACAATAAAATAGAAAAAAAAAATAGAAAAATTATTTCAAAAATTAACAGCCTCAAATGGTAAGCAATAAAGCACTTGGTTCTTATTTTGTTAGTGGAACTGTGATAATGACTTTCATTATTGCACAATTTATTATTATTATTAAACATTATTTGCCGACTAAGCAAAAAAAAAAAAAATAAAAATAATTATGAACCTTAAGCATAAAGACGCTTTGTTAAAGACGTTTTGACTGATCAGAGAACTTTTCATTTAAAAAAAATTAAGTAACAAAATTTTACAAAAACTTATTATTATTATTATTATTATTATTAATGAGATACCAAAAAAAATCTAAACTTTTTTCTTATCAATTCAGAAAACTGAAATTGACTTGCAATTTTTTCTTTAGATTGAAATCCAAAGATAATTCAAAGTTCTCTGATAATTGAAACGATAAGAAAAAACATCAATAAAGCTTAAGCTTGAAGATCGTTAATGGCAAAAAGCATTATTTTAGAAACAAAATAAGAATTCGTACAATAAAAAGAAATGTACACGAAAATAAAATAATTCACATTAAGCAGCTATTTGTTTTAGAAAAATTTTAAATATAATATTTAATCAATTATTAATTTCTCATTCTTATCTTCGCTGCTTAAAGTGATTTTAATTTTTTTTTCGTATAAAAAAAGGGTCAAAAATTATGATTTTCGAAAGGTGACATTTAAGCAATCAAATAGAGGAGTCAATTTTTCTAAATTTCTTTTGAAATTCAGACAAATATCACATTTTAATCCGAAAGTCTCGAATCCGTCAATGGTCATTCTTTTTTTTTTAATATTTGTTTTTTTTTTGTCATGTACACCAAAGCACCAATAAAAAAAAGCCGCATTGTAGTGATTTTTATTTTATTCTCTAAATCAAAATTTAGAATTTAGAATTTTTTTCCAAAAGCTTAATCAAAAATTAAAAATTCACGCGTATGAAAATTTGGCGAAAAATTTATTTTTGTAATTTAAAAAAAGGCATTTTAATTCTCATAATTAATTGAATTTGTAAAGAATGACTGTAAAATAAAAATTCTACTAAACAAAAATTCGATGGCTAAAACTTTTTTTTATGTAAAAATTTCTTAGAAAAAGAAAAATCTTTTAAATTTTAATTCAAAAATTGAAAATTCATCTAAAAAATAATTATTTCAGGGCGCATGAAATCATAAAAATCATTAGGTAGACTTTTTATTTATATAAATTTCATTTGACAGAATTTCTTTTTAGACGAATTTTCAATTTTTAAATTTAAAATTTTAGTTACTTTCTTTGTAAACGAAATTTTATTTAACATCATTTTTATCAAATTTTTATTTGACATAATTTTTATTTTAACAAATTTCTTTTTATCCACCTTTTGTTTAAAAGAATCATAATTTAATCCAAATTTAATTTATCAGAATTTTAGTTTTTTTTTTTAATTGTTTAATGTCAGAATTTTTAATTTATCGAATCTCCACATGTTCAAATTTTTAGCACGAATTGTTATGTTATGGAATTCCTAAGACAGCGAATTTTCATTTGACCAAAATTCGATGATTTAGAAATTCTATGAAATAACAATTCGTGTAAATAAAAATTCTGATACATGAAGATTCGATAGTTTAAAAATTCTAACATTAAACAATTAAAATCACTAAAATTCTTATATAATAAAAATTATAATCTAAAAATTATATTAAATAAAAATTCTACTCTTAAAAATTGTTAAATAAAATCTCGTTTACAAAGAAAGTAAACTCGAATGCTAATTAAAAAAAAAAAAAATGAAATTTCGTCTAAAAAGAAATTCTGTCAAATGAAATTCATACAAATAAAATGATTTGGGACGCATGAATATTCCTTTTATTAGAATTGATGGAATTTTTGTGGTGTCGAATAAAAAATTATTGAATTTACATTTAGTAGAATTTTAAAAAAAGGAGATTTTATAATGAGCACAATTTTAATTTATTAATATTTATTAATATTTTAATTAATATTTTAATTTTTTTATTAATATTCTTTGTCTTAAAAAATAAGCCAAGTAGAATTTCTGTTAAATGACAATTATATTAAATAAAAATTAGATTTTATAGAAATTTTCTCAATAAAACTTTTGTTAAATAAAAATTTTGTTGTTCAAATTTTTTTAATTCTGTTAACAAAAATACAGTTTTAAGTGAATATTCGGATAATTATAAATTCAACGAAAGAACAATTCTGATAAATAAAAATTCTTTTTTATAAAAATCTTTCTACATATAAATTTTGTTAAATGGAAATTCGATAAACTGGAAAATCTTCTTTATCACAGTTCAGTTAAATAGAAATTCAACAAAATCAGAATTTTGTTAAATAGAAATTTTTCGATATCTAAAATTGGTCTCATTATAAAATCTCCTTTTTTTAAAATTCTACTAAATATAAATTTGATAATTTTTATTTCGACACCACAAAAATTCCATCAAGTCTAATGAAGTGAATATTCATTCGTCCCATTGATTTTTATGTGATATCCATGCGTTCCATTATTTCTAATAAAATACTTTAAAATAAAATTTCTAATTAATGATTTTTGTAGGAAAAATCATTGTAATATTCGTCCTTCACAAGAATCAAGTTGTCATTTCCTGTTATTTTAGCAATTGGAATAATTTTCCTCTTCCCATTTAAAAATAGTTTCCACTCTAATTTCCACTCGAAATCTTTTATTCACTTAAACTTTTTTAATGCGACTTTTTTTTCTGGCACTGGATGTAATATCATGCAATAAAAGTAAATGGCTGCAAAGTATAAACGAGTATAAAAAAAAAAAAAATATGAAAGATAGAAAGATAGAAATACAGAGAGAAAGAAAGATAGAGAAAGAGATATGTAAAAAAAAAAAAAATAGTAAAAAAAAAAATGCTAGAGCCGATTGAATGACTTTTTTTTTTTTGAGAATGAGGATTCGGACCCACCTGACTTTTCGAGTCAATCTTGGTGACCGGATTCTGGGCTTGATTCGGAGTGGGAGGTTTTGGTGGTGCAGAAAGTTGGGCCTTAAGGATTGGGGATGCTGGGGCGGAGCTTTTTTGAATTCCAGGATTATTTTCAAGGGCAGTGCTATCTGGAACGGGATTTATAGCCGTGATTGTACGTTGTTGCACGGGAAGCACCTTAGCGGGAGTTAAATTGCTGCCGATTGTAATTGGTGTTGACATTGACGCCAGTGTGGCAATTGGCATCGTTGTATTTGTTCCAACAACCATTTGACATGAACTCGAAACAGGAACTGTCAGTGATCGCACACGTATTCCATCGTAGCATTGCACTCCAATTGAATCACCTTTTATTGCATTTGGGCCCACTGATGCACCAAACACCGACCTAAATTCAAAATTATAATCAATTATCTCCAACAACGTGTGTTTGATTCATGATTTTAGGCCGGGGACCAATTTTAAAACGCAAAAAAAACAGACAATTTACATTAGAATAAAAATTGAAAAATTCAATTTAAAAAATTTTAATTTTTATATTTATGTAGTTGAATTTGTAAAAATTCGATTGTGAAATTTAATTTCTTAATAAAAAATAATTCCATAGAAATTTATAAAGAAATTTCATTTAATATTTCAAAATTAAACAAATTTTCAGATGGATTAATAATGCCTAAAATTAATTTATTATCCTTTTCAAGAATCTTCAACCAAAAGTGTCGCAAAAAAAAAAACTTTTTAATATTAAAAAAAATATTTGGAAAACTAAAACAATCAACAAATTTCTAGAGGCAACTATGCTTATTTTTTTTTTTTTACAGAATTGAAGAAATAATACGCAAAATTCATTTTGATTCAACTTAATTAAAAGCAAATTGAGAGAAAATAAAAATAATAAATAAAATTAAAATAATAATATTTTTTGAATACAATACCTAACACATCGTGGAAAGTGTAAAGGAGCAATGACACCTCTTCTACCCGATTTCGTGCAGAATCCAAGATATTTTTTATAGAGTTCCTCTTGTTCAATGCGCACGCCTGGTGAAAGTTCGAAGGTCGTTCTTAACCATAAAAGAGCGAATTGTTCGTTTTCTTGTATAATTTGTTGATGCGTATTTTGTGGTTGAACTGGACTTGCAGTTTCAAGAACTTCTATAACAAAAAAATATCAATTGTTTAGATTTTAAACATTTTTATTTTATATTTCTATAATTTTTTTATGCTTAAAAAACAGAACAGAAAAAAAACAGAAATATAATCCCTAGGCTAAAATTCATTAGTTAGAATTTTTACACCAATCTTTTATAAAGCAGATTTTCTAATACATCTAATTTTCAAATAGTACAATTTTCATTTAATAAAAATTTTTAATTTTCATAAAGAAGAATTTTTATAAAATTCTTATTCAGGATTGACACAAAAATATTATTTTCTTTTTCCCTGACTTTCAGTCAAAATTAAAACTTTTTCCCCGACCCTAATGAAAATATTTCAAGAGGGTTTTCAATAATACGCCTCGGATTGTGCGCAACTTTTTCGAGATTTTTTTTTTTTTTTTTTGAATTATTAAAAAAATATATTAAATTGAATTGTTTGAAAAACAATTATTTTCAATAATTTAAAACAAATTCTTTCAAAATTACATTATTTAAAACAGTTGTCAATTAAAAATTCAATTATTGTCTAAAGTTTTTAAAAAAAAAATTTCACCAATTCAAAATGAAAGTTTCAATTACTAATCTTCTGAAATTCAATTATTATTTCTAAGAATTTTAACTCGAACTCTTCTAAAATACATTTATTTCTAAATTTTCTATTTAAAATTGAAATTGTTGAATAATTTAATTTTAATCGATTTAATCAAGATTTCAGAAAACTCAATTATTAAAAACATTTTCCAATTCAAAATTCTCAAAAATTTAATTATTGTTTAATTTAAAGTTTATAATATTTACAGAAATTCCAATTTGCAAAAATTTTTATTAAAATTCTCTAGAAAATCTATTAATACCAAAAAATTTTTAACTCTTCCAAAACTCAATGATTACTGGAATTTTTAACTTCAATTTCATTATCAATTAATTATTTCTAATAACATTCATCAAGATTTTCAAAAATTAAATTACATAAAACATTTTATAATTATTAATTCTTTAAAATTAAATGATTGTTTATATAATTTTTAAAAAATTTCAAAAATCGAAAATTCAATTTTTTAAAACATTTTTCAATTACTTTTTTTTAATTACTTTAATACAGTTTTTCAACAATTCAGAAAAATAAAAAGTTTTTTTTATTGAAAATACTCTAAAATTCTACTATTCTTTAAAGTTTGTTAAAAATTTTTTAAATAAAATTTATGAAAGTTTCACTTTAAAATCATCTGAAATTTAATTAACTTTCAAAAAAAAATTTTAACTCGAACTCTTTCAAATTCAATTAGTAAATGAATAATTAATTGAATGTTAATTCAATTGAAAATTTTTTTTCCCAAAATTTTTATCTATATAATTATTTGTTTAATTAATTATTGCAACAGTTTTAATTCAATTATTTAAATCGTTTTTTAATTAATGTTTATTTTTACAACAAAATTATAATTTTTGAAATCTCAAAAAAATGCAATTATTTCTAAAAATCATAACTCTAACTCTATCAAAATTACATTATTCAGAACATATTTCTTTTGACAATTTTTTAAAATTCAATTATTTTTTTAAATTTTGTAAAAAAATTTCATTAATTCAAATTTATAAAAGTTTCAATTGAAAATCTCCAGAAATTCAATTATTTATCAAAAATTTTAAATCAAATTTTTCCTTTAACTCAATTATTTTTAATTAAAAATCTTTTGAAATTCAATTATTTTACAAATTTTCATTTAAAATTTTATTTTTTTTTTTCAATAATATTTTAATAATGAAAATAAGAGAATAATTTTTAGAAGCAAAACTTTGAATTAAAAAATTTTGAAAATTATAATTTTAAGTAGAATTTTTAGAAATTTGATATTTTTACAGTATACTTTTTATAAAATTCCCTGAATTTTCCCTGACCAATCTCACTTTCCCTGATATTTCCATGATTTTCCTGAACCATGGCAATCCTGACGATTTTATAAATTTTTTTCTGCGTTCTGACAAAAAAAAAAATTAAGCGCCCTCTGTAATAAAAATATTTACACCAAGCGTCAAATTTAAACATTTTTCAATATAAATATTTTATTAATTAAAAAACTGACGCTGAGTATAATAGCCCCTGGGTAAATAGAATAGCCCCGGTTGACGGTATATAAATTTATTATAGAGACCGCTTTCTCCGTGTAGATTAATTTAATCTTCCGTGAGTTTAAACGCAATAGATATATTCTCCTTCTGCGCAGAAGCTGTATCATTTCGCGCAGACGCAAAACATATCTACTGCCTTTAACCCAAAACTGGCACCATGGGTCTAGTAGACCCAAGCATTTTTTTCGAGCTCAAATTAATTAAATGTGTATAGTTCAGGTAAGGATTAACCTTTCGGAAGATTTAATTTATCCACGCGGTAAAAAGAAAAAAAAAAAAAAAAAAATTGTATTCTTACTGTGCGTCATTGTTTTGACAGGAGTCACAGGAGCACCAACAGTGGTAACAGCGTTAACAACAACCGCGGCTGCAGCCGGTGTTGATGGTCTCGATGGCGCTGGACTTAGTGGAGTCGAGACTGGCGTTAGTGCCGGTGTTGCAACTGCAACTGCCACCGGCACTGGCACAGGCACTGGACTTGGACTCGGCGACGGAGTAAGAGTCGCTGTTAGCGGTGTCGGTGTTGAAACAGGAACAATTGGCGTCGACGCTGGTGCCGATATTGAAGCAACTGCTGACGTTGTACTCGATCCCGAAATTGGAGCAGTCGCTGACGTTGGAATTGTCGAAACTGTCTCGACGACCCTCATCAGAATACATGCTTTTGGTCCATAACTTTGTGCTTCAACTGTCACCAATGCCACAAGTGTGTCTATAGCACCGCGAACCCGCGCGACGCTCGTACAGGGTTTCTCACCCAAGGAAGTTAGCGCATAGAGACACTCCAATGTGTAAACCAATAGAGCAATATCGCTCAATGCAAGGAATCTGTTAATAAAACAAAATATTAGTTTTGAAAAATGTAAGTAAAAAAAAATTTTCTTGAAAATTGAAATATTTAATAAAGAAAAAAAAAATTATCAATTACCTGCAAATGAGTTCGTAAACATTGTCACTCAATTCTGAAGTGAGTGTATCCTCATTGCAATCCTGTTGACTTATTTTATTGAGGATCTCAAGACAGGCAATCACGATGAACCTGTCTTGAGAGTCGATGCCTCTTGTCACGCATGATATTGCAACGTCACATATTCTTGGTCCGGCTTCATTAAGAATAATTTCATTGGCAATATTGCCAAATGTATCAAAGCCCAATTGATGAAGATTACTCCATCTCGATCTAATGCAAAGAAGTACAAATCTCAAGAAGCAACGATTTCGTCCAAGAACAACGGCATTCTCTGCCGTGAAACTTAAATTTCGTAGAATCGACGCTATTTGAAGTACACGTTGTCCATAGGGATCTTGTGTGCCAAGCGTTCGACCCACGCAAAAAAGCTCGAGGTCTTCCTCCTCGAATTTTATCGAATTCTGATTTTGATCCCTGAGCGTTTCATCAGCTTGGCTAATACAAGCGGGCACCAATCGAACGCATTCTGATATTTCCTGTAAAAGAATTTTGAAAAAAAAAGAAAATTACTCTATATCCTTAAATTGAATTTCTCTAAATAAATAAACAAAAAGTCGGTATTCTAAATTCTTAACAAATTTTACAGTCATTCTCTTTACATGACTCTTTATTTAACAGAATTCCAGACCTCGGATTATAAGACTTTTTTTTGACTTTTTTCGATTTATTTAAATAAGATGAGACATTTTTGACTTTTTTCAGGATGGCCACAAAATCTTATTTTTAAAATTCCTTGACTTTTCCCTGAGTTTTAACTGACTAATATTTCCTCTTCCTTGTTTAAAAATTTTTTTGAATAATTTAAAACCTTGCATTGCTTAAATTTTTATATTGTTTTTTTTTTTTTTTAAGTAACAATTTTATTAATAAAAGGAAAATAGATAAAATGATTAAAATTTTGTTTAAAATTTGTATTAAAAAACAAAAAACTTTTTGAATACTTTCCATTGGATTATAATTCCCTGACTTTCCCTGGCTAAGAAAGTTTCCTGATTTTTTTTCTGATTTTCAGTTTTTTTCCCTGATTTTCGGCCACTCTGCTTTTTTCACATTTTTTTTTTACAAAATTTTTAAACAAAATACGTCTTTTTTAAAAAACAATGCAGATATTATTCAGATTTTTATTTCAATTATTTCCCATATTTTTAAGCAAAATTTGTCTCTAAATTAATTATTTTTAATAATTTTAATGGAATTCTTCACAAATTCAATTATCATAAATTAATTTTCAATTAAAAATATTATGAAATTTAACAATTGTTAACAATTAAAAAAAAAACTGACCAAATAAAATTACCAAAATTTTATATATTTAAAATATTTTGAAAATTAATTATTTTTAAAATTTTCTATCTAAAACAATTTGAAATTTAATAATTTCAATTATTATTCAATTGTCTGAAAGTATTTTTCAATTAAAAAATTTTTAAATTCAATTTTTGTCCTACAATTTCTAATAAATTTTTCATCACCAAAAATTTCAATTAAAAATCACTTGAATAATATTCCTATTGATAATAATAATATTAGTTATTTAAAGTAAAATACTTATTAACTAATTAAATTTAATTAAAATAAAAAAATCGAATTTTTCGACTGTTTTTAAGAATTTAAATCAACTAAAACGACTTTTCTTTGCGCCTTAAAGTCGATCCGAGGCCTGGAATTCGCATTCAATTAAATTTTATGTGATTCGAACTTTTAAATGACAAAAATTCTAATTCATCGAATTTTAATTTGTCCGCATGTTTATTTGTACGAATTTTTAAGACGCCGAATATTCATTTGTCCAAAATTACAAACGACCGAACAAAAAATCAAAATATTTCGGAGCAATTTATGGTAAAAAAAAAAAAATTCGGAAAATAATTAAGCTGAATTTTTTTTTTTAAATTGAATTTTTAAAGAATTATTAAAATTATTAAAAATAACAAATTAAATTTTAGAAGAGTTACAGTTGAAATTTTTAGAAATAATTGAATTTCAAAAGATTTTGTAAAATTTTACAGAATTGAAAATAATTTATTAAATAATTTACCTTTTTTTAAAAATAATTGAATTGAAAATAGTTTAAGATAATTGAATTTGTAAAGAATTTCATTCAAATTATTAAAAATATTTAATTAAGAGAATAATTTTAGTTAAAAATTTTGTTAAATAATCGAAATAAAAAAGATCTAAAGAAGATCTTTATTAAGACGGTATTTTGTTTAAAAATTTTGTAAAAAAAGTAAAAAAAAAAGTCGAAAAAGTCGCATCTTATTAAAATAAGTCGAAAATAGTCGTATTTTCGAAAAAAAAAGTCGGAAAAATTAGTATAATCCAAAGCCAGAAATTTTTTGCAGCACAACTTAGCACATAATTGACACGAAAAATTATAATTTTTTTTTTTTAAGGACGTTTATCCACAGGAATGCAGATCTCTAGAAAAAATTATTAATTAACATTTAAATAATTAAAATAACATTAATAATTGTACTTTCTGAAAGATGAAATATTAATTTTCAAGAAAAAACTTTTAAACTTGCAAAATTTATTTGTTTTTCCAATTTGCATAGAATAAATTTTTTTTGTTATATCGCTTCAACAGAATTTTTTAAAAATGATTTGATTTCACTGTAATATGGATTGTTTTCTTCAGAAAATGATTGTCTACAACTTCACTGGGGGGATTTTTAAATAAGCAAGCCGTTTGGCAAATACAGCTATATGTTTAAAAAAAAAAAAAATTAATTCTATGCAAATTGTATAAACAAATAAATTTTGTAAGTTTAAAATTTTTTTCTTGAAAATTAATATTTCATCTTTCAGAAAGTACAATTAATAATATTATTTTAATTATATAAATGTTAATTAATTATTTTTTTCAAGAGGTCTGCATTTCCGTGGATAAACGTCCTTAAACAAAATTATTAATATTATTTTTTAACACATAAATTTAAAAAAAAAAAAATATATATATATGTTTACCGTTACTGGCTCCGCAGTATTGGCAGCAGATTCTTCATTTTTCTCTTGATTCTTGTTCGTTTTTTCTTTTTTCAAATTTCTCCGCCTCGAGAATGTGTTTAGCGTTGGCGATGGTTTCTTAAGAAAAATTCTCTCGTCCGTCAAATCAATGACATCCTGTGAGTCGAGTACATCCGACCAAAATGAATTGATCGAATAATTTCTCACTTTTGAATAGACCTCAATGAAGAGTTGACGCGTTCCGAGACAATCAAAAACGCCGGCATGTGCCAAAAGTATATTTACAAGCCGTGGATATTTGTCGAGACGCAACGTGTGTTTGCCCTCGTTCGACAATAGGGTACATACATTTATTGCAAAATCCTGCTCATTTGGAAGGGGCGACAATAGTGAGAGGGCCAATTTATCATAGTTCGATGGTTTATACAAATCAGCCGAAAGTCCATTATAATCCCTCAGCGACTCTGAAACAAGTCGAAAAATATATATTTTCAACATTTTCTTTTTCTTCAATTATTTTTGAAAAATTAATTCTTTATATTCTATCGCCTTATTTTAAGAAATTCATTTTTTTTCTTCATATTTTCATTATTAAATTACATGGAATTTTTATTGAACGAATTTTAAAAAATTGTAATTTTTTTCACTTTAGGCACAGATATTTTCAAGTATTTTCATTATTTAATTATTTGTAATGAACGAATTTGAAAAAATTACAATTTTCAAAATGACATCGTCATAAAATTTATTTCTGTATTTAAGTTTTAAACCATAAGTTTGTGCAAATTTAAATTTTCCTATTTTTTAAATAAAAAATAATAATTTTAAAAAATCAAATTTTTTTATAATTTAAATTTGAAGAAATTTGATCAGTTAGACATTTGAATTTTTACACAAATCTTGTCTTTTTATTATTCGAACTTTGGAAAATTCGATTTTTTCTGCAAATTCGAATTTTTCAATTTTCGATCTTTTCATCGTTCGTTTAGAAATTTCATCTTTTGATAATTCGAATAATTAGAAATTTGATCTTTTGGTAATTCAAAATTTTTAAAAATTCAATTTTTTTTTGTAATTCGAACATTTAAAAATGCAAACTTTTAATTAAACAAATTTCTACAAATTCGATCTTTTGATAATTTGAAAATTTGAACTCACAGTAATTCGAAATTTTAAAAATTTGATTTTTTGGAAATTCAAAATTTTTAAAAATTTGATTTTTACATATACATATACAAAAGAATTTTAATTTAACATTTAATTCTCATGCAATCGAATTTTATTGCTTTTTGAATTTTTTAAATGATGCAGAAATTCTAATTCACCGAATTTTAATTTGTCGGAATTTTTATTTGTACGAATTTTTATTGATCGAATTTTTTTGGACGCTGAATTTTTATTAGTCCGAAATTACAAATGTCCGAACGAAGAATCGACTGAAATATTTTGGCGCAATTTTTGAAACTAACCAATCACAATTTTCTTGATAATTTCCAATTGGCCAATTTTAAAAACTGCGCTAAAATTTTTCTGTCGTTCGTTTTTTATTCGGTTATTTATAAATTCTGACAAATGAAAATTCAGCGACTGAAAAATCCTAGAAATTAAAAATTCCTACAAATTTGAAAATTCGGTGAATTATAATTTCTGTCATTTAAAAAATTCGAATCACACATAAAATTCGATTGCGAATGAGAATTCTGTTAAATTATAAAATTCACATAAATTAAAATTCTTTTTATATAAAAACTCATGTAATGAAAATTGTAAAATAAAAATTCTGCCTAAACAAAAATTCGGTAGCTTAAAATTTTGTAACGTAAAAATTAGTTATAAAAAGAAAATCTTGTAAATGTTAATTCTAAAAAATGAAATTCTGTTTAATAAATAATTATTTCTATTAAATTTTTCAAAATGAAAATTCTAACTAATTATTAAGGAATAATGAGACGCATGATTATGTTTTAAAAATCATTAGTTAGAATTTTCATTTTATGGAATTTCATTTGTCATAATTATTTTTGAGTCGAATTTTTATTAATTCGAATAAGTATTTTGCAGAATCAGGGTGTCTACTAAAAATCTGAATTAAAATTCCAGAACTTTTCCAGGACTTTTCCAGGACAAATTTCTTATTTTTCCAGGACATTAAATTGTTATGACTTTAAGGAATAAAAAAATTTTTAGTTTAACTATTGTTTTCAGAAATTATTAAAAAATTAATTAATTACTTAAGTAAATTTTCATTTTACTTATTTAATGAATTTTTTTTTAACTTGATTGACAAAATTAGAAATTTTTGAAAATTTAAAAGCAAAATATAAAAAATTCAAAGGACAAAAATTAAAATTCCAAGACTTTCAAGAACATTCCAGATCATTTTTTCAAATTCCAGAACATTTCCAGGACTTCCAGGACTAGTAGACACCCTGAGAATTATCATTAAAACGATTTTCTATATTACAGACTTTTTATATAACCAAAAATTCACTACACAGAATTTTTATTTGGCAGAATTTTTATTTACTCGAATTTTCATTTCACATAATAGGCATATTTTAAAGGATTTTTCTTGGATAGAATTTCATTGCATAGAATTTTCTTTCAGATGAATTTTCATTTGTTCCAATTATTACTTAACCGAATAATCAATTAACAGAATTTCTAATTGATAGAATTTTCATTTGTCGAAATTTCAAATATGCAAGAACAAACAATCGATTATGGCGCAAATTTTAAAAGTCAACCAATTAAAATATGATGGATAATTTTTTATTGGTTGATTCTAAAAATCGCGCCAAAATCGATTGTTTGTTCGGGAATTTGTAATTTCGGACAAATGAAAATTTTATTAATTAGAAATTCTGTTAAATGAAAATTCGAGCAAATAAAAATTCGAATAAATAAAAATTCTATGAAATGAATTTTCGATTATATAAAAATTCGTGTAATATAGAAAATCGTTTTGATGAAAATTTTGCAAAAATGCTGATTCGAACAAATAAAAATTCGGCTCAAAAATAATTATGACCAATGAAATTTCGTAAAATGAAAATTCTAATGATTTTTAAAATATATAATCATTTCGCCCCACGAAAAATAGTAAAAAATAAACGAGTAGCGAGAATTCGGTAGTCGTTAATAATAATTGAATTAGGCGAAAGATAACGGAAGTTTTGAGAGCTTTATTGATGGACATATTGCAGGTAGGGGAGCAATAACGGTTGACGCACGCAAACAAACGCAGAAACCTGGTTCTTCCTCCTCCTCAATCGAATCAAAAGCGTCGTGGTCGCGCGTCGACCGGATTTAAAACAAAAGTGGGGAGGTCGGCAACAAGCAGGAGTCACGCAAGCGCCGCTAAGCTCAATATACGGAGTCGGTGTGACGGTGCAAGGGAACCTATCCCATTCTATCCCTGTCTATCCCTCTCCAAACTCTATTGATTGTGGCTTTTGCCATGTCCCTATGGCTATTTCATACTCTTGTTTATATTGTCTTTTCTCACTCACTCTCTCTCTCTCATCTTTTTCTTCTTCTTCTTCTTCTTTCTCTCTTCACTTTCAACGATTAGCTTCTCGCACCCTATACATATAAGAGTTCTTTAGCCGTCTGCTCGACATAAAGTATTAAACGTTAATGATAGGCTTCTTTCCTTCCAGATTTAAAATACTCTTTGGTATACCGCAAAATTTATTCAGCTTTTCATTTCTCACAATTTTTTTTTTCTTAATTTGAAACGTGTGTTTTTATTATTTGACTTTGAACGAGTGTGTTGAATGAAAAACTTTTTCTAGCAAAAAATTAAATTTTAAAAATAATTCTTCCAGACATAACCTCAAAATGCTGTTTTATGTGATTTTGCAAAATTGGATGAAAAATAAAAATTCGGACTATTCAAAATACGATCGTTTGAAAATTCAAATTTCTGGAAAATTTGAACTTTTTGTAATTTGAATGTCTAAAAAATTCAACCTTTTTTAGAAATTCGAATTTCTCTTAATTTTGATCTTTTTGCAATATTCATCATTAAAAATTCGATGCCTTTAAGGGCATGTCAAAGTCGATGCGGTTTTTTCCATTAAAGTTCTATGTAAAAATTGCTTCGACTTTGACCTTGCCCTTAATAATTCGAATTTTCGTCTTTTTATCTTTCGGTAATTTCAAACATTTAGGAATTTAATTTTTCATTAATTCGAACATTTAAAAATTTAAACTATTAATAATACGAATTTTGGTAATTTAAACATTTGAAAATACAAACTTTTAATAATTCGAATTTCTAAAAATTAATTCTTTTTGTAATTCGTACTTTTAGAAATTTGATCTTTTAATAACCCTGATTTTTAGTTTGAGGTTATGTTTCGACATTTGAACCTCACGAAATAAATGTTCTCTCCCCATTTTTTTTTTTTTTTTGCAATAATGTGACGCTCCATAAGAAAAGGGTTAAAAATTGTAGGTTATATGTTTGTAATTTTTGATTCAAAAATAAAAAAAAAAAAGATTAATTTTTAATACAAATCACTAAATTTTATTTCTTCATTACATTTCAAAAATATTAAATAGAAACAAATTTTGTTTTTTAATAATAATTAAAAAAGGAACGTTTAATCAAGCTAAAACTGTAACTAAACATAACCTCAAATTTTTTTTTTTTGCCTTTAAGGTCCCATTTCTCGTGAAGCGTCAAATATTCGAAAAAAAAATGCAATTTAAATAAATAATAATGAATGAAAAAAAAGAAGAAATTATTTTCATCTTTGATTCGTGAGGAAAAAAAAAAAAAGACGACATTTTCGATATATAGACAACAAAGTGAGAGGGGTCAGGACGAGGGAATTGAGCCCTGGACGGGAGTAAGTTGCCAAACTTGAGCCCTCTCTTGTATATATAGTTGAACGTGTTGAGAGGGGAATATATTAGGGGTGGGAAAATCTGATGTCACGGATATTTTGTTAAAGCGCACGCGCATCAAGTATAGACCGGTGAAATTGTACCACAAACACACATACACTCTCACTGACAGGCGGGTGCGAAAGCAGGAAACGGGTGGATCATCCATAACCATAATCTGATAACATAATCATCGATTTATAATTCAAATATATATATATATATGTAATATCATCTTATTTATCTGATAATCCTATCAAAATTATTAATTAGAATTTTTTATTTTAAAGAAATTTTTTTTAGAAAATAATAATTTTTTTCACGAATTTTCGAATTAAAATTTGATAGAATTTATTTTCAAAAACGAATTTTTACTAAACAAAATTTTTAGCTACCGAATTTTTAACCCTTTAAAACATACATTTTTCTTTAACAGGAATTTATCTTTGAAGTGCATTATAGTGGGTTTTAAGGGTCGCTGATTACGAATCCGAAGTCAGATTTAAAAAATTTTCAAAATTCAAAATGGCGGATCCAATATGGCGGACAATTTTGTTAAAATTGATCAAATTGATCAGACACATTCACACACACACAATTATAAAAATCCAAAGTCATATTCATAAACAGCGACATCAAAAACACCGTAGTAACTAGTTTCAAGCAAATCCGATCAATTTTTCATTTTGTCATCCGCCATTTTGAATTTTGAAAGTCCAACGTCATATTCGTAATCAGCGACCTCAAAAACCCCCGAATAACAAGTTTTAAGCAAATCCGATCAATTCTCCATTTTGTCATCGGCCATATTGGATCCGCCATTTTGAATTTTGATAATCCAAAATCATATTCGTAACGAGCGACCCAAAAACCCTCCGAGTAACAAGTTTCAAGCCATTCCTATAAATTTTTCATTTTCTCATCCGCCATATTGGATCCGCCATTTTGAATTTTGATAATCTAACATCATATTCGTAATCAGCGCCCCCAAAAATCCACGAGTTACAAGTTTCAAAGAAATCCGATCAATTTTTCATTTTGTCATCCGCCATATTAGATCCGCCATTTTGAATTTTGAAAATCTGATGCCAGATTCGTAATTAGCGACCCCGAAAACTTTATAGACATTATTGTTAGGTTATTTCCTATTGTTGTTTAGTCACAATTACATTTATTGTAAAAAAACGCTATTTTTAAACTTAATTTGTTTGTAACATTTATTTTATTTATAAAAAACACTTTTTTAATGTAGTTATATTGTAATAGATATTTTAAAATACATTTTAAATACATTTTGTTACTGAAATGTGTAAAATAGTGGCTGAAGTATTCCCCAAAAAGTGCAAGAAAAAAGGAGACACTCAGAAGTGTCACTATGCCGCAACGGGGTTTATTAAAAGAACTTTTGAGACGCCGAATTTTCATTTGTCCGAACAAACAATCGACAGAAAGTTGTCGGCGCAATTTTTAAAATTCACCAATTAGAAATTATCCAGAAAATTGTGATTGGTTAATTTGAAAAATTGCGCCGAAATCTTTCTTTCGATTCTTTGTTCGGTTGTTTGTAATTTCGGACAAAAGAAAAACAATGCAGTTAAAATCGTTAAAAATTGCATTTAGATAAGAATTACAAATCCAGATTAAAAAAACGATTTTAAAATTTTAAATTATGTTGCCTAAATCGTTTCCAATTATCAACAAAAAAAATGCAATTTTTATTAAACTTCAAATTTTTATGGTTCAAAATGTTAAAAAAAATTTTTTTTTTCATTTTCAATGAAACTCTTTTAAAGTTTAAATTAATTTTTCTTTTTTATTTAAAAATTATAAAAATGTGAACAATATTCATAATGTGTACCGAAATATTTTCACTAACAATTGATAACTTACCAGTTACATTATGTTGATGATGATTGTAAGTTAATGGAACTGAATGAAGAGATCGAGCCGACCATTTTCGATGCCTCGAATCTTCATCGTCATCATCTGCTTGCTGACCATCTTCACCTAGGAAATGTACTTTCTCATATCTATCTAGATACCTGCAATTAAAAAAAGAAAAATGTAAATTACATAAAATAAAAAGAAATTTAACAAAAATTGCAAATTTAAACATAAAAATTCAGGGGCAAAAAATTATTATAAAACAAAAATTTCTTATATATAAGAGTATTATAAAATGCACCATCTGCAGTATTTGTGAATAGTTTTAAGAAACAAGATATGCACTTGAAATTTGAGATGCTAAGAAACTCAAGCCATATATATATATATATATATATATATATATATATATATATATATATACACTTAGAACATGAGGCGTGTACAATGCTTAAAGATATTCATAGAAAAACAGGAAAAATATTAAAATACCCTGTATATCGTAGTGCTATGAAAAAACTTTACAAATTTATATAAACTACATAGAGAATTTTTAAAGAATTTTTTTTTATGTTCATTTCAAGGCTTGCAAGAAAATTTTCTCACAATTATTTTAAGAATAAAAATAGGGACGCCTGAATATTCCCATCATTAAACTTGCCGGAATTTTTGTGGTGTTGAATTAAAAATTATCAAATTTACATTTAGTAGAATTTTAAAAAATTAGATTTTATAATAAGCCCAATTTTAATATCGAAAAATTTCTATTCAACAAAATTCTGATTTTGTACAATTTCCATTTAACTGAACTGAGATAAAGTAGGTAGATTTTCTAATATATCGAATTTTAAATATCATCCAGAGAAAAGATTTCTTTGATTCAAAGAAACCACACAGAAAAAACCTGAATTCAAATTGAGTATAGATTCTATACTCAATTTGATTCGCAACAAAAATGAAACTGGTTGTCTCATTTCGAGTTCTAAGGTAAAAGTATCAAAATGAAACAGGCAAGTTTCATTTTGAGAAAAAGAAAAATGGAAAAATATTGTGAAATAACGAATAATTTTGCACAAAAACATGAAATATAATAATTACAAAGAAGTAAATAACACGCTAGACTTAATATATTTGATTAAAAATTGCTTGTAATCGCGTAATAAAATAATAAAGGAAATATGTTTTTAGGTTAGAAAAATGAAAACATGTGTTTTGACAACAGGAACGGTACTGCCAACTTAAATAATAGCGGTAAATTTAAAAACTTATGAAATTAATTATTATCTACGTAAATAATAATAAATAATTTTTATTTAAAAACTTCTAAATATTCGTACTGGTCAAAATAATCTTTCTGGTGTTGTTGAAATATTAGAAACAATAATTGAAATACAAAATTACTCTGCTTATGATGCCAACTTAGAAATCTGAAATTCCAGCCAATATCATTTTGAATAACATGAAGTTTGTCCCATACTCATTTCGATACCCAAAAGAAAATGAGTTGCAACAAAAATGAGTCCAAGTTTTTTCTGTGCAGTTTCTTTGACTTGTTTTCTTTTATTCAAAATAAAATTTTCTTTAAAACAAAGAAAGCTTTTTAGTTTCAAAGAAATTCTAACATTGATATAGGGTCAAAGAAACATTTATTTGAATTAAATAACAAATTTCTTTGAAACGAAGATATTTTTTTTTTGAAACAAATCAATTTTCTTTGTATCAAAGAAATCTTTTTTCTCGGTGTACGATTTTCATTTAACAAAATTTAAATAGACATTCGATAAAAGAACAATATTCTGATAAATAAAAATTCTTTTTTATGAAAATTTTTCTTAGATATAAATTTTGTTAAATGGAAATTGTATTATTTGAAAATTCAATATATTCAAAAATCTTCTTTATCACCGTTCAGTTAAATAGAAATTATATAAAATCAGAATTTTGTTAAATATAGAAATTTTTCGATATTAGAATTGGTCTTATTATAAAATCTGCTTTTCTTAAAATTCTACTAAATGTAAATTTGATAATTTTTAATTCGACCCCACAAAAATTCTATCAAGTCTAATGAAGGGAATATTCATGCGTTTCATTTTTATCTTAAAATGTAACAGGAGGCAACAATTTGGAATAACTGATTTTTAGCACATTTTTGAAAATAAATTTTCAAATTCAAAGTACGAATGAAGGGTTTAGGGGAAAAAAAAATTGGTTCGAAGTTGAAGCAGAATTTTCACGATTATTTTCAGGGTTCGTATATTTCGCATGTAAATTCTATACACATCAATTTCCGCCTATAAAGCAATATATATATGGGCAAATCCACAGAACCGGCCGATTTCATGTTACTCACATATTTTTCTATTTTAGAAGTATTATATTAATTATTTTCATACTTCAACCATTTTGTAATATCTCTGAGAACCTATTGAAATAAGAAAATTGAATAAATGTGAACCTTCTAGTCTTTTATAAAAAATAAAATCGAATTAAGTAACTTAAAAAATAAAATATACGGTGTTACTCCAGGTATAAATTTTAATTCTTATAGGTATAACTTGTTCGGCATAGATCCGAACAATTCCAAACTGTGGTGAATTATAGTTTACTTATTGAAAAAAGTTTTGAAAGTAATAAAAAATATGTGCTCTTAAATAAAAAGAAATGATAGTCGTTGAAAGTAGCGTTACTCATTATTTTATAATAATGAAATGTCTATACATTTTTGTAAATATCTTTTGCGGCGATTATTCGATTTGAATTTTTCAAATTGGAGCTTATTGCTTGTGAACAGACGAACAAATGTATGTATCATAGAATAGAGTGCAATCAGAATTAAAGAAAATATTCCAATAATTATCACTCTATGTTTAAGCGTGAACCATTTTCAACTTAGCCTTTTTTCAGTAGCACAACTACAGGATAAAATATGATGAGTTGAAAACATGTGTGATTATATAAAGACATTATTATAATTCTTGTATGCAAACGCCAAATTATATTTTCAATTTATAACGTCTAAAAATTAAAAATAAAAAAAAATTTATCGAAATTTAACTAGTTAATCGTGAAAAATGAATTATCCTTTCATTTGTTTTATTTTCAAAGTTATATCAAAATCGATGTCAATAATGTCAGTTTGTTGGTTAAAATAGTTAATATCAAAATTAGTAAGTAAACAATTTAATTTACAGATATAAAAAATTAAATGCTAATAAATAAAATATATAATAAAATATGATAAAATATAAATAATTTATTTTTGATAATTAAAAAATTAATTATTTGTATTTTATCATATTTTATTATTCAAAATGTTTTGCACATATTTCAAATAATATATAAAAAAAACAAAGAAATGCCATTTTTAATTTTAATTTCCAGAAGAAAAATAATATTTTCGTTTTTGGCTTTTAACTCAAACGGCATTAAAATAAAATGAATCACGCAAGAAGATAATTGTTCTTGAATATATTTTAAAGAAAGTAAACCATAAATAAAAGGTGTGCTTGCTATTTGGAAAATTTTCATCTTGATAAGTAAAAATCGGCCGGTTCTGTGGATTTGCCCATATATATATTTCGTTTCATATTCAAGCATAATATATCCGCAGCAGCAATATCGACTTCTAATTTTAACTTTATCCAACGTTTCGCATCATGTTGTACAGCTCTCCAACTTGTGCAACTACATATACAAACTTCTCTCCAACTCTGGTTTTCAACAGATCTTCACGCCAATTTCACATGCTTAAATCCATTGCTTCTACCCTGACTGCTTCATTTCAATATTATATGTATAGAAGAAGCTATCTTATCGATTTCGAGAATTCACAGAAGCTCTTGGTTAATTGTCAAGCTGCTTAATGTTCTACTAAATCCATATTCATGAATAATTACTTTATTAAAAATTTCTTTTTTACATATGAGGCATTTTACGAGTAATGTTCTGAGTTAAAAAATTGATTTCTCGAAAAAAAAAGTGAAACTTGGGGAAATTATCCTACCTCCTGATAGTAAAAAATCACCAAAAAAATTTTTGACTTTTTTTTGAAATTTTGGGGGAGATATAGGGGGGGGGGGTAAATTTTATCAGTTTTCCCTGACACCGTCTACTATTTGAGTTTTTTCTGTCTATAAATGCAATAAAAATAATAATAAATAAATTGTTATTTACATGAATTTTCATATTATTAATTTGGACCAATTAAAAAAAATTTGTTGTAGATTTTATAGAGTATCTCAAATATCTCAAAATGCTGACGTGATAGAGCAATTGAGGGGCTTGATACAATAACAACCAGTACGCTCGGCCGGTCGCTTTGAAGCCAATCAACACCTCAAAATTGAAACTCAAAATTCGGATTCTTCAAAAGCTTCACTTTATAGAAGATAAAAAAATGCATCTTTTTTCTCTCAGAAATTTTTTTCTAAATCCAATATTTTTGATATTAAAAGCAAAAAACCCAAAAAAAAATTTTCTCAAATTTAATTAAATTTTGAAATATAAACGATCATTTCTTTGACAAATAGTAATAAATTTGTTTACAACTTGGTATACATACTAAATTAGGTCTAATAAAGTCATTAAAACATTAGAAAAGGGAAAAAAAATTATTATTATTATTTTTAATTAAAAATTGAAAGAAGTCAATATTCACATTCTCTAACTTTTGACGATAAAATGTCTGCAGGGAATTTCAAAACTGTAAGAACTTCTCTTATAATATTTATTCACTACTATTCCAGGGAGTTTTCTGCAAAATTCCAAATCAATTCCTGTTATGGTTTTAAGAAGAATTAATTTTCAATAAAACGCGGATTTTAAATATTTACAAAATATCAAGTATGAATTATAAATGTTACTAATATTAATATTGTTAACAATTCTAATACTAATGTACATACATATAAGATACTAATAACAAAAAATAAACATAACTTTCTTCTTATTTCACTAATTTCTTATTCGAGCCGAAATAATTTCACATACTTCAAGAAAGAGTCTCCAGCGGGTTCAGTGAACGCGATGGGCTATCCGCTTTTTCTTGAAAATTAATTTTTTTAAAAACTATAACAGGAATTGATTTGGAATTTTGCAGAAAATTTCCTGAAATACTAGTGAATAAATGTTATAAGAGAAGTTCTTACAGTTTTGAAATTCCCTGCAGACATTTTACCGTCAAAAGTTAGAGAATGTGAATTTTTAAGTAAAAATAATAAAACAATAATTTTTTTTCCCTTTTCTAATGTTTTAATGACTTTATTAGACCTAATTTAGTATGTATACCAAGTTGTAAACAAATTTATTACTATTTGTGAAAGAAATAATCGTTTACATTTTAAAATTTCATTACATTTGATAAAAAATTTTTTTGGGCTTTTTGCTTTTATTATCCAAAATATTGGATTTAAAAAAAAATTTCTAAGAGAAAAAAGATATGTTTTTTTATCTTCTATAAAGTAGTTCTTCTGAAAAATCCGAATTTTGAGTTTCAATTTTGAGGTGTTGATTGGCTTCAAAGCGACCGGCCGAGCGTACTGGTTGTTATTGTATCCGGCCCCTCAATTTTGCTCTCATTTTTGGATTCAACATGACAAATTAGGATAAGTGTATGAATTACTGCTGATGCGCCAATTACAGCGATTTTTATAAAATTAGTAAAACTTAGTAATTGAGAACATAAAACTGTTTCAAAATGACTTTAAAACTTATTCCAAATGATATTTGATATTATATCCAACTAATGATGCATATTTCGACTATTATTATCAAATTATTTATTCAAGTTACAATTGAACCTATCACAGTAATTAGAGCATGCGTATATTTTTCTCATGCTGCTATTACTGTGGTCTCTCCAGTCAACCTAACCTCTAAATCAACACTTTTAGCGTTGCAGTAATTGGTGCACACCATTCGCAGAGACCATTTACCCTACATCGGAATTTACTAGGGTAAATGTCCCAATTACTGTGATGTACAGCCCAAGACCGACTTTAATGATAAAATAATAAAAATGTAAATGAAATAATGATTTAATTCATTTTGTTAAATCACTATTAGTGTCTATTAAAATAGAAACGATACTTTAAACTTGAAGAAATAACAAATATAATTATTAAAAATATTAACTTTTTTAAAAGTGGCATATGCTGGTATTACTGCAAGTTTGCATGAATTACTGCAACGCTAAAAGTGTTGATTTAGAGGTTAGGTTGACTGGATAGACCACAGTAATAGCAGCATAAGAAAAATATACGCATGCTCTAATTACTGTGATAGGTTCAATTGTAACTATTGAATAAATAATTTGATAATAGTCGAAATATGCATCATTAGTGGATATAATATCAAATATCATTTGGAATAAGTTTTAAAGTCATTTTGAAACAGTTTTATGTTCTCAATTACTAAGTTTTACTAATTTTATAAAAATCGCTGTAATTGGCGCATCAGCAGTAATTCATACACTTCTAAATATTCTAAATAATAACTTTGAAACCTTTTGAAGTTGACCAACAGAACAGAAGGCAATTTATAATTATCATTAGCAACAACAAACAGAGGGTTAAGACCATAAAACTTTTTGAAGGTGACCAACAGAAGATAACGAGTAGAATGCAATTTTCATTTGGAGAATTTATAAACACTAAAAAAATATACCAGCTAAGATTCACCAATCACGAAAATAACAACAAAAACTTTTTTTAACATAACACATCAACACTATTTTACTGATTTTGACAGCCATTTGGTAGATAATAAATGTCACAAGTTATTTCGTGATTCTGCCAACAGGAGGAGATTGGCGCTGTTGCTAACAAATGCAAATATATTATAATAATATAATAATATATAATAATATATAATAATATATATAATTATATATATTATAATTATTATTACAATAATCAATTATCCTAAAGGGAAAAGTATTTTATTGTCTTGCTTTCAAGTAAATACTGTAAATAATTTTCAAAAATTTTAGTTTCGATATAGGTGGTGCTGCCTTACTAGGACCTACCCTTAAGGCCATAAAACTTCTTGAAGTTGACCAACAGAAGAAGATGATTTTCGATTATTATTAGCAAAACGGCAGCAGAGGATTAAATACCAAACATTTCTAAACACCCTAAAATCTTTAGAAGTTGACAATTTCTGTTTATCATTAGCAGAATAAAACCAAACATTTCTAAAAACACAAAACAACGCCTTAAAACCTTTTCAAAATTAACAATTTCCATTCACAATAGCTGAGGATTAACGCCATAAAACCTTTTCAAGTTGACCAATAGAGGAAAGTACTTTGTCAATTTCTGATTATCAATAGTAACAACAGCAGAGGATTAAGACCTTTAAACCATTTGGAGATTGACCAAAAGTGACCAAAGTACATTGATCCTAGAAAGATTACCTGGAAAGTGATTGACGTGAAAGAGGAACAAGATGACTATGATGATGATGATGATGACGACAATACAAAGCAATAGTGGAAGGGTATTCATTGACCAATACAATCGTTTACACCTGCTTTCTTCTTCTTCATCCTCACGAGTTGAGTCGGGCAGTGTGTAGTGCCTCTAGTGCCGGGGCCAGACACACAGTTGATGCCAGAGAGAAGACTTTGACTACACACTGGCGATGGCGAGCGTCACACAGGTCCACATTGAACCACGTGGTTCGTCGCGACGCCGGCCGGCATGAATGAGACTAGCAGACGAGTGCACTGAACGTACGTAGTACGTTGGAAAATAGTGGGGGAGGGGGTCACCCGCAGACGCCTCGTGACTACAGTAAAACAGATCTGCTCCTCTTCCTCTTATATTCTGCATGTCTCTCAAGGGTAGAGAGAAAGAGAGAGAGAGAGAGAGAGAGAGGGCAAAATTTAGCGGTCAACTAACGCGCCTTACCAATGCCTTGGTCAATCGGTCATTGGGTCACGTCTATTATTTATTTACAACCTTTTCTTCCAACCCCTTTGAGGTTCCTTCTTTACAAGAGATAAACCCTTTGTCTCTTTCATCAATTCCGATTATGTTAATTAAATCCCTAACCGATACCAATAATGAGTGGTTAAATTGTCTGTAATCACTGATTAACTTTTAATTAGAGTTGGTGAAACAGAGATTATTGTCTCCGATTAGAATTATTGTCTCCAAGATGTGGTTAACTCGAGCATTGGATTTTGAATTTTGACACAACCGCTGTCAATTCTTGCTCACCTTGAGCCTAATCGAGCAACTATACAGATTCCTTAAACTTTACAGAAAATCGGAGTGACCAGTTTGGGATTGGTAAAAATTTAATTGAAATGCAAATTCTTAAATATGCAAATAAAAATATTTCTAAGACAAAATTAAGAATGTCTACGACAAAATGTCTCTTTATCATCTTTGGTTAGCAGAGAGAAAATTTCCTAGACGAAATTTAAGCTCTACTGTGAATTAAATAATAAAATTAAATGGGTGCCAATTTCAGCTTCATTCTAAATTTTATACGACTTCTGAAACTTAATCGAATCTAAAAATTCAGAATTAAAGTAGAGTTAAAATTCGAGTTTTTTAAGTCGGATTTTTTTTTTTTTTGAGACGCATAATTATGTTCTAAAAATTATTAGTTAGAATTTTCATTTTATGAAATTTTATTTGTCATAATTATTTTTGAGCTGAATTTTTTCGAATTAGTATTTAGTAGAATTTTCATCAAAATGATTTTCTATATTACACAATTTTTATATAAACGAAAATTCACTTCACAGAAAAATAATAAATTATGACAAATAAAATTCCATAAAATGAAAATTCTAACTAATGATTTTTAGAACATAATCATGCGTCCGAAAATTTGTTATCCTAAAAAATTCTGTTTAGTAAAAATTCATATTCTACAAGAATATTTAAAGAAAAAATTTATAAAAAATTTTGCAAACTCACCTAAGATAGATTTGTTTGAGTCCAACGCCACTATTGACACAGCCACTTGGCAAATGAAACTGTTCGCAGAGAACCGACCACTCATTTTTCGAATTTACCTGTAATCACATTAAACAAATTTTTTATTAATAGATATTTAAAAAATATTATTATTTATTTATTTTATTATTATTATTTACAAAATTTTCAATTTTCCACGATTTTAACCGTATCAAAAATGTCCCCTTAAAAAATTAAGAAATATTATTACCCTTTTTTGGTAACAATTTTCAAATTTTAAAAATTATCTCCAGTGCTTAAAAAGCGGGATCTGTATAAATATATATTCTTGAAATTAGAATAATTTTTGCCAGTAAAAGAAAAGCCTTTTGTTTCGATTAAAAATGAAAAAAAAAAGAAAGAATTCAGCAAGAATTATTGGCTTGCAATATTCTCTCTTATTCTTAATAGCCGTCTCACAAGGCTTGTAGAGACTTGCACACAGTTATTATTTCCAACTCGTAACATTTTACAGCCCATCTTTCTTTCAACCAAAAAGCAGTCGGTTTTTTTTTTCTTCTCCTTCTTTTTTTTTACACTTATTTTCACGTATAAATTTCACGCGCCACTGATGTAGAGTTAATGGCTTTCGTGTCTCGTTTTCTCATAAATATTACTTGATGTTAAATAAGTCGCGTGGAATTTAGCGATATTAAAGTAATTCTCATTTAAAAAGTTGAAAACATATCAAGTAAATGTCAAATTGTATAATAAAAACAATATTATTAAAAGATAATTCGCTCTCATATATATTGACGCACTATGTGGATGATTAACATAAATACATGGCAACAAAAAAAAAAAGTTGTTCAAATTTTTATTTTTCGTTTACCTTTTGGATAGTGCGCACTTTTTTTTGTTAGCAATTTACATAATCTTCTTTAAAATCGAGATCCGTTAAATTATTAAAAAAAAACCAGACAAACAATTCAGATAAAAATTAGTCTAAATCCATAATCAAAATATCGAATTACCATACAGAAAAAAGGGTTTGGTATTAACAACCAAACATTTGGTTGGTATTTAAGCAACCAATTTTTTTTTGTTAAATCAACAAAATTTTAATTGTCTCAATCAAATTTTTTTTGACACAACCAAAATTAGAAAAAAAAGGATTTTTGTTGTCCTAACTAAAGTTTGATTGAGACAACCAAAATTTTGTTGATTCAACAAAAAAATTTTGGTTACTTAAATACCAACCAAACGTTTGGTTGTCAATACCAAACCCTTTTTTCAGTGCACATTATCGAATTTCTAAAAGTTCGAATTATTAAATGTTGGAATTATCAAAAGGTCGAAATTTAGATTTTTTTTTAAATACCTCTGGTTTTTTTTTAATATTACGTACATTTATGCATTTTGGTGCGTTGATTACGAAAATTATAATGACAATACCCAAAAATTTGATTTTTATGTTGAAAACCTAAACCATAAAAAAGTCCTAAAATTTATAGTTTTTTTTTCGTTTATTGGATAAAATATGCAAAATTAAAAAAAAAACTTTTAGAGAAAAGTTGTAGGTATTATTTTTTTAATTTTACATATTTTACCCAATCAACAAGAAAAACCATAAATTTTAAGAATTTTTTATGGTATTCACAATAAAAATCAAATTTTCGGGTATTGTCACTATGTTTTTCATAATCAGCGTATCCAAATACATAAATGTAAGTAGGGTCAGTCGGGGTAAATCCGAACGGGGGTAAATCCGAACGCTAATTATTTCAGCTTAATTAAAATTTTTAAAAATAAGTTCGATATGAGAATTTTTACCTCAGATCCTCTTGAAGAGATTCTAAGTATTATCCCATTTTTTGTTTGTTAATTAGCAACAGCATAAACAAAGATAACAAGTATTGCAAAAAAGATTGAAAATCAAAGATGACACTCTTTCAGTATTTTGTCTCGTATTTCAAGAAAAAGAAGCTAAAAATTCATTTTATTATTTATAATTGTTTGTTATGAATACTAGAACAGAAACTATATTTGATTTTTGCCTTCTGTAAAATTTTATTAATAATATCAGACCGTTCGTATTTACCCAAGAAAATTGGAAAACTGGGGTAAATCCGAACGGTATTTTTAATAATTTTTTTTTACATCAAAGCCACACAAAATTGTTTTTATTTGATTACACTATTATTTTAACATTATAAAAGTACATAGAAAAAAGTTTTTCTTTCTATACGTATCCTCGTTAGTAATTAATAAGCAGAAACTTAATCTCTGTTCTCTCGAAGGAGTGTTTCAATTTTTTTGCCAAATGGTTTGTTGAAAAAAGTTTTTCAGGATCTTAATAAAATTTGGTATTCTACGGTTTTTGGGGTCGCTAATTACCAATTTGAAGTCAGTTTTTCAAAATTCAAAATGGCGGACGAGAATTAAAAAATTCATTGGATTCGCTCGAAAATTGTTACTCGGGGGGTTTCAGGGTTAGCAAATTTGATCATTTTTAAAAATAAGTTTTAGGAAAGTACGCCATTTTGAATTTAAAAAATTTGACTTTTATTTTTGTATTTACATTCAATCACTCCAAAATACTTTCTGTACCAAGTTTTGCAAAAATCCATTATGATTTGATAAAGTTATTGAAGGTTTTAATTGTGTAATGCATTTTAATTTTTAACCTGTTTGATTTTTGTATTTATATATGATGCATTATTACATAATAGGTTTATTATCGTATTTTTTTGAGTTTTTATATATGTTTAACAATTGCAATACTTTAAATTTATTTTCTCTAAGATTTTTCTGAAATACAGTGGCGTTCGTATTTACCCCCATATTTTAGGAAAGTTGCAAAGTATCGAGGTAAATACGAACGCTAAGTTTCCTGCGATTGTAATTTATCAAAAATTTTTTCTACCCCATAAAATTGTTCTATGGAAGTAAAGTAACAACTTCATGCACCAGAATACCGGAAGTATTTTTTTTTTTAAAGAAAAAACTTATGTTATTGTTGAAACTTACTAAAAGCGTTCGGATTTACCCCGGTTGACCCTAGTATAAAAAAAAACCGAAGATATTTTAGAAAAATTTAAAATTTCAACAATTTTTAAAAAATTCCAAAAATATTGAAAAATTATTTGCCTACAAACGAACTAAGTACACGGAGAAAAAAGATTTCTTTCATAAAGTAACTTTTACTACTTTCAGAGTAAAACTGGACCAACTCGAAGTTTCTGCGCATCTCTGGCAATTTTTACTCCAAAAATAGTAAAATTTACTCTAGAAATAGTAAAACTTACTACGGAAACAGTAAAATTTACTACAGAAATAATAAATTTTACTATTTTTGGAGTAAAAATTGCCAGAGATGCGCAGAAACTTCGAGTTGGTCCAGTTTTACTCTGAAAGTAGTAAAAATTACTTTTTCTTTTTCTCCGTGTAGGCTTAAAATTTATTAAATTTAAAACAGTCTTTACAAAAAATTTTGAAAAAAATAGATCAGTACGTCAATTGAGAATAATGACTATATTTAAAATTTGATAACAATATTATTTGAAAAAAAAAAATTCGATTTTGTTAAAAAGTTATCTGCTTCAAAATTATCTTTAAACTAAATTTTGATACTTTTATGAATAAATTCAACATATTAACTTATAGTAATAAGAGTATTAAATTTTATTTTGAAGCTATCTTGAAGCAGATAATATTTACCCGCAATAAGTGAAATAACCCCGTCTTACGGTACGTTTAAAAACACACATTTAAGAAAAACGTTTAAAATTGATGTATTTTTATTAAGGAAGTTATGAGCATTCAAAAATAAAAAATAAAAAAACCATTAAAATTCTGTAATTTTGAAAAATCCATGTCTCGTAAACGGCTTCCTAAAAAATATTGAAAAAAAAAAATTATGAAAGTTAGTCTTAATTAGTACTGAAAGACATGTTTCAAAAAATTCGGAGATGTATATAGATCTTAAATCGGTGTCTGATTTGGCGTGGAAGAAATTATATACTAAATACAAAGAATATATATTCTAATTGTAAGAATATTACATACTGAATTTAAGTATAAAATATTCTAAAATATGCCCTAAAATATACACTCTAAATCTGAATCAGTAAAAATTCCACTGAATTCAAATCAGTGGCTCACAATCAGTTTTCTTTAATTCACCAGTGGAATTTCACTGGGAATCAGTAAAAACTACTGATTCTCAGTGAAATTCCACTGGTGAATTAAAGAAAACTGAGCCACTGATTTGAATTCAGTGGAATTTTCACTGATTCAGATTTAGAGTGTATATATATTCTAAGAATATTTTTTCTCGTTGCACTAAAATTTCTTTTCGTTAACAATTTTTTTCCCGTCGACCTTTAAAAATACAATTTTTTTTTTTTTTTTTGCCAAAGAGACAAAATTTGCATGCAATCAGTTATTATAGTATCGCTATTGTCGTATTTCGGTGTGTATTTCCCCAAGTAAACACGAGTAAGTGGCAGAAAGGTGATTGCCTATCGCACGTGCTGCCCCTTCCTTTCTACTATATATGCATCGCATATATATATAAGAGAGAAAAGTATATAAGCATTTAAATTAAATTTCGGTAAAGAGAGTGAGAGAGAGAGAGAAAAAAAAGAGGGGGATGGGGAGAGAAAGGGACTTGTATGATGCAAAATCGGCGACTGCTCGAGAATACTAGGTCAGTGCTCTCTAGATCTACACCCGAGAGGTATACATAGTAGTTGCTATTCTCGTCATCATATCGTATACAGTTTAAAAGACGACACGGTAATGTGGCGCCTCACAGTGGACGACCTCGTCGTTCCACGTAAGTCTATGAATTGTTCGTTTCCCAGCTCCGGATGCATTACTATTACTGTACTCGCATATAGACGTTCAATACCTATCTCTCTCAAAGCCCCGCTCCATCGACTAAACAGTTTATATAGTTGAGAGAGTTTCTTTACGACCACAAATAAAAAAAACAAAATAGTTTTTTTTTTATCATACTTTACTTTTTTTTTTTCATAAATACGTTTTGTCAAAGAACACTTCAGCCTTTTTGCGTTTTAAAATTGCGATTATTATTATTATTATTATTATTATT